ATGATTAGTGATAGTCAAATTTTTGTTGCTTTGTTATTTGCTCTGGTTTCAGCAGTTTTAGCAATCCGTTTAGGTATGGACTTGTATCAGTAAATTATTACTGATAATGTTAAGACATCATATTTCTACATTATTAAAGATATAATTTTCTTCAATTAGGAAATTATATCTTTTCTATATTTAATAAGGTTTATGAATTAATGGAGTAAAAAGTAATATAATAATTATCTATTTCTTAAATATAGATTATCATCTTCTCAACTTAAAATGTTATAATGTTGATCTAAAGACATTCGTTTTCATTAGTCAGTTACTACTTGTAATTACTAAGTTTAATTAATAATTAAAATATTTAAATAACAGGCTTCTTATTGTGAGTATTGCAAAAGATATAATGCGTCCAGTTTTCCCTTTTACTGCTATTGTTGGTCAAGAAGAAATGAAGTTGGCATTAATTTTGAATGTTGTAGATCCTAAAATAGGTGGTGTTATGATTATGGGAGATCGTGGTACGGGGAAATCTACTACTATTAGGGCTATAGCTGACCTATTGCCTAAAATAGAAGTTGTTGAGGATGACATGTTTAATTCTCATACTTCTGATTATGAATTAATGGGGGATCATGTTAAGCAAAAATTAGAAAAAGGACAAGATCTGAAAATTAACTTAATTAAGGTCCCCATGGTAGATCTACCTTTAGGCGCAACGGAAGATCGTGTTTGTGGAACAATTGATATTGAAAAAGCTCTAACAGAAGGTATTAAAACTTTCGAGCCTGGTTTACTTGCTAAAGCTAATAGAGGTATTCTTTATGTTGATGAAGTAAATTTATTAGATGATCACTTGGTAGATATTCTTTTGGATTCAGCAGCATCAGGTTGGAATACGGTAGAACGAGAAGGTATTTCTATACGTCACCCAGCAAGGTTTGTTTTAGTAGGTTCGGGTAATCCTGAAGAAGGAGAATTAAGACCGCAATTATTGGATAGGTTTGGCATGCATGCCGAGATTAGAACAGTTAAAGAACCTTCTCTGAGAGTACAAATTGTTGAGCAGAGAAGTAAATTTGATAGTAATCCATATGAGTGTTTAGAAGAATTTCAAGAAGAGCAAGAAAAATTAAAGCGTAGAATTATTGATGCCCAGATTAAATTATCTGATGTTACAGTAGATTATGATTTAAGAGTGAAAATTTCTGAAGTTTGCGGTGAACTAAATGTTGATGGTCTACGTGGCGATATAGTAACAAATAGAGCCGCAAAAGCATTTGCAGCATATAACAATAGAGATAAAGTTGAAATCTCAGATATTCAAGAGGTAATTACTTTATGTTTACGCCATAGATTGCGTAAAGATCCACTAGAAACTATTGACACAGGATCAAGAGTAAAGAAAGTATTTGAATCTGTTTTTGTATCTAATTAATTGCATTAAGTTTATAACAGGCTCAGTAGGATTCGAACCTACATTAGAGACTTAGAAGGTCCCTGTCCTAATCCCTTAGACGATGAGCCCTATATCTTTGATTTAGGAAAGTGGGCGGTACTGGATTTGAACCAGTGACCACCTGCTTGTAAGGCAGGCGCTCTACCACTGAGCTAACCACCCTTCCAGTATCATAATATATATACGTAAAATAGGCAAGATTTATATAGTTTTATAATTTACTTAATTTTTGAGGATAAACTTATTTGTGCAGTTAAATTTATATCGGTTTTATAAGTCTTGCTTTCAATCTATTAATTCTATTGTCCATAAAAATTTAAATTTGAATATATTTCAAATAGAATTATATAGTATAGTAGAACAAATCAATATGGTAGGACCAGGTTCATTACTTATAAGCTTGACAACAGCTTTTTTTATAAGTTTAGTATTTACTTTACAAATTGCAAAAGAGTTTTTATACCTTAATGCTGTCCGTCTTATAGGAGCTGTTCTTACATTAGCTTTTATTAGAGAACTATCTCCGGTACTTACTTCTGTAATTCTTATTGGTCGTGTAGGATCATGCTTTACTTCAGAATTAGCTACTATGACAGTTACTGAACAAATTGATGCATTATACCTATTAAATACAAATCCTATTGTTTATCTAGTTATTCCTCGTATTGTTTCTTGCTCTGTCATGCTACCTATACTTACTTTACTATCATTTTTTACTAGTTTAGCAAGCAGTGCTTTTATTTGTTTTACCTTATATGGTATTAGTCCTGTTATATTTTTCACATCTTCTGCTACAGCGTTATCAATTATTGATGTAGTGAAATCATTATTGAAAACGATAATATTTGGTTTTACCATATCGTTAATTAGTTGTACTTGTGGGCTGATTACTAAAGGCGGTGCAAGAGGAGTCGGCCAATCTACGACTCTATCGGTTGTTATTTCTTTACTAGCAGTTTTTATTATAGATTGCATTCTTTCATATTTAATGTTCAATAGATTAGATAGTTCAATTCAAGCTTTTTAGATTGGTCTTGATATAAATTAACAATAATTTCTTTTCTTAATTTAGCTAAATTATGGAATTTTTATTCAAGTTGTTATTAATTTTAGAAGATTTGCTATTATTGCATTAATAATTTTACTATTCTTATGAATCCTCTGTTCAGATTATCAATTTATCTACTATAATTTACTAACTTATTGAAGCTTAATAATATATGAAATCTAAAATAATATCTATGCTAAAAAATATTGCAAAATTTCTATAATAGAAAATCCTTGTTGATTAAGATTTAAGTTTATTACTTCTATTTTGAACAATATAAGATGTATATATTAAATTAATTACTTAAAATCGAAAATAGAATATCTATTCTTTAATAAAATTTTTTTAATTGATATTTTGTTAAAACATTTTCAATTGTTCTAGTATCTAGTTTTTATTATATTATTGTACCAAGTAAAAGTTAATTAAATGTAATAACACTAGTATTTTATTTATATTTTCTTTTATTTATTATTCTTCTGATATAATTTTTTATCTTTTTTGTTTATAAAGAGTATAATATATATGTATTGAAAGAGTGTAGAGTATTTTTATAGATGTGGTACAGTTTATATCATTAATTATATATCTATATGCTGAAAATTTTACATTAAGTCATATAATATAAATTTGTAATTCACATACGTAAATTCAAAGTCTTTACTTTATTTATGCTAATGTATGAATGTATATACATTATTTCTGTATTTTTTATTAGGAGGTAATTATTATGTCAGGGGGATCAACAGGTGAACGTCCTTTTTCTGATATCATTACGAGTATAAGATATTGGGTTATTCATAGTATTACTATACCTGCACTTTTTGTAGCAGGGTGGCTGTTTGTAAGTACAGGGTTAGCTTATGATATATTTGGAACACCAAGGCCTAATGAGTATTTTACACAAGATCGTCAACAAGTTCCATTAGTTAATGATCGTTTTAGTGCAAAGCAAGAGCTCGAAGATTTAACTAAAGGAATTTAATAAGGAGTTTTATTATGAGTGGAAGAAATTCTAATCAGCCAATATCATATCCCATTTTTACATTTAGATGGTTAGCTATCCATGGATTAGCTATACCAACAATATTTTTTTTGGGTGCTATTACATCTATGCAATTTATTCAAAGATAGGAGATTTCCATGAGTGGTCCTAATCCTAATAAAGAACCTGTAGAATTAAATCGTACATCTTTATTCTGGGGCTTATTATTGATTTTTGTTCTTGCTGTTTTGTTTTCAAGTTACTTTTTTAATTAACTATATTATTATTTTTTATAATATATAAAGTAATAGTTTCTTATATGATGATTAGTTTCATTGTTTACATCTTACGATTGGAGATATTAAAAAATGACAGGTACAGGTAGAGTTCCTTTATGGCTAGTTGCTACTGTAGGTGGTATAGCTGCTATAACAGTTCTAGGAATTTTTATTTATGGCTCTTATTCAGGAATAGGTTCATCTTTATAATTTATGTATAATGATATAACGTACTATTGCTTTTATTAATAGCTATATATTTTCTGATTATATGATAAAAAAAATCAGCCACTTCTAATGATAAAGTGACTGATTTTTTCTTGTTATAATTTATTATTTTAACTGATATTTTCTACTTCAATATATAAAAATATTAGTGCCATACTTAGGCCAGGAAATACAATACCTGCTAAAGGTACTAATATAGATGGTAAGTAGGATGCTGTCATATGTTTGTATCTTTAAGAGCTAATGATTTATATTATAGATATGAATATGTATAATACAATTATAAATCTTATTTTGCATTAAACTTATTAAAGATATTAAAATTTAATATTTTCTGTTTATTCTGTCTTAATAATATGATGTATGTAAATATAATTGATTAATTATAGTATATAATATCAATATGTAATAGAGGATATAATTAATGATTGATACTTCTTTGAAATTGGTATCTGATAATTTAGAAGCTATGCGTAAGTTTTCAGAAGTTTATGCAAAAAGAACAGGTACATTTTTTTGTTCAGACGTAGCTGTAACTGCTGCAGTAATTGAAGGATTGGCAAAGCATAAAGATGAATATGGTTCTCCATTATGCCCTTGTCGTCATTATGAAGATAAATCAGTAGAAGTGTTAAATGCTTACTGGAATTGTCCATGTGTACCAATGAGAGAACGAAAAGAGTGTCATTGTATGCTTTTCTTAACACCAGATAATGAGTTCGTTGGAGATAGTCAAGTAATAGAAGCTGAAATATTATTGCAAAAAATTAGCTAGTACAATTAATGCAGACAAGCATAAATTTATATAGTCTGCATAATGATTGTATTAATATAATTATCTATAAATTTCCTTTTTTAAAAGAAAGTAAAACTATAACTGCAGGTCCTACTAATACAATTATACCAAGTGATATAAGTTGACCTATTACTTGCCAATTAATCATAATATTCCTTATTTAATTTATTAACTATATTATAGTATTATTTTGAACGATTAAAATGTAATTTAAGAATTAATAGATTTTTCTAATATTTCTTGTAATTGTAATTTTTGATATAAATCCAAAATAATATCTGCCCCACCAATAAATTCACCATTAATATAAACTTGGGGAATAGTTGGCCATTGTGAATACAATTTAATATCTTTTCGTATCTTATCATTCTTCAGCACATTGATGATGTGATAATCAATATGAAAACTATTTAAAATTTCTACTACTGTATTTGAAAAGCTGCACATTGGCATTAACTTTTCTCCTTTCATAAATACTATTATTTTATGTTCTCTAATTAATTTATCAATATAGCTATATACGTGATTATTCATAGTTATCTTTATTTTTATGCTAGTATTTATTGATTTATAATTTGAGTAATAAATAGAAAATTTGTCAAAAAATATCCAATTTGCTATATAATGAATCAGAATTTAGATAATCTAATGTTACTTACTTAATTGTGAATATCATTTTAAGAATTTATAAATACTAAAATGGTAACAAATTTAATTTTTTAATGCTTGTTTATTATAACAGATTTTATATTAAACATAGCAATAGATATTGTTGATATTCTATTTAAATTAAATCTAATAATAATTACAATTCCCAATTAAACTTTCCTTATATATTCAATATTAATAAAAATATAGCCAATTAATATTTATTTTGAAGTTTAAATTTTTCCATTTTAGTATATGTACATTATTCTTATTATTTTGAATTAGATTAAGTAGCTTATTTAAAATATTTTTAGTTAATGTCTTATTAAAATTATGGTATACAAAGATTTGCAAAACTCTTACTTGTAGTGCTTTATGTTGTTGTTTTATGATCCAGTAATTTAATGCTAGGTTAGTTTTATGACGACTTTTTAAATATAATTTAATAGCATTTTGTTTAATATATTCATTCTCTATATCAGATATATTTAGAAAGTAATTGATTTGTTTTTCTACATTAAAAATAAAATATTTGTTCAGATATGGTAGTAGCTCATTTCTTAATCGATTACGATTGATATTATATTCATAATTACTTATATCTGACCAAATAGGCAGTGTAAATTTACGACAAAACCATGTAATATCTGATCGGCTGAAATTAATAAGAGGTCTTATTATTTGTAGATGATTGTTTAATATTCGATGTTTATTTAAGCTAGTTACTGCATCAATACCATTACCACGAATTAATTGTAATAAAAAAGTCTCAATTTGGTCTGTATTTGTATGCCCGGTCATAATTATTGAATAATTATATTTTATTGCATGTTGTATTATTATCTTATATCTAATATTTCTTGCTGCTAATTCAGAATTAGGAATTTCTTTAATTTGATATATAGATAGAGCTGCTTGTTTTATCTTCAGTAAATTAATTAGGTGTTTAATTTGTTGTTTACTATCTTTTTTCCATTGATGATCTACATAAATATAGCCAATATTTACTGTTAGCTTATGTTTATTTACAATATCTTGTATTAATTTAATTAAGCATAGAGAATCTTGTCCGCCGGAAACAGCTATAAGCATTGATGATGATCGGCTGAAATCTAAAATTTTGTTTATATAACTGTAAAAATTGTAATGTAAGTATGTGTCCATTTTTTGTAATAGCAAAAAATATAAAGATAAAAAGGTCGAACTCTTGATTTGTATTTTATTTTATAATACTTGCTATTATATTCTTACTATGTTATTTATAGTTTAAGGTTTGCTACAAGGGTCGCTAACTCAATGGTAGAGTACTCGGCTTTTAACCGATTAGTTCCGGGTTCGAGTCCCGGGCGACCCATTTTTTATGTAAGTACATAATTAAGCGTCGTTTATATATTCTTTATTTGTTATTTAATAGTTAGTTTTCTTATATATATTTGTAGGTAAATATGACTTTGATATCTGAAACATTAACTAAAAAAAATTCTAAATGTTCTTTAATTCCTTTTATTACAGCAGGTTATCCAAATTTACAAGTAACAGTTAAAGCTTTGTATGCCTTAGATGAAAAAGGTGCAGACGTTATTGAATTAGGTATACCTTATTCAGATGCACTTGCAGATGGTCCTGTTATTCAAGAGTCATCTCGTAAAGCTTTAGAACAAGGTGTTTGTTTGGATAAAATTTTGTGCATGTTGAAGAAAGTAAGTCCTAATATAAATGCTCCAGTAATTATATTCACCTATTATAATCCTGTACTTGCACGAGGTATGAAGAAATTTATTCAGGATATTTCTTTTAGTGGTGCTCGTGGTTTGATTATACCAGATTTACCTTTGGAAGAGGTTGATTATATCCTTAAATTATGTACTCAATTTAATATTGAGTTGATTTTATTTATTGCCCCTACAAGTTCAGAAATTAGAATGGCTTCTATTCTATCTAAATCTCCTGGTTGTATCTATTTAGTCAGTAGTTATGGAGTGACAGGTATGCGTAATAAAATAAGCATTAATATAGATAAATTAGCGCAAAAAATTAAAGCTAAATCGAATAAGGTAATTATACTAGGTTTTGGTATATCTAGTCCTCAACAAGTATCGACAATAGCTAAATGGCATGTAGATGGCTTAGTTGTAGGTAGTGCTTTTATGAGTACTATGCTAAATAAATCTGACATAGAAGCTATTCAATCTTTAAGTGAAGCATGTGAAACATTTAAAGCAGCAATAGATAATTAATTTGTTACTATTGTTATATTTTATTATACCCCCAGGGGAATTCGAATCCCCGTTACCTCCGTGAAAGGGAGATGTCCTAGGCCTCTAGACGATGGGGGCATTTATTATTGTAAGTAATTTATACCATACTAAGATTATCTAATTTTAATGTTTATGTCAACCTTTTATTTTTACTTTTATCATGAATATATTAATTATCTGTCTTGGTTTACTGTATTTATAATTAGCCTTGAACGCATAGTTAAATAAACAACTGTTTGTCTAATATAAGTTACCATCGTAATAAATAATTGAAAACCTTCGTTCTTATATTCAACCAATGGATCTTGTTGACCATAACTTCTCCAGCCAATTGATTCTTTTAAAAGAGTCATTTTCTCTAAATGTTTTTGCCATGCTTTATCTATTTGCTGCAGTAAATAGTATTTCTCTAATTGTCTCATAAGGCCAGGTCTTAATTGTTCTAAGTAACTTTCTCGTAGATCATAAGTAATTCTTAACTGTTCATATAAAAAGCATGCTATTTGTTCCTTATTATATTTATTGATTATTGTATCTATTTCTATATTTTCTGCTAGATTTAATAAGTGGGTAATTTTAGATATAATGGCTTTTTTATAATTTGCTTGTTGATTATATGTTGTCAATATTTCATCAATTGTACTTTCTCCGTATTCGATAATACAATCCCTTGTAAAATTAGATTGTAATATACGTTTACGCTCTGAATAGATCGCTTGTCTTTGATTGTTGATAACTTCATCGTACTCAAACAGTTGTTTTCTAATATCATAAAAATATGATTCAATTTTTTTTTGTGCTGAATCTAAACTTTTTGTTAGAATAGTGGACTCAATAGGTGTATCATTATCTATACTTAAAACTTTCATTAATTTAGATATTTTATCTCCACCAAAAATTCTTAATAAATTATCTTCTAAACTAAGAAAAAAGCGTGAAGATCCTGGATCACCTTGTCTTCCTGCACGTCCTTTTAATTGATAATCTATTCGTCTTGATTCATGTCTTTCTGTACCAATAACGTGTAAACCACCTAGTTTCAAAATCTCTGTTTTTTCTTTTGAGCATATATGTTTATATTCATGTAAAATTTGTAAGTAAACTTTTTGAATATTCGTATACATATCATTATTCTTTAAATTAATTGAATTGATCTCATCTTCAATATATTGTTCAATAGTTTCTAAACTTGTAATTGTTTTAATAAATTTATAATTAAGTTCTTGTAACAATAAGTTTATCTTTTTATTTGTAGATGCAGAGTTGCTGCATAATAGCGATGATATTTTTAATACCTTTTTCATGTAATTAATTATAATTATTTTCGTCATAGCATGAGGATTACCTCCAAGAATTATATCGGTTCCTCTTCCAGCCATATTTGTAGAAATTGTAATAGTTCCTTTTCTACCTGCTTGTGTTATAATCTCTGCTTCTCTAGCAATGTTCTCTGGTTTTGCATTTAGTAAATTAAATGGTATCTTTAATTCATTAAGAATTCCAGCTAAAAATTCTGATTTTTCTACATTTGTTGTTCCAATTAAAACAGGTCTTCCTATCTTATACATATCAAGGCATTCATTAGCAATTGCTTTCCATTTACTGTATTCATTTTTATAAACAAAGTCAGGAAAATCTTGTCTGAGACATATTTTATTAGTAGGTATTTCTTCAACTTCTAATTGATATATTCTATCAAGTTCAGTTTCTTCAGTTTTTGCTGTTCCGGTCATTCCAGATAATTTTTTATACAGTAAAAATAAGTTTTGGTAAGTAATAGATGCTAAAGTTAAATTTTCAGGTTGAATTTTTTTATTTTCTTTAGCTTCAATTGCTTGGTGTAAGCCATCACTCCATCTGCGTCCTTCCATGATTCTGCCTGTAAATTCATCAACTATAACGATCTCTTCATTTTTTATTATATAATGTATATTTTTATAGAATAATTCCTTAGCTTTTAGTGCGCTTAAAATATATTGAATCCATGGGTTATTAATATCGTACAAATTTCTAGTCTTTAGTAGTTGTTCACAGACTTTAATACCATCTTCAGTTAAAATTACATTTCTTGTTTTTTCGTCAACATCATAGTGTATATTTTTTGTTATTTTTGTTACTATTTCCTGACTAATATAGTATTTATTTGTTTTTTCTTCAGAAGGTCCTGAGATAATTAGTGGTGTTCTCGCTTCATCTATTAAAATAGAGTCAACTTCATCAACAATAGCAAAATGAAATTCTTTTTGAACAAGATCCGATTGATTAATTGCCATATTATCCCTTAAATAATCAAAACCTAATTCATTATTAGTAATATATGTAATATTACAGCGGTATTGCATTTTTCTTTCTTCTATATTCATTGACTGTTGTATTAGGCCAACATCAATATTAATATATTGGAAAACTTTACGTACTAATTCAGCATCTCTTTTGGCCAAATAGTCATTTACTGTTATTATACTAACACCTTTGCCATTTAAAGTATTTAAATATGATGGAAGAATAGCAACTAATGTCTTCCCTTCACCTGTCTTCATTTCAGCAATTTTACCTTTATGTAAAACAATACCTCCTAAAATTTGAACATTAAATAATTCTATTCCTAGAGCTCGTTTTATAGCTTCTTTAGCTGTTCCAAAAGCTTCAGGTAAAATTTCATCTAAAGTGAAACCTTGCATTAGCAATTTTTGCATTTTTTGAGTCTGCAATTTTAAATCATGGTCAGAATAAACACTAATGATCTTGTGAAAGTGATTTATCTGATTAATTAATAATTGAAATTTGTTATATTTTTGTTGTGGTAAAAGATTAAACATTTATAATGCCTTCATTAAAGAGTAATATTTATAATGTTGTTGAATGAAATAATTTCAGTATTTGTGGAGAAAAAATCTCTTGTACTGTTGCAAGTTGTTTATGTTCATGGTAAAGAGTATATTTTCTGCCCCACATAGGTTCATTGTAATTAAAGTGTTTTTCTAAACATTGACAGTAACCATAAAAAAGCTCATGTATGTCTTTATGTATATCTACTTTAAACTGTATTAAAGATTGACCTATTGGTTGATCTGTAGGTAAAATAAATAAATTTGTTTTCATATTGTAAGGCCAAATAGACTTTGCAAATGCTAATTTATTACCTTGTTGATCTTTTATCCAGACTTCTCTTATTGTATAATCATTTTCTGCTTTAATGTTATTATACAGTGATAATATTTCTACTTGAATCAGTTGACCTGTTAGAGAGTTTAAATTTTGAGTAAATGAACCATCACTTTTTAAAATAAGCTCCCACACAATTGGTATGACATTACCTATACAGTAAGTATTTGTATTAATGGGCAGAAAGAAAACTTTGTGAAATTTATATCGAAAATTAGTATTCATATTATTAATGATCTACATTAATATATTTTATAGTTTATTAAGTTTGTTTATCAATGATGTTCCATTCATTTCTTGTGGTATATTAATATGCAAAAGATTAAGTATAGTAGGAGCAATATCTGCAAGGCACCCTTGTTCTATAAGTTGAATATTTTGTTTATTATAAAACTGACTATTTGCTATGATAAAAGGTACACGATTAATACTATGTGATGTACATGGTTTGTTATCATAATCTATCATGTATTCTGCATTTCCATGATCTGCTGTAATTATTAACGTTCCATCAACTAGCTGAACTTCTCGATATAATTTATCCAAGCATTCATCAACCTTTGCAATAGCTTCAATAGTTGCTTGTAGATTTCCAGTATGTCCTACCATGTCAGGATTTGCATAGTTGATAACGATAAATTGGTATATATTTTTTTGTATTGCACGAATTACACTTTCAGTAAGTTGGTCAGCTGACATTTTGGGCGCTAAATCATATGTCTCAACTTGTGGACTAGATATTAATTCTCTATCTTCACCTGGAAAAGGTTCTTCTATTCCGCCATTAAAAAAGTATGTAACATGTGCGTATTTTTCTGTTTCTGCTAACCTTAATTGTTTGAGCCCATGATTTGATAATATTTCTCCAAGAAAATTGGTATTATGTTGAGGTGAAAATACTATAGGTATAGATAAACTTGTATCGTATTTGGTAAAAGTTATAATATTTAAGTTATTTATTGTCTTAGTTGGAAAACCTTTGAATGTATCTTTGGTGAAGCAATGCAAAAGTTGCCGTATTCTATCCGGTCTAAAGTTAAAAAAAATAATACTATCTTCATTAGAAATTTTTCCTTTATAAATTCTTTGTGGCATTATAAATTCGTCTGAAATAGAATTCCTATGATTATTTTTTATTAATTCTAATGGATCAATTATTTGTTCTATGCTATCATCTACAAGTACATTGTAAGCTTTTTCTGTTCTAGACCATCTACAATCTCGATCCATACTATAGTATCTTCCACTTATAGTGCATATATTGATATATGAAGTATCTTGAATTTGATCGATGATTTCTTGTATAAATTGATGAGATATGTATGGTTGTGTATCTCGTCCATCAGTTGTTATATGTATGCATGTATTTAATTTATATTGTTTACTTATTTTGATTAAAGCGATTAAATGTTCTATATGCGAATGTACGCCACCATTGGAGCAAAGGCCAATTAGATGTAGTTTAGAACAATTTATAATTGTTTGTTTATATATTTTATGTAATGTTGAATTATGAAAAAAACTTTTATCCTTTATTGATTTATTAATACGTACTAAATCTTGATTAATGACTCTACCAGAGCCAATTGTTGTATGTCCTACTTCAGAATTACCCATTTGATTTTCAGGTAAACCAACATATTTACCTGATGCGTTAAGTAAAGTATGGCTGTAAGTATTCCAAAGTTTATCTATAATTGGTGTTTTTGCTAACTTGATTGCATTTCCTTGTACTTTGTCACTATACCCCCAGCCATCAAGAATAGTTAAAACTATAGGATAAAAAGTGTTTTGTTGCATAAAATGAAACCAAAAATTTAAATAGTCTGTATTAATAATTAATATTGATTACAATTTAAAGAGAATATGTGTGATAATTTATTCTACTTATTAATTTATAAGAGTACATATAACAGCTTTTTTATCTTAGGTCAAGATAAAGAATATATTAGAAAAAGAATTTATATTAATTTATTGTAAATATTAAAATAAGAAACTAGAAGTAAGCATAAATTAATATGTAAATAATGCGTTTTCTAGTTATTTGTTGTACTTATGTAAGTTTAGATAAAAGTCTTAACTTAATGTGTTAATTGCATAATCTAAGTAAGTATTTGCTTCATTTGCTGCTTGTCCAGCTAATCCATGACTTACTTTAATATATTGTAAAGCTTCAATATACCAACTCGGTGAAAGTTCAAAGCTGCGGTTAATTTCTTCTAGACCAGCCACCAAATACTCATCCATCGGTCCTGTTGCTCCAACAACTAAGCAATATGTAGTCATTCTTAAATAATATCCAATATCACGTGCACATTTGGCCTTTCCAATAGCACTTGATGCATAAGTTGGGCCTGGCATTTGTGTTACAAATGGGTATTTTGTATATACAGCTTGAGCAGCTCCAGTAATTAATCTTTGTGCATTATTAGTTAAAGATTTTGCTGCTTCTATACTAGCGTTAGCTCTTTGATATCTACCATTTATTGATTGTAATTCACCATTGCTTAAAAATCTTCCTTGGCTGTCAGCAGATGCAATAGCTTCTGTGATAGGTGTTTTCATAATAAATTTTCCTTATATAATAATATTTATTTCTTAATTTGGTATTATTAGTGTCATTATACGACTGCAACTGCAGCACGGTCAAAATATACAACTAATTCAGCAGTTAATGAACTACAGTCTCCTAAAGGTACTCCATTTAAGTCATTAGCTAATGCAATTGAAGCTTCTTTCATTTTTTGTACAGCTACTGCTACAGAAGTTCCTGGTGTGCCTAATGCTTGATAAGTTTCTCTTAAACCATTTAAGCATCTATCATCTAAAACACTAGAATCTCCAGCAATCATAGCATAGCTTACATATCTTAAGACGATTTCCATGTCTCTCAAGCATGCAGCCATTCTTCTACTTGTATAAGCATTTCCTCCAGGTTGAACTAATTGTGGTTGTTCTGCAAATAAAGCACGTGCAGAATTAGTTACAATAGCTGAGGCATTTGAATTAATTTTATTTACTACATCTAATCTTTTATTACCTTCTGCAACCATTGCCACTAAAGCATCTAATTGTGTATTACTTAAGAATTCACCTCGAGCATCAGCTTGAGCTACGATTTTTGCAAACGCATCTAACATATTGATTTTCTCCTTGCATGGAATTTATAGGTCAAAGTTTATTAAGAACTAAGATTAAGATTTTATCTTCATTTTAAATACGATAAGAAAATATTGAATTAGTACTTAATATATTATTATATATATCTGCTATAATTTTTATCAAAAAAAATATTACAAATTGTCTCTTCTATACATTTCATTAACAGCCAATAATTTCAGGCTGTACGACTTCATCAACCATTTCCAGTATTGCACGTATAATTGGTTTAATAAGAGGATCTTCAACTATGTCAATTTCTTCATACTTGCCTCTTTTAGCTCTATTTGCTACTTGTATAGTCATTACATATCTGTTTTGCGATACTTCTAGCAATTTTTCTGTCTTGTATGTTACTTGGCTTGACTCAATTTTTTGGTATCTATTCATTAATTTAAATATTGTAGTTAATTAAAATCTGATTTATCTGTCTTCTGTATATATTGAATTAAAATATGTAATACTAATTTCATAACATATTAATTAATTTTATTAAAACCAAATTATATAATTATGTAGTTATATTTTAGTTTGTTTTTTCTTTATTAATATCTAAAATTGTCAATATATTAAACATATACCGAATAATGTATATGTATAAATTATATAATCCGTACACACTATTTATATACTTAATAGTATATAAGTTACATTCAGAACATTAATACATTTTAGCTTAAAATAATAATCATATATGCAAATATCAAAATATTTTACTCATAAGCTTGTTCAATATTCAGGCTATCCTTCTATTTTAATTGAACGAGACGCATGTGGAGTAGGTTTCATTGCTCAAATAAATCAATTGCCTTCTCATAATTTAGTTATAAAGGCTATAAACGCATTAAGCTGTATGGAGCATAGAGGTGGATGTAGTGCAGATCGTATTTCTGGTGATGGTGCTGGTATAACAACACAAATACCTTGGAATTTGTTGAAAAGTTCTTTTGCATCTCAACAGATTCAATTTTACAATGATGTAGCTGTTGCAATGGTCTTTTTACCTTCTGAACATATTCAGGCAATACGAAAAATTTTTGTATGGGCTTTGGAAGAAGAGGGTTTAAATGTATTAAATTGGAGAAATGTTCCCAGAAATGATTCGGTTTTAGGAACTCAAGCAAAATTAAATCAGCCTGAAATTCAACAGTGCTTTGTTCAAGCCAAAGACGTAACAGGAGATGCTCTAGAGCGGTTATTATATCTTACAAGAAAAAAAATCGAAAAATTAATAGCACAAACAAACTTAAATCTAAATAAACAATTTTACTTTTGTTCTTTTTCATCAAAAATGATTGTGTATAAAGGTATGGTGAAATCAAAAATTTTAGCACAATATTATTTAGATTTATCTGATTCACGTTATGAAAGTAATTTTGCAATATATCATAGAAGATTTAGCACTAATACTTTGCCTAAATGGCCTTTAGCACAGCCGATGAGATTTATGGCTCATAATGGAGAGATCAATACTTTACTAGGTAATTTAAATTGGATGAAATCAAAAGAGTCATTATTAAAGCATTCTTACTGGAATAATAATCATGACATCTTAATACCAGTTACAAGCTCTGAAAATAGTGACTCTGCTAATTTAGATGCAGTACTTGAATTATTTATTCAATCAGGTAAGAGTCCACAAGAAGCATTAATGATTTTGATTCCAGAAGCTTATCAAGATCAACCAGCACTAGATCAATTTCCTGAAATCATTGATTTTTATGAGTACTACAAACCTCTGCAAGAACCTTGGGATGGCCCTGCCTTAGTAGTTTTTAGTGATGGTAAAATAGTAGGTGCAACTCTAGATAGAAATGGTCTGAGACCGGCACGTTACTTAATTACTCAAGATGGATTTATTAGTTTATCTTCTGAAGTAGGTGTTTTTGATATTGATTCTAAATCTATAGTGCAAAAAGGTCGATTAGGGCCGGGACAAATTTTTTGTGTTGACTTAGTAAATAATTTAATTTTAGATAATTGGACGATTAAACAGTTTATCGCGAATAAATTTCCATATAAAAAATGGATACAAAAGTATCAAAAAGTTTTGATACCGGAACATTATTTAAATGATGAAGGTATTAATAAATTGCAAATGAATAAATTGCATACAGCTTTTGGTTATACGAATGAAGATATAGAATTAGTAATTGAACATATGGCTAGCTCAGCAAAAGAGCCTACGTTCTGTATGGGTGACGATATACCATTGGCTGTCTTATCAGAAAAGCCACATCTCATTTATGATTATTTCAAACAAAGATTTGCTCAAGTTACTAATCCTGCAATAGATCCTCTAAGAGAAAGTTTAGTAATGTCTTTAAATATGCATCTGGGATCTAAAGGTAATTTGTTGGAACCTCAGGATTATATGGCAAAATCAATCTTACTAGATTCTCCTATATTGAATGAGAGAGAATTAAAACAACTTTTCAATCATGGTTTTAAAATTACAGTCATTAATACTTTTTTTAATCAAGATGTAGAATTTCAAAATTTTCATGTCAAAATTCAAGATATATGTAAAAAGAGTGTGCATTCAATAAATAATGGAGCTGAAATTATTGTATTAAGTGACAAAGTACAAAATTTGTCTGATCAAGAAGCATTTATTCCACCTTTACTAATTATAGGTGCAGTGCATCATTATTTAATATCAAAACATTTGAGACATAAGGTATCTTTAGTTGTAGAGACAGCGCAATGCTGGAATACACACCATTTTGCATGCTTGATTGGTTATGGAGCAAGTGCGATCTGTCCTTATGCAGCATTTTTAACTGTAAGACAATGGTGGAATAGTCCAAGAACACAAAAATTAATGTCTAAGGAGAAATTGGATAGTTTAACTATTCAACAATCTCAAAATAATTATCGTGTTGCTATTAATAAAGGCTTATTAAAAATTCTTTCTAAGATGGGAATTTCACTACTATCTAGTTATCATGGTGCACAAATATTTGAAATACTAGGATTAGGTAAAGAATTAGTAAATATGGCATTTTTAGGAACAACATCTCGTCTAGATGGAATTACTTTAAATGAATTAGCTATGCAAACTATAAAAATATATAATACTGCTTTTTTATCATCATTGCCTAAAAAATTACCTAATTTAGGTTATGTACAATATCGTCCAAGCGCAGAATATCATGTTAATAATCCTGAAATGTCTAAAACATTACATAAAGCTGTAAGAAATAATGATCATCTTTTGTATACTAAATATAAAAATTTATTGAATAATCGTCCACCAACAAATCTTCGAGATTTACTTACTGTTTCTAGTAACTTACCTTCCATTCACATTAATGAAGTAGAGCCGATAGAATCTATTTTGGAATGCTTTTGTACTGGTGGTATGTCTTTAGGTGCTTTATCTAGAGAAACGCATGAAACTTTAGCAGTAGCTATGAATAGAATAGGAGGAAAATCGAATTCAGGTGAAGGTGGAGAAGATGCAAGTCGCTTTGGATTAATACAAGATGTTGATATTGCAGGTATTTCCAAAAGCTTTTCGCATTTAAAAGGTCTCAAATTGAATGATACGGCTAGTTCAGCTATAAAGCAGGTAGCTTCAGGGCGTTTTGGTGTTACTCCTGAATACCTTGTTAATGCCAAGCAATTAGAAATTAAAATAGCTCAAGGAGCTAAACCAGGTGAAGGAGGGCAGTTACCTGGAAAAAAAGTCAGTCCATATATTGCTCAGTTAAGAAATTGTAAGCCAGGTGTTACATTAATCTCACCACCACCACACCATGATATTTATTCTATAGAAGATTTAGCTCAGTTAATTTTTGATTTGCATCAAATTAATCCAATAGCAAAGGTGTCTGTGAAGTTAGTTGCAGAAATTGGTATAGGTACTATTGCCGCAGGTGTTGCAAAAGGAAATGCAGATATAATTCAAATATCTGGTCATGATGGAGGTACAGGAGCATCACCATTAAGTTCTATTAAACATGCTGGTAGTCCATGGGAGTTAGGTTTGACAGAAGTGCATCAAACATTAGTAGAAAATAACTTACGAGACAGGGTCTTATTAAGGGTAGATGGTGGTTTAAGAACAGGTCATGATATTATTCTTGCAGCCTTAATGGGTGCTCAAGAATTTGGCTTTGGTACAGTTGCTATGATTGCAACAGGTTGTGTTATGGCTAGAATTTGTCATACAAATAACTGTCCTGTAGGTGTTGCAACACAACGTCAAGATTTAAGAAATCGTTATCCTGGTATACCTTCAGATTTAGTAAACTTTTTTCTATTTATTGCAGAAGAAGTTAGGCAAATATTGGCAACTTTAGGTTATAAAAGTTTACAAGAGATAGTTGGTTTAAGTAAATTATTAAAATATAAATCTACTGTTTTATCTAAAACAAAGTACCTGAACTTAGATACTTTATTATTTAATCCAGTAGCTATTGATGTAATTGAAAAGCATGATTTTGTTCATAGTAATGGTACAGTTTTAGATGATATTTTACTAAGTGATCCAGATTTTAAAAATGCCATTCAATTTCAGTCAGACATTACTAAGACAGTGCAAATAGTGAATACTGATAGATGTGTAGGTGCTAGAATATCAGGAGTTATAGCAAAAAAATATGGTAATTATGGCTTTAATGGTAACTTGCAATTAGATTTTCAAGGAGTTGCCGGACAGAGCTTTGGTGCTTTTATTTCTAAAGGTATACATTTAAGCCTGATAGGTGAAGCCAATGATTATGTTGGAAAGGGTATGAATGGAGGAGAAATAATTATCTGTCCTTCTCAATATGAGAATAATCATGCTTCAGAAAAAGTGATTCTTGGTAATACTTGTTTATATGGAGCAACAGGAGGTTATTTATTTGCAAGTGGACAAGCAGGTGAAAGATTTGCTGTAAGAAATTCATCTGGTCAAGCTGTAGTGGAAGGGGTGGGTGATCATCCATGTGAGTATATGACAGGAGGTTTAATTGTTGTTTTAGGCCCATCAGGTCGTAATATTGGCGCAGGTATGACAGGAGGCTTAGCTTACTTTTTAGATGAAGATAATACGTTAGTTTCTAAAATCAATCAAGAAATTGTAAAATATCAACATATAGTAACTAAAGAAGGTGAAGAGCAATTAAAAAATATGATAGAGCTTTATGAAATTAAAACTAAAAGTATTAAAGCAAAACATATTTTAGATAATTGGAATAAATATCTTGATATGTTTTGGCAAATAGTACCACCTTCAGAAAATTCAACTCCTTTAACTGATTTTAAATATTCTATTTTTAATACAGTATCAAATTAAATTTCTTATATTTTATGTATTTAGTCTTAGTTAATTATTTTACTTTTTATGAAGTTTTTATAGTGTTTTAATATATTATCTTCTTTATTGTAATATAATATTCATTGGATATATATTATCAGTTAAAGTTTATATAATACTAATAGATTGAATTAATTTTGTAATTTCAGAAAGAGTTATACCCATATGGCACATAATGTTAAAGTTTATGATACTTGTATTGGTTGTACGCAATGTGTACTTGCTTGTCCGTGTGATGTATTAGAAATGGTTCCTTGGGATGGATGTAAGGCTTCTCAAATAGCATCTGCTCCAAGAACAGAAGATTGTATTGGTTGCAAGCGCTGTGAAACAGCATGTCCTACAGATTTTTTAAGTGTTAGAGTGTATTTAGGTGCAGAGACTACGCGAAGTATGGGCTTAGCATATTAATATTTATAATTGATTGCATATATTTATTATACCAATTATATAAAGATACAATTACATAATTGGTTTAGTAATGTTTTTAGTTCTATCTATAATTATGAAGTTATCAAATATAAAGTTCAAAAAAAATTTCTCTACATCAAGAGTAGTGAAAATTATCAGCGGTTTAAGTAATTTTAATCTTAATTATATCGTTAGAGTTGTAAAAGCAGCACAAATAGGTAAAGCAGATTATGTTGATATAGCGGCTAATGCTAAAATTGTATCAGTCATAAAATCTTTCACAAAAATTCCAATATGCGTTTCTTCTATTAATTCAATAGATTTATACCGTTGTATTGTGTCTGGTGCTGATGTAGTTGAAATAGGTAATTTTGATTCTTTGTATTCTCAAGGAATTATCTTTTCAAGTAACCAAGTAATAAAATTAGCACAAGAGATTAAACTATTGTTGCCAAATTCTACTATTTGTGTAACTATACCACATATACTCTTGTTGGATCAGCAAATAAGACTAGTATCAAATTTACAAAAAATTGGTATATCTATGGTACAAACAGAAGGTTTAAGCACGAAACTTATATATAGATCTATATATAATAGTTATGTATCGTATTCTATCTATAAAGCTTCAGCCGCATTATCTTCCTCTTATTCAATATCTCAATCTACTGATATTCCAGTTTTATCTTCCTCGGGTATTAACTCGATTTCTGCTCCAATTGCTATAGCTTATCAGGCATCAGGTGTAGGTATAGGTTCATTATTAAAGAATTTTAATACTATTGATGAGATGTCAAATTGTATAAATGATATAGTTGTGTCGTTATCTTATTGTATTTACGGTTTGCCACAAAAAAAATCCTTAAAAATACATCGATTTATTAATTTTGATATTCAAATAGCAGTATATATAAATTAATTATATTGTAATTACTTACTATTGTATTTTGAGCATACATATATACATAATGAATAAAGTAAAACATCAAAATTTTTGGATCAATATACAAAATATAGTAATTTTTTTTATTTTTACAGGTTTTACTATTATTACATGGATATTACTTACTTCTAAAATATATAAGAAGAGTTACTTACTCTTAATAGAATTCAATAATGCTCATGGACTTAAAGAAGGCACCTCTTTAACAATGCGAGGAGTAAATATTGGTTATATTAAAAACTTGAAAATAGATTTAAATTCTATTCTAGTTTTAGTAAATATTAAATCTTCTCATATTTTGATTCCAAAAAATTCTATAATTGAGACAAATCAAACAGGCTTATTAAATGATGCTATAATAAATATTATTCCATTAGAGCATATTAAAATTAAAGATACTCAAAGTGTCAATGTTTTTTCTTCGCAATGCATCACCTCTCCTTTTCTATGTCATTTAAATTATGTAGAAGGTGATAGAGGTTTGAATTATGATGATTTAGTTAGAGCTGCTACTCGTCTTTCTCAACGTTTTGATGATCCTGCTTTTTTTAATGTATTTTATTTGTTTTTACAAAACAGTATTGATTTATCAGATAATATTGTCAATATGACTTTTGATCTTTCAGATCTTATTACCATATTTTACAGTGTGTTTTTTCGTTTTATACAAAATTACAGATAAAAAACATGTGTTATATTTATTTAAATATTATTTTCAACTTTTATTTTTGTGATAATTATGTCTAATAGAAAAGGGGTGTCTTTAGATTTTTTAAAACCAGTAATTGAATTAGAGTACCAAGTAGATCAGTTAGGTAAAATAGCTGGTCACAATAAATTATGGGTTTATCAGCAATTATATATCTTTCAAAAAAAATTGGCCGATTTAAAAAAAGAAATATTTCATTCATTAACTCCTTTACAAAGATTACATTTAGTACGCCAAGCTGATAGACCTACAACCTTAGATTATATACCATATATATTAGATAATTGGATTGAGCTTCATGGTGATCGCGGTGGTGCAGATGATTTAGCTTTAGTTGGTGGAATAGGACGATTGAATGGTTCTACGGTTATGTTTGTTGGTCATCAACGAGGTAAAGATACAAAAGATAACGTTGTAAGAAATTTTGGTATGGCATCTCCTGGGGGTTATAGAAAAGCATTACGCTTAATGCAGCATGCCAACAGATTTAATTTTCCTATACTAACTTTTATTGATACACCTGGGGCATGGGCAGGTATTGAAGCAGAAAGATTAGGTCAAGGTGAAGCAATTGCAGTAAATTTACGAGAAATGTTTTCTTTTAATGTTCCTATAATTTGTACAATTTTAGGTGAAGGAGGATCTGGTGGAGCATTGGGTATTGGAATTGGTGATACAATATTAATGTTAGAGTATGCAGTTTACACGGTAGCAACTCCAGAGGCGTGTGCAGCTATTTTATGGAAAGATAGTAAGTTATCTTTGGAAGCAGCAGAAGCTTTAAAAATAACTTCTTCAGATTTAAAAGTTTTAGGAGTAATTGATAGAGTTGTTCATGAGCCAATAGGAGGTTCACAGTCTAATCCTCAACAAGCAGCTCTTACACTAAAACAAGAGCTTATTACGGAATTGAATATATTGCAAAAATTTACAAATGATGAAAGAAAAGAATTAAGATATCAAAAATTTCGCAAAATGGGAACATTCTATGAAGAATAGTTATCCTTGAATATTATTTTGTTTTAGGCTTTATTGTTTAATATAAAGCCTTTATTTGCATTATTATATACTTTAAGAAATAATTCTTATACTACTTAGTCCAATAATAGCTCCAGCACCAATTAAATGGCCCAAACTAGTTGTTGCTAACAATTCTGGTAATCCGAAGCCTTGTAGTCCAAGTATAGGTATACTAGGACCTAATCCTCTTACTTGAATCGCATATCGCCCGATACCTATTGATATAAAATTACAGATAATCATTATAATAGCAATTTTTGGAGACCAAATAGCTGTATAAGGTGTGATAGTTAATAAAATATTTGTATTCATAGCAATTAATTTTAGTATTATTAAATGGTTTGTAAAAAATAAATTTTTACAAAAGAATATATCTAATATAATAAGACATACTGAATAAATTTGAACTAAATTAGATAAGAATTAATATAATTATGATAACCAACCATAGCTATGTAAACCTTTGCCAAGAAAATTAACTCCTAAATAACATATCCATACAACAAGAAAGCCTATAGATGCTAGAATAGCTGGCTTTTCACCTGCCCATGATTTACTGAATCTTGAATGTAAGTAAGCTGCAAAAATTAACCATGTAATTAGAGCCCAAGTTTCTTTAGGATCCCAACTCCAATATGAACCCCAAGCATCATTGGCCCATACAGCACCTGCAATGATACCAATAGTTAATAGAGGAAAACCTAGTCCTATAATTCTATAACTTAAATTATCAATTATTTGCAGAATGCTCATTCTATCTGAGTAAAGCGCAGAATTATTAGCTATACTGGTTGACATTTGTATTCTATAATTTGTTCTTTTTTGATTAATATTAGAATTTTTCAGATTTACTTTATAAATAATTAGAAATAGTATTGAGAGTAATGAACCAAGAATTAATAATGCATAGCTAATCATCATTATACTTACATGCATCATTAACCAATTAGATCTTAGTGCTGGAACTAAAGGTACAGTTTTTTTCATTTCTGATGGTAATGAAAAACTAGTAAATGCAATAATAAATAAGCAAATAGGTGTATTAATAGCTCCAATTAATTTACTTTTATTTTGTTGTTCAAGTATTAAATGAACTAAAGTTAATCCCCAAGTTAAAAAAATTAAAGACTCATATAAATTACTTAAAGGAAAATATTTATTTTCTATCCATCTTATTATTAATGTGCTACTTAGACATAGATTAACAGCAAGAGTACATATCTTGCCAAGATTAGAGAGCATTTTCAAGTTAGTAAATGCTATATTAATCCAATAAACAAATAATGTAAAAAGTAATATAGCAAAGGATAGATTGATTAATGTATTTTCAATTAGATTTGAATTCATGTTATTCTCCCAGTTTTATATGAAAAGTATAAAGTAAAATATAATATATATTATATTTTACTGTTTTTAATTGTAATTAATACAGTAATAAGTACACTTTTAAATAAAATAAAACCAAAACTATATATAGTTTTGGTTTTATTTTATTTAAATCTATTTAATACTATTGTATTTGAAGTTTATAATATTAAGATAGTGAATTGATAACATAATCTAGAGCAGCACCATATTCTAAGCCTGCTTGTGCTGACATATCTCTAGGTACACACAATCTATCACGAGTAAATACAAATGCAGCAAGATAAGAAGCAGATGGTAGATTTAATGCTCTGTAAACTTCACGTGCACCAGCGATACCCCACTCATCAAAAGGTCCTGTTCCACCAACAATTAAAGCATAGTTAATTAGACGCATATAATGATCTATATCTCTATAGCATTTATTGACTTTTTCTTGACTGTCTCCAGCTTCACCTGAATTTTTTAAGAATGAATATTTAGCAAAACAAGCATCTCCAGCTTCTTTTACAACAGCTTCATGATTATTTGCAAGTTTTTCAGCTGCTTCTAATCTTGCACCCGCACGTTGAATATTTCCTTGAACTGATTCAAGATCTGAGCTAGTCAGGAAACGACCAGCAGCATCAGCAGCGCTGATTATAGTAGTAATAACTGATTTCATTTTTATATCCTTATTAGATTGTAATACCTATTTTAAATATTCTTATCTTATTGCTATAAAGTTTAGCTAAGTGCAGCGCCAACTCTATCACAGTAGCTTGCAACTTCTGCAGATAATGCAGAGCAGTCACCACTAGTTGTAGCCATTTTACGTTGAGATGCTGTATTATTAACAAATGCAACAGCTGCAGCTTTCATTATAACAACAGATCTAATAGAAGAATTATTAGGTACGCCAAGAGCAATGTAAGTTTCTTTTAAACCATTTAGGCAACGATCTTCTAAGACAGAAGCATCTCCTGCAAGTAAAGCATAGGAGATATAGCGTAAAATAATCTCTCCATCACGTAAACAAGCAGCCATACGACGATTAGTATAGCAATTGCCCCCTGGAGCAATTAGTCCAGGATTTTCACAAATCATACCAGAAACAGCGTCTGATACGATGCAGCTAGCATTAGAAACAATAGAATTTACAGCATCTAAACGTTTGTTACCATCTGCGATAAAAGTTTTAAGAGCTTGTAGATCACTGCCACCTACGTAAGCAGCTTTAGCGTCTGAATTAACTACAACTCTAGAAAATGCGTCAAGCATGGAGCTCTCCTTGTATTTTTTTGTAAAGGACTTAGCTGTTTCAACTGTCATTTTTTTGACAAGCCGATGTATTAGTGTCGAGAATATAATATATTGTATCTTGTAAACAAATCAGTATAACAAATTAATATTTCGTAATATTTTCTAAGGTATAGAATTTTTGATAAAATATTTTATTATATTATCTTTAATCATCATTTGTTTTAATATTATCATTAAGTGTTTTTTTGTATTATTATTATCTAGCTTATTGATTTTTTTTATATATATAGCTAATTTAAATTCTTGTTCAAGTGTTAGTTGATTACCATTATCCATACATTATAGTCACTCTAATTTTATAATGAATATTTAAGAATAGGTTTATATAAACTTTTTTAATAAAGTTTTTTTAGTCAAGATTAATAATATGAGAAAATTTAATTTCATTAATTCTAGTATAATATTTTATTATGATTGCATATACTAAGAATAATTGTTTTCATTAAATTATATTTTAATTAAGATAGTATTGAAGCATTTTTATTTACAATTTGTAATGTGCCATGATTTTAATACTTCTTGATTTAATAATGTTGATTTTGATCCAAAAAACTTAGTATAAATAATTATATATATAAACTTTATTGAAGTTACAGATCAATCTGGAGACTCATCATGTCTATTCCAATATTAAATTATGCATTTTCTACTCAAAATCAAAGAGTAGATGGTTTTGAATATTTGCCTGGAGAAGAACAGCCTAAAATATATACAACAGAAAATTTACCAACTGCTTATGAGATGGATGAAATTATATGGAGTGGTTATCGTCAAATATTTAGTGAGCATCAAATTTTAAGTAGTACAAATGAACCTTTTTTAGAGTCTCAGTTAAGATTTAATCAAATAACAATTAAAGATTTTATTAAAGGATTATTATTATCGCAAGCATTTCGTAATTTAAACTATGATGTAAATAATAATTATAGATTTGTAGAAATGTGTATACAAAGAGTTTTAGGTCGTGATATTTATAATGAAAGAGAAAAACTGGCATTTTCAGTATTAATAGGATCAAAAGGATTAGAATTCTTTGTTGATGTTTTATTAAATAGTGATGAATATGTAGACAATTTTGGAGATAATACGATACCTTATCAAAGAAGGCGTATAATTGCTCAAAGGAGTAAAGGAGAAATCCCTTTTAATTTAAAGACGCCTCGTACAGGTAAAGAATTTTTAATGAAGCAAGAAAGGCCTCAGTTATTATGGGCGGGTTCTATACGGAAGTTTAGACCTCAAGAGCAATCTCCTAAAGCCGGTGATCCTGCTTTGTTTTTAAATATGGTAACAGATGTATCTCCAATATCCTTAGGTTAATAATCTATCTATAAACTATAAATTTTAAATTAAGAGTCTATATATTATACTACTGACTCTTAATTTTATAATTTAGATTAACTGAATATTAAGTGTTAGCTACCTAATTTAAATGCATCTACAAATATTCCATAAATAATCCCTATTTTTATATGATTAATAATAGAAGGTATTTTTAAGATGTTATTTTTTCTAGAATATATCAATTTACTAGCTATTTCATAAACTGTAACTATAATAGATGCTCCAATAATACCCCAGTCACCTGTTTGGGCAGGCATTGTTGATAAAGCAGTTGAAATAAAAAAGCCTAAAAGTAGACTAATTATTTTGTATTTTAAATCACATAGTGTAATATTTGAAATATGTTTCAAAGCTGTAATTATAATTATGTCTTACAATATTTAATTCATCAATGAAAAAAATTATATATCTTGTTCACTTAAAGATTCTATTATATATTGAAAAGGTTCACTAATAATAAAGCGATCACTAGTATCAATAAATTTTAACTCATTTTGTATAATATCTTCTAAAATTTGAATACTTCTTACGGTTGGTGCAAGTGGTACATTTAATGAATTATATGTATCTCGTAGACCATCTAGTACTCGTTCGTTTAGAATATTAGTATTGCCTGCAATAATCGCATAACTAGTATATCGTAAATAATACTCAATATCTCGTAAACATGCAGCATATCGGCGAGTAGTATAAGAATTCCCTCCAGGTCTTAATAGTTCAGGCTGCTCTTCATATAATATAGCCGCTGCTTCTTTAATGATAGTTGCTGCTTTACTATTTATAGTTTCTATCGTTTTTATTCTTTTAATAGCATTTGAAAAATAGATTTCTAGTTCATTAACCGCAAATTGATCTAAGTATTTACCTGTTAAATCATACTTATTCATAATATTAGTAATAGCATCTTGCATTATTTGTATCTCCAATATAATAGACTGTCAATTTTCAATTATAATAAATTTCTAATTATTTTAGTTATTAATATATTATTGTATGGTGTTTAATTTAGTCTTTCATATAATTAATCTTTTTAATAATTGATAATTAAAAGTCATATCTATTAATATATAATATCATTTATATATATCTTAATTTAAAGTCTTTTTATTAAATATACATAAAATGGATAATTGTTATTGTTTAATTAGACTCATTTTATCTAAAAAGATAGTCTTATATTTTTTTCAAGACCATAATCACAATATAAATTATCCTATTTGTTTTACAGCTTATAATGCTAATATTTTATCTAAATTAATCGATGTTTATAAAAATACAAGATATTTGTCTATCCAGCATTATTTATATTTAGGACAAGAAATCTTTAAAGCAGAACAGTGTTTATTTTTAGGTCAAGAATACATACAAAATTAATTATTATTTTGATTGCTTTACAAGTTATTAGATAATATAATCTTTTTGATATGGGCATGTAACTCAGTGGATAGAGTGTCAGATTCCGATTCTGATGGTCGAAGGTTCAAATCCTTCCTTGCTCATAATTCATTTTTTATATTTTTCTGCTATTAATACTTTTTTAAAAAATATATGGTATAATGTTACTCAATTATTATTTAAAGGGGCTGTTTGGTTTCTACATATAACTCTGTATGTTGAAGTTGTAAAGGATGAAGATAAGCTAAACTTCATTAATCCTAGCTTAATTACAAATGCAAAACATCAAATTCTTCCTTTTTCTAAAAACCTTGTGTTAGTTTAGCTTTTTATTTGATTCGTTATTTTAATATAAGGAATATTTAGAATATCAGTTTATAATTACTCTCTATTTCTTGATATTTTTCTTTGAGATGCTCTTAAGTAAATTATTAATTCTTAAGCTAAGTTACAATTATTATATATTGATTTTCCTTTGTGCTTCATTATTGTAAGCAGGCTTTGCGTACTGTTTTAATATGGACGTGGGTTCGATTCCCACCAGTTCCAATATTATTTTCTAGCTTTAAATTTTGGGGATGTATGATGACAAATAAACCTATTAAAATTACTAATATGGCTCTACAGCGTTTATTAAGTCTTAACTGCTTGGAGATGAATAAAGTTTATTTAAGAATATCTGTAAAACAAGGAGGTTGCTCTGGTATGTCCTATTTAATGAATTTTGTAAAATCAGAAGATCTACAAAAAGCTGATTCAATTATTGAATTTGAGAATTTTCAAATAGTATGTGATAGTAAAAGTTTATTGTATTTATATGGTATGTCTTTAGACTATGAAGATTCTTTAATTGGTGGCGGTTTTCAATTTAGTAATCCTAACGCGCTTAATACGTGTGGTTGTGGAAAATCTTTTTCAGTGTAATTGATGATTAATTTGATTTATTATATATATTTATAATATAGTTGAATTTTACAGTTATACTATATTTTTTCTTAATTATCTTTTTTCATGATAAAAATGCATGAGTTTATCTAATCCAATGTTTATTCAAAATTTATTTAATAACAATTTAATAATAAATAATCAGTTTCCATTTATTCAAAGACATGTCAAAAATACATTGGCATCCACCCATGAGAATCATAATATCGTTAGTAAAGCGTATACATTCTCTGTACTTGCTAACAAAACTAGTTATCTCAATCCTGAAATTAATAGTTTTGCTAATAAAGAATTAGTATCACGTAATCTTATAACGAAACTAATCAATAAATATTGGCAAGAAACTATTTTTTTGTCACAACCGAATATATTATCAGATCTGTATAGCAGTCAATTACAGTCTGATGGTTTAGCCGTTTATAAAAATCGATATAAGAAATTTATATTTTATTTTAGCAAAGCTTTAATTTCAGGAAGAATAGAAACTACTTTAGATCAATCAAAAAAAATAAATAATATAAATAATAATCGAGCAGAAATAAAATATATCTGGAAAAAGGGGTTTAATTTTTCACAACCTAGAAATTTTGTAAAGTTGAAAAAACAGGCAAATTATCTTACTTCAAGTCAGTTAGCTGTTGTAAAAAAATTACAGCAAAATAAATTACCTATTTTTACTATAAGAAATAATTTTAATCAAATAATTGTTACTGAACCTTCATATGAATTAATTAGTCAGCAAGGTTTAGTAGATCAAATATATCAATTTTATTGCAATAGTATTGTACGTAAGACAGATAATAGACTGATACATGAAGCTTTATTTTTTGTTAATCCAGAAGATATTGTAGAATATCAAGAATCTATTAAAAATACATATATTGATAAAAGTAATTGCGCAAATTTTAATATATTTGCTACAGGTTTAGATTTTTACTATAAATTAGTAAAATTATCTCCGCTTAAAGTGCAATTTCATCTTATACCTGATTTTCAAGAGTTAGGTAATCTAATCTATAAATATCAATATAAACGAAATATTACTTTTCATAGTAATCAAAAATATGGCAAAGATTTCTTTCAAGGTCAGCCAGTATATATTCTTAAATCTGTTTCATCTAAAAATAAAAAAACTCAGCAAAAAAAAGTTATTAATTATAATTATAGTTTAAATAATAACAAAAATTATGAAGTAGTATTCTTGAATTATGAAGTGGCATTATTAGCATGGCGAAAATTTGTAATGCAAAATAATAGTTATTGTTTACCATCTGTACCTAATATGCTTGTATATAATTTAGAAGATTTTTTAAAATTTTATGAACAAAGAGAAAACAATGATAAAAAAAACTTACTTTTTGTACCTAGTCAACAATCTTATAAATTTATTAAAAACAATGTATTTAACAAATCTCAACAACATATACCTCAAAAATTTAGTAAGAAGTTTCTACGTTTTCAAATTATAGCCAAAAGAATTTTTTGGTCTTTAACTAGTAGACAACCTACTAATTTGTAATTTTTTATATAAAATTAATCGTTTATTTATATATGTATTGAGATTTAAAACAAGTACTATTTTTAATATAACAGAGAGAGATTATTATTTTCTTGAATAATATTCAACGACAAGTAATTCGTTCAATTGTAAAGCAACCCACTCTCTGTCAATTATACTATTGACTTTCCCGATTAAGTTTCTTTTATCCAATTCCAAATGACTAGCTAAATTAATCAAGCCTGGAAATTGAATATTATTTTCTACTAGTGCTTTAGATGATTCTTTATCCCTAATTTTTATAGTATCACCAGCTTTACATTGATAACTGCAAATAGAGACATTCTTTTCGTTTACTAGTATATGCCTATGATTAACTAATTGTCGAGCTGCTGGTATTGTTGGTGCAATACCTAATCTAAAAATAATGTTGTCTAATCTCATTTCTAGTATTTGTAATAATACTAGACCAGTAGACCCTTGTACTTTTTTTGCTATTTTTATATATCTTAATAATTGTCTTTCACTTAGACCGTAATTAAATCTTAATTTTTGCTTTTCTTCTAGTCTTAAAGCATATTCTGATGGTTTTCGTAATTGCTGGCCATGCTCTCCAGCTGGTACTTGTTTTTTTGAATTTTTTCTTGTTAAACCAGGTAAATCTCCTAATCTTCTGCATATTCTCAAACGAGGTCCTCTATAGCGCGACATATTTGTTATTCCTTAATTTGTTTATATTTATTACTATTTAAACACAATCAAAATACTTTAGCAAAATTTAACTTAAAGGCTTCTTATTTTTTTAGGCGATAGAATCATAATCATGTATCTTCCATCTCTGGAAGGTAGTTGTTGCACTTCAGCCAATTCTTTTAAATCATTTGCCATCTTTTGTAAAAGTTCAATTGCTAAATTAGTATGTTGAATTTCTCTTCCTCTAAAAGTTACAGTTGCTTTTACTTTGTCTCCTGATTGTAAAAAACGTAAGGCTTGGTTAATACGAACTCTATAATCATGTTCTTCTATTTTGTAACGCATTTTTACTTCTTTAATAGTAGCTTGATGTTGCTTTCTACGTGCTTCTTTTGCTTTTTTTTCTTGAATGAATTTGTATTTACCATAATCAACTATTTTACAAACAGGAGGATTTGATTTATCACTAATTACAACTAAATCAAGTCCCTCTTTTATAGCTATATTGAGAGCCTCAGTCGAAGAATATATTCCTAATAGATTCCCTGAAACATCTATTAATCTTATTTGGGGGTAATTAATGCGTTCATTGATAATAATTTTTTCTTTACTTCTTTTTTTCAATTTTTTGGTTTTTTCTAGCACAAGTGACTAATGATCTAATGTAAATATATTAACTTATAAAAAAATATTGATAAATATCTTCAAATTATTATAACATTAGATATCTAATAATAACATTAAGCCTGATATAATAAACATATTAATATTAATTATGAAGCATACATTATCCGTTCTCGTAGAAGATGAAGCAGGTGTACTATCTAGGATAGCAGGTTTATTTGCAAGACGCGGCTTTAATATTGATAGTCTTGCTGTAGGACCTGCAGAAAAGCCAGGTATATCAAGAATTACAATGATTGTTCCAGGCGATAATAGAACAATTGAACAATTGACTAAGCAATTATATAAATTAGTAAGTATATTAAAAGTTCAAGATATTACGAATATACCTTGTGTAGAAAGGGAACTAGTGTTAATTAAAATACAAGCATCACCTCAAAACCGCTCGTTTATTTTAGAAATTTCTAGTGTGTTTCGAGCAAAAGTAGTAGATATGGCCTATGAATACTTAATTTTAGAAGTAACCGGAGATCCAGGTAAAATGGTTGCAATAGAGCAATTATTAAAGCAGTATGGAATTGTAGAAATAGCACGTACAGGTAAAATCTCTTTAATTCGAGCATCGAATGTTGATACAGAATTTTTACGGAACACATTATCTGCTCAAAAAATTAGCTCTTAAAATCTTTTAGAGATAAGAAATCTTAATTTTACTCTATGTAGACGCATACATCCAATTTCCTGGTTTTTCTATAAATGATAAACATTCTATTAAATCCCAGTCAAATTTAGATCCATAGAGAGATTGATTAATGTTGACTTTTATTAATGTATTGATAGGTAAAAAAATAATTTTAGTTTTTGATGAATATTGTTTGTGTTGTTTTTGGATAAACTTGTACGTACTACAGTGATTAACATGTCTACAATTTATACATATGCACATTATGAAATTAATCTTGTGATAATATTTGATATTATTGGGGGTGGAGGGACTTGAACCCTCACGACCATTAAAGATCAACAGATTTTAAATCTGTTGTGTCTACCATTCCACCACACCCCCTTTTTAAATTTTTGCTTTTTAGTTCGATATAAGACCATAAACCAATATATTTTTAGGCGGTACCCAGACTCGAACTGGGGATAAAGGATTTGCAATCCTCTGCCTTACCACTTGGCTATACCGCCTTAAGAATTAATTATATTCTTATTCTATTTAATATTGATAGTATTTGTCAATAATTAAATATACAAGTACATATTTTAATACGTAAATAATCTACTTTTTAGGATATCTTCTGATTGTATAGTTACTAAATCATTCTTAGTTAATACTTTATCTCCACTTATAAAAATTCTATTAGCTTGTCTCATACGTGCTCTATCAATAGCATTACGAATACTTCTTGCATTTGCAAAATGAGGTTGCTTCATCCTTCTTTCAGCATATTCTAATAGGATTTTATCAGCTTCTGGAGCAAATTTATATTGTTGTTCTTCAAGCATTAGTTTTGCTATTGCTAGTAATTCTTCTGCTGTATAATCTGGAAAATCAACATGATTAGTTACTCGTGAAGATAATCCAGGATTTGACTCATAGAATTTTTCCATTCTATCTTTATAGCCAGCAAATATAACCACTAAATCATCTCGTTGATTTTCCATAACTTGTAACAATATTTCAATGGCTTCTGCTCCGTAATCTCTTTCATTATCTGGTTTATACAAGTAATAAGCTTCATCTATAAATAATACCCCTCCCATCGCTTGCTTTAAAACTTCTTTAGTCTTAGGTGCTGTATGACCTATATATTGACCTACTAAATCATCTCTTGTAACAGTCATTAAATGACCTCTGCGAATATATCCTAAGCGATTTAAGATATCTGCCATTTTCATTGCAACAGTTGTTTTTCCAGTTCCAGGACTACCAGTAAATGACATATGTAATCCAGGGCTGCCAGATACAAGATTGACATTATGCCTTAACCTGTCAATTAGTAAAAGTGCAGCTATCTCTTTAATACGAGTTTTAACTGGTTTAAGGCCTATTAACTCTTGTTGTAGTTCATCAATTACTTCTTGTATTTGTGTCTTATCGTATTCTTCTTGTAAATTTACAAGTGTATCATCAGAGAAATTTTTAGTCATTAAGTTTAACTATTATAATACTTAAGTTATTAATAAGAGAAAGTTATTGTATAATATCTTTCTCTAAATTTATATGAATAAACTAAATCAATTATTTGTTAGTAGCGAGAACCTTCTGGTTTAAATGTTGCATAACTACGGAAGCAATATCTTTGATTACGTCCAACATCTTCGGTTCTTACTAATTCAAAACCTGGTTCATAAGCAGGTCTGTCAATAATAAATGATAGAACACAACTTTCAATACCACGCGTATTGTCAAAAGCATTGATTTTAATATATACATTTGGATTCTGTTTACGGCAACTATTAATTTCATACATTACAGTTGCTGTGTCATTAATATCAAATAATGGTAAACCCCATAATTCCCAGTAACTATTTCTTGGGTGTGGATCTTCTGTATGTTCTATATTAATTGACCAATTTTTAGATATCGCATAAGCAATTTGTTTTATAATTTGCTCATCAGTTAAGTCTGGTAAAAATGAAAAAGCACCTTGTGTTAATCTCACTATTCTATACTCCTTTAGTAGTTAAGCATATCTATCATATATGTGATTTTTTTAATTCTAGCAACATAGTTTAAATAAAGACCAAAATTATCTAAACGTTAGCTGTTGGAGTTTCTACAAAATCAGCTGTATCTGTAGAAGTGTAATTAAAGCTAATATCTTTCCATAAATCTAGAGCTGTTTGTAAAGGTCCACAAGTTTTTGCTGCATCTTGTAAAATTTGTGGTCCTTCTGCTACAAAATCACGTCCTTCATTACGAGCTATAACCATTGATTCTAGAGCTACACGGTTAGCTGTTGCTCCTGCTTGAATACCATCAGGGTGACCAATAGTACCACCGCCGAATTGAAGAACAACATCATCGCCAAGGTAATCTAATAATTGATGCATTTGTCCGCAATGAATACCGCCAGAAGCAACAGGCGTAACTTTTCTAAGAGATGCCCAATCTTGTTCAAAGAATATACCTTGTGGTAAATTTACTTCTAAATATGGCAGTAGTAGTGTATTATAGAAACCTTGGATCATTACAGGATCGCCTTCTAATTTACCTACAACAGTACCTGCATGAATATGGTCAACACCTGCCATACGCATCCATTTGCATATTACTCGAAAATTCATACCATGAATTTTTTGACGAGAATAAGTAGAGTTACCTGCACGATGCAAATGAAGAATCATATCATTTTTACGAGCCCAGATAGCCATTGATTGAATAGCTGTGTAACCAATTACAAGGTCAACCATAACAATGATACTGCCAAGCTGTTTAGCAAATTCAGCTCTTTCATAGATCTGTTCCATTGTAGCTGCTGTTACATTTAAATAATGCCCTTTTGTTTCACCAGCAGCGGCAATAGCACGATTTACACCTTCCATTGAATACAGGTATCTTTCTTTCCAACGCATGAAAGGCTGAGAATTGATATTCTCATCATCTTTTAAGAAGTCTAAGCCACCTTTAAGACCTTCATATACTACACGACCATAGTTTTTACCTGATAGACCTAATTTTGGTTTAACAGTTGCACCTAAAAATGGACGCCCAAACTTATCCATACGTTCACGTTCACAGATTACGCCTGTTGCAGGACCTTGAAAAGTTTTTAAATAAGCAACAGGTAAACGCATGTCTTCCAATCTTAAAGCTTTAAGAGCTTTAAAACCAAATACATTACCAATAATTGAAGCTGTTAAGTTAGCAATTGAACCTTCTTCAAATAAATCAATATCATATGCAACATATGCAAAATATTGATCAGTTGTATTTGGTACAGCATCTACTTTGTATGCTTTTGCTCTATATAAGTCGCAAGCGGTTAAAAGATCTGTCCAAACTACTGTCCAAGTTGCAGTAGATGATTCACCAGCAACTGCAGCAGAAGCTTCTACTGGATCTACTCCTGGTTGAGGAGATACACGGAATAGTGCTAATACATCTGTATCTTTCACTACATAATCTGGATCCCAGTATCCCATTTTAGCGTATGGAATTACACCAGATTCGTAACGTTCATTTTTAATTCTTGTCCGTTCTTCTACAGATTGAGACATGTATTCCTCCTTGAATTTAAGGCAGTATCGTTAGGTTGTTTTAGTTTTACTAGTTTAAAGTAGGATAATTTATCATTAAAAAAATAAGAATATTAGAAAATATCTATATATTCATAATACATTGCATGTATCTTAATTGTTTAGCAGATATTATAATTATACTTTTTTAACCTTAACTATAAACTTATCACTATCTATGAATCAAATAATCGTAATCTTATTTATAATAGTGATAATATTTATTAATATATAAAATATTAACTAGTCTAACTAATATTATGTTTTTTATGATAATATTCTTACAGAAAGGGTAATAAATAGGAGATTAAAGATTGCCTGTATTACAAGTAAAAGACTCTTCTTTTAATGAAGAGGTTATACGATCTAATTGTCCTGTACTTGTAGATTTTTGGGCTTCATGGTGTGGTCCGTGTCGCATGATTGCACCTGTTGTCTTTGAAATAGCAAATGAGTATGGAGACAAAATAAAAGTAGTAGAGATAAATACAGATGAAAATCCTAGTGCAGCTACAGAATATGGAATTAGAAGTATTCCTACATTAATGGTTTTTGTAGAAGGTAAAAAAGTAGAAACAGTAATAGGTGCTGTACCTAAAACAACTCTTGCTAGTACGTTAAAAAAATATATATAAAAATATTAAATATAAGTGTATGTAATATGTCTAAAATATGTAGAATCACAAATAAAACATCAAATAATGGGTATAAAGTTTCACATTCTCATGTAAAAACAAAAAGAATACAAAATGTAAATTTGCAAATAAAAAGAATTTGGTCACAAAAACAAAAGAGGTGGATCAAAATAAAAATATCAACAAAAGCAATTAAGTCTTTATATAAGTTATCTTTATCAATCTAGTTCATAAAAAATAATGACAATTCTATTATAATATGCTATTATATTATTTAAGTAATAACCGGAGAGTTTTGGGAGAAATAAATATGCAATACTTAAACAATATTTTAGCAGAAAATGAGTTATTAAGTAACGACGAAATATCGTTAGAAACACCTATAGGCTGGTCTTCTACGTGTTTTAATGAAACTATTGATTATTATACAGAATGTAATTCTATTAACCTAAATAGTGATCCAACAAATGAACTAGAAAATATTAACTAAATGAAATAAGCGATTCTATTATTAATAGTATCGCGATATTTATTAATAATGAATGCTAGTATAGCTCAATTGGTAGAGCAGCTGATTTGTAATCAGCAGGTTATGGGTTCAAGTCCCTTTACTAGCTTATCCTTAATATTATTTTAGTAATTAAATAGTAATTAAAATAAATTTAAACCTACCGATTGTACTACAGGTATATTTGCTAGAATTAAATAAGCAAAACCTGCGCCACCAACAGCTCCTACTAGAAAGCCTGCTGTAAATTGTCCCCAACCTTCCTTTGTTTGCAATACATCTTTTGAATCATCTACTTCAAAAGAAACATTACCATACATTGAAAGGCATGTTGTCAATATAATAATTAAACCTACTGCCGATAAGAAACCAGACAATAATGCAACATCTGTGTTTCTTAATGGTCCTAATTTATCAAATGGACCAACTAAAAAATAGCCATGTGCCATTCCAATCTCTAAACCCCTCAATAAAGGTGATAAACCTCTTCTATAAGCAGGGAGGTTACTTAATAGACCTTTTGTAATACTTGATGTACTAATAGGAGTTGATAAGTTGCCTACAAAAGGGTCATTATTATAAGGTTGTATAAAATCTGACATAAATTATTTCTCCAAAAGATAAAATATTAAATAAGAAAGCTAGTACTTATATATATTTTACCAAATAATTTATGTTTTAATTTTATTTATTACATATATCTTAAGTTAATATACTATATTATATTAATAATGATTTATTATAAGGATTTAAAGTTTACTAAATAAACAATAATATCTCATAACTTATTGTCTATACAGTAGTTGTTTATGAATTACGATAGTTTAATAATTTATTTCAAAAGAGGTTTATATATACATTATGTCTATTATTTTTAGTTATATACTCTTCGTTGTAGTATTTACAAGTATAAGTCTAGGTTTGTTTTTTGGTTTACAAGCAATTAAATTAATTTAATGAAAGTAAAATTAGTATTTAGATTAACTAATTATTATATATGTAAAGTTGAATATATAAAAAGTAATGAATAAAGTAGTTAAATACAATTGAAAGTGTGTATTAAAGATATCTCTTTATAATTATAAAAAAAAAGTAATTTAGTGAAAAATATGTCGAATATTAAAAGAGATACAATTTTAGGATCTCGTCGATTAAGCAATTATTGGTGGGCTACGTCTATTTTACTTGGCGGGTTAGGATTTTTTTTAGTTGGTTTATCGAGTTATTTCAAAAGAGAGTTATTACCCTTTGCAAAATCTTCTTCCTTCATTTTTGTTCCCCAAGGTTTAATTATGACATTTTATGGAACTATTGCTATATTAATTAGTGTATTTTTATGGTTAACTATTATATGGAATATAGGTGGAGGTTATAATGAATTTAATAATGAAAAAGGTGTAATTACTATCTTTAGATTTGGGTTTCCAGGGAAGAATAGATGTATTCAATTACAGTATAAAATAAATGAGATTCAAGCCATACGAGTTAGTATTCAAGAAGGTTTAACACCAAAAAGAGAAATTTATTTAAAAACTAAAGATAATCGTGAAATACCTTTAACACGTGTAGGTCAACCATTACTACTCTCTGAAATAGAAGAAAAAGCAACGTCATTAGCATTATTTTTGGGCGTTATGTTAGAAGGAATTGAATAAAATGTGTTAAAAAGAAATTAATTATACAATAATAAGATCAATACAATATAATTAGTAATTTGTATTGCATTGATCTTATAATATATAATACAATTATTGTATATGCGGGTATAGTTTAGTGGTAAAACCTTAGCCTTCCAAGCTAATGATGCGGGTTCGATTCCCGCTACCCGCTTTAAATAATTATTGTATTATGAACAATATATATGCATCTGGCTGGATTCGAACCAGCGACGTCCTTTACAGGATGGCGGATTATTAGAGTCGATTTCTTCAAAATCTCTCCTACAAAACCGTACATGAAATTTTCACTTCATACGGCTACTACCTATTATATGATTTATAAAGGAATAATTTAACTATAGTAATATTTATACTCTTTATATTGATTTAAATAGAGATATTTAGTTTTTTTGTAGATTGTTAAAGTATGTATTTTATTTTTATTCTTCTTTATCCATCGAAACATTATATCTTCTAATGACATCATTAAACTACTTACATTACGCTTGTTTATCAAAGGATAATAATATAAATAAAAATTAATCATTTCATTTCTAATTTTTTTTAATATGTATTTTAGCTGTAAATGATTATTTAATCTCCATTTATATAAAGAATTTTGATGATACAATATTTGCCTAACTTGTATTTTGAAATATTTGTAAACAAATGGACTAATATATATAATACTTTTACTTTTTTTATAGTAATTAATTAAATAATTTGAAAATAAATATAGTGTTTTTGACAATTTTTTGTTGCATACATGTAATTGGCAATATTTGATTCCTAGGCTATAATTAACTATACTCATTATATTTTTAAAAGTTAACTTATTTAAAAAATTTATACTATAGATTCTAATATTACAATTATTGTCTGCAAATATATAAAAAGAATTATGATTTAATAGGGTTATATTATACCATCCAAATCCACAATACATTATACGATATAATAGTTGATGTAAATTATTAATTGTATTATTCAAATATATTCTATTCTTTAAGTTGTCTATAATATATCTATTGGATAACCAATGTCGTAAATAATGAAATATAGATGTGACAGGTTGTATTTTAGATACTAGATATTGTATATCAATACATTTCGTTGTTATTGTAGATGTAAAACAATAATTTTTTAAACTCTTTAACTTTCCTGCTCTATTCTTTAAGATAAATCTACTCAAACGATACAAAGAATAATATTGTTTAGAATTATTAAGAGTGAATCTATCAGTTGGTTCAAATCGTGCTTCCCATTCTGGTTTTAAACAGAGGTAAACAAGGTACTGTTTAATTTGTTCACTAATGAAAAAAGAATCTTTAAATGAGATACTATTTCTAAATAAAGATTCATATATTAAAAATTTATGTTTATCATTAAAATTATAATGTTCTTGATTATATTTAATATAATATTTGGCAATACCATCAGTTATTGCTTGAATTGCAAAAATTTTTAAGTCGCTAGAGTTTAGTATATAATTTTGAAGTTCATGAATTTTTTTTTGATTACACTCTTTAGAATAATTATAAATATGTTGTTGTACAATAAAAATTTTTTCTTGAATTTGAGTCCATGGTAAAGATTTCCAATCCGTAGAAGAATCAATTCTTATACTTTGCATATACAATTATATTATATAAAATATTACTTAATTTTAAATAGGTGCAATACGTTTGCTTATATATTTATTCAATAGAATATCAGCTTTTTATTGCTTCTTAATAACAAGATCTAATAGTTGCCTTAACTTCATTTTATATATTTAATATAAAATAATAAATCTTATTAGTTTCTCCGTTCCATATTTCCAATATATTAATTGACTTAGACTCCACTCTATATATTAACTACCGCAAGTAAAAATCATGTACATACTAACTCATAATAGCTGTACTTAAGGGTACATAATTTTGAATTTATATTTCAAAATAATTGATTAATATTTTTTTCAAGGGTTTGTTTTCCTGATCATATCAATTTTCCAATTAGTCTGCTTTATTTATATTTAATTAAGGCTAATATATATAAATTGACTAAGAGAGTCTATTCATGATTTAGAATAGCTAGATTGTAAACTAGCAAAAGAAATATAGTTATCCATACTTAATTAACATAGTATAGCTTTTAGTTAGCTAAAGGGTTCATTCATATGAAATTAAATTCTTTTTAGAACCTTTAACATCTAAAAAACGGGTCGCACATGAGTCCGCTGCCTTCGGCCTCTCGGCCACAGATGCTTTAAAGTAATAATATACCTAATTATTTCTAAAAGCAAGTGCATATTTTATTCGTTCATATTATGATAAGTTGCTACTGCTGACGGTGATATTTTATTCAAATAGCGAAATATCCAATATTTAAAAATCGTATCTAATACAACAGGGAATGTTGAAATGAATACAAAAATAAAGTCTCGACTTTCAGGCAATCCAAAATGCCTAAGTATTATTTCAATTATTACTTCCCATCCATGAGGAGAGTGAAAACCTACAAACATGTCTGTAAATAAAATAATTAAAAATGCTTTTGCTGTATCGCTTAATCCATATATTAATTCATTGATAAATGACTTAAGAATGGAAAACTGTCTTCTGCTAATAATCAAAATAGAAATAAAAATGGTTCCTGATAAAAAATCAGCTAAAATATTTTTAATTGCTGAAGAACTTTCATTTGCATATAGGGTTGCTATTTCTAAAGCTTTATCTGTCATTTTATGATTAATCAAACTAGAAGAAGGGTTTTGAATTCTACCAATTAATATTTCAAAATGTAATTTTTCTTCAAAACGTTGTAATTCAGCAAATGCTCTTTCCTCTTGTGATTCATTTAAAAAGATACTATGCTCTTCATGATTCCATAAATAATTAATACATGGTCCAAATATAAAGCTTTTTGCTAGTTGATTTACTAATACCGGCATGATGAATAAAAATAGAATATACTTAACAGATGCTACAGTTTGGTATCGAGATACCTTAAATTCTTCTAAAGCTTCTACTTCTGCGTTTGGATCGAGTTCTTTTGTAAATTTTTCGAAAAGTCTACTTATCGACCTAGGTATAATACCTGTTTTATCAAGTGCTGATTGATTAATTTTTTTTAAATTCCAATATTTCATTATTATTTTATTTACATATATATATATATAATTTATACAATTCAATATTTATTAAATACTATTAATATTTTGGCTAATTATTACAACTAAAATTAAGCTTTAAAAAATGCTAATCAAAATCATATATATAATTTATAATAGATTTAAAATTATTACTTATACACTCTATTTAATAATAACGCAAGATTCATATTTTTTAATTAATGTGATACTAATTCCATATATATATCACCTTTTAAGCTTGCCAAAAGTAATTGTGCATAATTATAGACTTGCATTTAATATTAATACAATTTGTCTCTTAGATGATTGTCATACATACAGATTTATAAAAAAGATACAATTAGACAATTGTAATTCAACTTTTGTTAAAAGCTTTTTATCAGAAAACAAGCATTTCTTTAATATAAATTTTTTAGACAATTTATATGTAAAAAATAAAATAGAACAATTAAAAAACTATGGTTTTCTTAAACAAATGAAATTGATCTCTATTACATCAAACAATATTAAATATATTACTCTGAATCTCACTTTCAATCCCATATTAAAAAGAGTAAAAATTTTTAAGCAAAAGAAATTATTAATACCAAGCAGTATTTTAATTAATATCTTTTATAAACAGATAGGTTTACCTAAAAATTATATTAAGATTAATCAGAGTATTCAAGATATTTGTCGATGGTACCAATCTAAAGGCTTCCATTGGATTGATATTCAGCTGATCAAAACAAAAAAAACTGAAGAGATATATCTTCAAATCTTTGAAGGTGAGGTAGCCACTAGCTATATTATTTGCGCACAAGCTAATATGTTTTCCAAGAAAATAATATTTAATAAAGAAAAGAAAATAATTGAAAAACTAGGTTTTATTAAGGGTGAAAAACTAAATATAAAAAAAATTGAATTAGGAATAAGACAACTAAAAAACAGTAAAATCTTAAATGATTGTACATATTTTGTTGAAAGGAATGCTTCAGGCTTAAATATATTTTTTAAATATAATGTATTGAAATCTAATTCCAAGTTTTTCTTTCAAGAAGCAACAATCGTTAATAACTATAAGCAAATAGATGAGATATGGAACTATTATTTTTACAAAAATAAACTTAGTTTATCAAGAATCCCAAAACAAATATATTCTAATCATTATAAGAGTATTTTGAAATCACATAAACTTTTTAAGCTACTTATTTTACAGATAGAGGAAAAGATTAAATATTGTATACGACCATTATTAAATTATATTACAATTAAATATCATTTGCATAAAACATATTATGACAAACAAAATTTTACTATAGATGTACATATGACTAGACAGAATACTACTATAAGCATGCTATTTTTTTTGCCTGATATAAAATTAACTAACTATTCATTGGGATACACTATTTTAAACTTTTACTATGAATATTATAAATATAATTTATTAAATGATATACAAAAATCACAATTATTAAATCTATATTCTTCTAAGAAAAATTTGATATGCACTAAAATATTGTTTTCGGGCTTTAATATATCATTAGACAAAAGTTTAAATGAATACATCAATACAGAAGTAAGGCTTATTACTCAGCGTCATGGAGCGAATCAAAAGTTCATAAGTATTAGTAAATATAGCCAAAATAATTATTATGCAAGCAATGAAATAAATGCAATATTAGTCAATGTATTTTTAAAAAACATAACTAAAAGTCTTAAACAAAAATTAATGATTTTTAGAATATTAATCAAATATAATACATTATGTTTAACTAAACAATTTACATCAGGCAAACTTTTTATTGTAGAATCAATATGCTTTATGCCATTTATAGATACATCTTTTAAGATATTATCAAGCAGTCACAGCTTACATTTAAAATATAGTCAAATATATGTTTTACCTAAAGTTTTAAAATCAATTTATGCAAATATTTTATTTGCAATGATTAAGATAGATTTGCTAGTAAATAATAAAATGTATAAAAATGTATTGCATAAAAGCTATGCTAACATTTTTCTGAAAAAAAATAATATTAATAATAATTTATATCAACCTTTGTGTTTATATCACTTAGAATATAGTACTCATATATTTCATCATTTGTCTTTATATATTTTCTATAATTTTACTCAAAATTTACCTTTAGACAATATATATAATAAAATTCCATTTTTATTTACCCATCAACACTCGACATTCAATAATTTATCTACTTATGAAGTAAATATAGGATCTGGTATACAATTTAACGTACCTATATATAAAATGCCTACTTTTCGTATTGAATATAAAATTAGTAATAAGAGCAATTATTTTTTACAATTTCGTCTTTATTCAAAATACAACAATTAAAAAACTTCGTACATGAAATTACATGAATTAAATCTATGAATTCCTTATTAAAATTATTAAGTAATAATATAGAAGGCAACTGGCTCTCTCATCAAAGTATTTATTATTTACAAGCAAAAAAAATTAAAATCAATAAATTTCAAAAAAATATAGATAGATTTGTTGATCAATCATTGCAAAATCATAGTTATATATGTAAATATAAAAATTTATCTAGTAGAGAAATAATCTATAACTACGTAGCAGAAAATAATCCAAAATCTAAATCTGGTATATTGCAAAAAATATATTCTAGTTGTATTCAGACATATAAATTATCTCTAAATAATACAAATTGTATAGAAATTAAATATCTCAAAAATGGAATTCAATATACAGAATATACTTATATTATTAATAAAAATCTCAAAATATCTGTAATTATTATCAAGAAAAATAATAATTATATTGCTATCTCTTTCAACTCAGAAATAAAAATTAAATGAGATTCTTTACTATATACTAATAGGTTTTACTATACTATTAGTATATAAATAAAATATTATTCTAAATCTTTACGATTTGGATTTCTTGAAGGATCATTAGACAAAAAGCCGAAAAAGAATAAAGAGATAAAAAAGATTACAGTTGTGTAAACAAAAATCTTTAAAGTAAGCATAATTATTTCCTTTTATATATTAAAAATAGTTTAAATTTATTACAATTAAATGTAAATATTGATTCATATTGTATATGAAAAATACATAAACTCCGTAATTTGATTAAAAAATGAAATAATTGTATTAAAAAATTAAAGACGCGGGATGTATTTTATTAATTTTAATATTGATATATTTTATATTTTTAATATATTTGTTATTCATGCTAATTTTTTTAAATTTAATTGATACTAATCCTTCTATTACAACAAAATCACCTTTTCTATATATATCAAAAATATCATTTCCAATTTTTCCTTTACTATTAACATTGATAAGATAAAAAGTTGCTTTTTTTTTATTGTTTGGTACACATATCATTGTACGAACCAATGTTTTATGTTTATACCTTAATAATTTAGGATGTTTAACTATTCTGCCTGTGGATATAAATATATTCATCTCAAAGTTAATTATGTATAAATTTTAAAATTCTATTTTGCTCGATTCTTCACCCATTTTATAATTAAGTTCTTTTAATTTTTTCATAACTTTTGCAAAATACTCTTGTAAATAATTTTCTAATTGTGTGGTTTCATCATGTTGTATTTGTAATAAACTATAAACCTCATTCATAGATGTATTAAAATTATCACCTCGATTAATTACTTCTAGAAAAGCTAATCTTTCAGAAATATTCCAGCTCCATTGAAAAAAATTAGTAAATTCACGAGCTAATTTTAGTAGATAAATAGGAACTTGAGAAATTTTTGATCTTTGCCCCGATAATTTTTCACATAATTCAATTACTTGTAAAGAAGTCCAAGAACTATTTCCTACTAAAGGCAAAATTTTCTTATTTGCTTGAGATAAAGATAAACTTCTAATAGTGAATTTTGCAATATCTTGTGTATCCATATATGCTATAGACGTTGTATCTCCTGTCAGCCAAATGGTTTGGTTCTCTAATATAGGTAGTGCATACTGGCGAATCAAACCTTGAAAAAAACCACCTAAAGTAAAAATTGTATAATTTAGACTAGAATCTTGTAACTTATTTTCTATTTTTACTTTAAGATTCATTAACGGTATGTTGGCATATTTTCGAGCATTGAGTATAGAAAAAAATATATATCTTTCAATATTTGCTTTTTTAGCTGATTCTATTAAAATATATTTACTATATAAGTCTATCTGACTAGTGTTATATAAATCTGTTGGTCTTGCTGTAGATGCGTCTATAATTGCTGTAACACCAAATAATGTTAAAGGTATAGTTTCTGCTATACGTAAGTCTCCATAGACTAATTCAGCACCCCATTCTTTTAAGAAAGCTGCTTTTCTAAAGCTTCTTACAAAACATTTTACTTGAAATCCTTCATCTAAAGCTTTGCGAACAATTTGACGTCCTAAAGTACCTGTACCACCTAAAACTAATAAACTCATATTTTTTACTTTTAAATTTATGTTAAATTATGGGTAGAGAGGGACTTGAACCCTCAAAACTAAAGTTGTCACATTTTGAGTGTGATGCGTATACCAATTTCGCCATCTACCCTATTGCCTATATATAATGACACAAAAAGACATATAAATACAACTTTTTTTGATTAAGATCATCTAAACATAAATATTACTATGTTGATTAATTTATTTCAAATAGCATTTCTTCATACATATATTATATCACCAACAACATGGATACATAGAATACCTTATCATAAAAGGATCTCATTTATTTTTATATTTTTACACTTATTACCTTATCTAAATTACGAGCATTTATTAATTATTACTATATTTTATGTCATTATGGCAAACTGTATAAAAATTGCTACACAATATACAGAGAATAAATGTTATATATTCTTTATTAGTCTTATTGCTTGTTTAGGAACTAACATTACAAAAGTAAAGAATCAATTTTTTTATAAAGATTTAATTAGTCTATTAATTAATATAGATATGCCTCATTTTATTATTCAAAATTTAAATAAGCATTTATATCTTCGTATTATAATTAAATCTAGTTATATATTGATATTACCTAAATTTATAGTGCGAGCTATCTTAATTATAATTTTATATTCTATACTTATAAAATTACTATTACTAACTACATTATATGAAGAAATTGTTTTATATTATTTAATACAATATATGAATTATCAAAATAATATTTCTAAAGAAATAAATTTAATCTTGGTTCTTGGCTATCAATTCATAATTACATTCATAAATAAAATACATATAGCTATAACAGCAATTAGACTAAGAAATATAAATAATATGTTTTACTTAAAGCAATATTTTCTATACTACTATGCTATTAAAAATATTCTAATTTTTATAGAAGAAGATATCTATAGAGTAACATCTATTTTATATATTAGAGAAATTCAATGCACAAATATAACAATTGTAGATGTAAATTATTAGACAGGATTTAAATATTGATTGTATTTTTGCAGTAAAGACAATAGATCTTATCATATAATTTTGTAATTAAGAATTAAATCTATAAGAAAATTCAACTGAAAAATCTGTTTAAAAAAGTATTGTTTATCATAAATAATTAACAGCCAAGTCTGAGTTGACCTATGATGTATGATAGCTGGTAATATATATAATATATTTTTATAACTTTATAATTTATAATGACAGATCATTTACAAAAAAATAGTAAAACAGCATTAAACTTAAAATTAAACACTTTAATAAAACAACCATACAAATATGGCTTCCATACTAAAATAGATTCTGAAGCTTTCCCTAAAGGGCTAAACGACAAAATTATTCAATTAATTAGTAAAGAAAAAAAAGAACCTGAATATTTAACAAATTTTCGTTTGAAAGCATATAATAAATGGAAAAAAATGGATGAGCCTAAATGGAGTCAATTAACATATAATAAAATTAATTACAACGATATTATATATTATTCTGTACCTAAATATCAAAAACAATTAAATAGTTTAGAAGAAGTAGATCCTACTATTTTAGAAACTTTTGAAAAATTAGGTATACCTTTAAATGAACAAAAAAGATTAAGCAATGTTGCTGTTGATGCCGTATTTGATAGTGTGTCTATTGCAACTACATTTAAAGAAGAATTAGCATCTGTTGGCGTTATTTTTTGTTCTATATCTGAAGCAATTCATAAATACCCAGAATTAATTAAAAAATATTTAGGATCTATTGTTCCTATAGGAGATAATTATTTTGCAGCTCTTAACTCTGCTACTTTTAGCGATGGTTCGTTTTGCTATATTCCCCCAAATGTAAAATGTCCGCTGGAATTATCTACTTATTTCAGAATCAACAATAAAGAATCAGGGCAATTTGAAAGAACTTTAATTATTGCTGATAAAAATAGTTACGTAAGCTATTTGGAAGGATGTACAGCACCTCAATTTGATACAAATCAATTGCATGCTGCTGTTGTAGAATTAGTAGCTCTTGAAAATGCAACTATTAAATACTCTACAGTTCAAAATTGGTATTCAGGAGATTCTACAGGTAAAGGAGGTGTATATAATTTTGTTACTAAACGCGGTTTATGCATAGGTAATAAATCTAAAATTTTATGGACACAAGTTGAAACAGGTTCAGCAATTACATGGAAATATCCTAGCTGTATATTAGCTGGTTATAATTCTATAGGTGAATTCGCGTCTGTAGCTTTAACTAATAATTATCAGCAGACAGATACGGGAAGTAAAATGATTCATTTAGGAGAAAAAACACGAAGTAAAATTATTTCTAAAGGTATATCTGCTGGTAATTCAATAAACAGTTATCGTGGTTTAGTAAAAATTGGACCAAAAGCCAATCATGCTCGAAATTATTCGCAATGTGATTCTTTACTAATAGGAAATAAATCTCATGCAAATACTTTTCCTTATATACAAGTACAAAATTCATCCGCAAAAGTTGAGCACGAAGCTTCAATCTCTAAAATAGGTGAAGAACAAATTTTCTATTTCTTGCAAAGAGGTATTAATTTAGAAGATGCGATATGCTTAATGATAAGTGGTTTTTGTAAAGATGTTTTTAACGAACTGCCGATGGAATTTGCTATGGAAGCAGATAGACTATTAAATTTAAAATTAGAAGGAACAATAGGTTAACAAATGAATGAAAATTTATTAAATATAAATAATTTATATGCTAGTATTGATGATACAGAAGTTTTAAAAGGTTTAAATTTATCTATTAATAGTGGAGAAATTCATGCTATTATGGGTAAAAATGGTTGCGGGAAAAGTACCTTTGCAAAAGTTATTGCTGGTCATCCTAGTTATAATATTACACAAGGAGATATATTATTCTATAACCAAAATATTAATAAAATGAGTCCTGTAGACAGAGCATTAAAAGGAATTTTTTTAGCCTTTCAGTATCCAGTAGAAATATCTGGTGTTAGTAATGCTGACTTTTTACGCCTTGCTTACAATGAAAAACAAAAAATTACTAATAAACCTCCTTTAGATCCTTTATCTTTTTTAGAACTGGTTAATGATAAAATTAAAGCTATTGACATGAATTCGTCATTTTTAAGTAGAAATGTTAATGAAGGATTTTCTGGAGGAGAGAAAAAAAAGAATGAAATTTTACAAATGTCTTTATTAAATACTAAACTTGCTATATTAGATGAAACAGACTCCGGGCTTGATATAGATGCTTTGAAAACTATTTCTGCCAATATTAATGCTTTAGCTAGTAATGATAATGCAATAATTATTATTACACACTACAATAGATTACTAGAATATATTATACCGGATTATGTTCATATAATGCATGAAGGTAAAATAATTCATACAGGTGGTGCAAATTTAGCAAAGCAATTAGAGCATTATGGTTATGATAGTATTATATAAAGCATAAAATAGGATAGATTAAATGCATTCTATCCTAATTATTTTAATATCGTTAATTAAACTGAAAACGCTTGTTTAACATCTTCAATAGATTTTTTTAGTATTTCTTCTGATTCAGCACTCAATTTTTTAGTGCTGCGTATACTTTCTCCAAATTCTGGTTTTGAATTCCGTAAATCTTCTCTTAATGCAGTAACAAACTCTTTTACTTGTGATAAATCTATATCATCTAAGTAACCATTTATACCTGTATAAATCACAGCCGTTTGTTCTTCTACAGGAATTGGTGAATTCTGTGCTTGTTTTAAAATTTCTCTTAGTCTTTGCCCACGTTCTAGCTGATTTTGTGTTGTTTTATCTAAATCAGAAGCAAATTGAGAAAATGCTTCTAATTCAGCGAATTGTGCTAATTCCAATTTTAATTTACCAGCCACTTGCTTCATTGCTTTAATTTGAGCTGCTGATCCTACTCTAGAAACAGAAATACCAACATTTATAGCTGGCCTGATTCCAGAATTAAATAAATCACCAGATAAAAAGATCTGTCCATCCGTAATTGAAATCACATTTGTAGGTATATAAGCAGATACGTCTCCTGCTTGTGTTTCTATAATTGGAAGAGCAGTCATACTACCACCTCCAAGATTTGTATTAAGTTTAGCTGCTCTTTCTAACAATCTTGAATGAAGATAAAATACGTCTCCTGGATATGCTTCTCTTCCTGGTGGACGACGTAGTAAAAGCGACATTTGACGATATGCTTGAGCTTGCTTTGTTAAATCATCATAAATTACTAGCGTTGCTTTACCTTTATACATAAAATACTCTGCTAAAGCAGCACCAGTATAAGGTGCAATATATTGTAATGTTGCAGGATCATCAGCATTTGCTGCAACAATAATTGTATAATCTAAAGCTCCTTTTTCTTCAAGAGAAGAAACAACTTGAGCTACAGATGAAGCTTTTTGTCCAATTGCAACATAAACACAAATTACATCTTCTCCTTTCTGATTAATAATTGTATCTAGAGCAACAGCTGTTTTACCTGTTTGTCTATCACCAATAATAAGTTCTCTTTGACCTCTTCCAATTGGTATCATAGAGTCTATAGCAGTAATCCCTGTTTGTAACGGTTCACAGACTGATTGACGACCAATGATTCCAGGTGCAGATGATTCTATTAATCGAGTATTTGAAGAATCAGGTAAACCTTTAGCATCAATAGGTCTTGCTAATGGGTCAACTACTCTACCTAAATATCCTTCACCTACAGGTATTTGAGCTATTTTACCAGTCGCTTTTACAGAACTACCTTCTAATATATTTCTACCATCTCCCATTAAAACAACACCAACATTATCACTTTCTAAATTTAATGCAATACCTATTGTTTGATCTTCAAACTCTAGTAATTCACCTGCCATTACATCGTCTAATCCGTATACACGGGCTATACCATCACCTACTTGTAAAACGGTCCCTATATTCGCTACTTGTACTTCTTCATCATATTTATCAATTTGTTGACGTATAATATTACTAATCTCATCTGGTCGAATATTTACCATATTATTAATTTTTTGTATATAATCTATTAATTACTTAGAGTTTTTTTTAAAATACTGCACAGTAATAGTTGTACATATTTAATTTGTATTAAGATAAAAAGCTATTTGCTTTAACTTACCGGATAAACTGGTATCTATAATTTTAGACCCTATTTTTACTGTAAATCCACCTATTAAATTAGTGTCTATTTTAATCTCTAATTTTACCTTTTTACTATTAGTAAGTTCTTTGATCTTTTGAATAATATTACTCTGCTGTAATTCTGTAAAAGCTGTTGCTGTTGATTCTTCAGCTATAATTGTTGAATCTAGTTTATAAGCTAAATCTAAATATTTTTCAATAATTACACTCAATAAGGCAATTCTACGACGATCTATAAGTACTAATAAAAATTTTAGAACAAAATAGTCAACTTGATTTAAAAATAATTGATTAAGGACATTTTTTTTTGCTACTAATGTAATTAATGGATTTTCTAAAAAAAATTTTAAATCTGTAGATTGTGATAGTATATCAAAAATTAAAGATAGATCCTGATTAGTTTTTGTAACTGCATTTGAATCTTTAGCAGATTCTAATAATGCTTCAGCATAAGGTAATGCTACTTTAACTAATAAGCCTTTATAGCTCATATTTTTCCTCCAAGTTTTACAATATTATCATCGATAATTTTTGATTGCATACCAGGAGTTACTTGACTTTGTAGCTGTAAAAATACTCGATTAATAGCCAAGGCGGTTATTTGTTGTTGAATTTGTTGCCTGACCTGATTTTCAGCTACAGCAATACTAGCTTTTCCTGCCGAGGTAAGCCTTTCTATATCTACTTTTCCTTGTTCGAGTATAGACTCACGAACTTTTTGAGCAGTCAATTCAGCTTCTTTTTTGATTTGTATGATAACCATTGTTGTTTGAGCCAATTGCTTTTCTGATTCTTCTAATCTTATTTGTGCTTGCTTTAAACGTTCTTCTGACTCTTGTATAGCAGCTAGTACTTTTTGTTGTCTAATTGTCAAAACAGATCCTAAAAACTGTTTTAGTACATAAATTAGACCCGTTAACAATAATGCTATATTAATTACATTAGCTTCCAAAAAATTTGAATTAAAACTTAAACTTTTATGAAATTCATGCTCAGCAAATATATTAAATATTCGAATAATATTCTCCATTATACTCTCCACATGTTTAAATTTATAACTAAATGATTGATATCAATCATTTGATTATAATAAATTACCATTTAATAACTTAAGTTTAATTTGATCACTTAAAGCATCTACTTGATCTTCTAAAGTTTTTAATGCTTGTTCTTTCTGTATATTCAATTGTTGAGATGCTTCAAAAACTAATTTCTCTGCATCTTGTTGAGCCTCTTTAATTTTAATTGATACAATTTGTTGAGCTTCTTGCTGAGATTTTTTAATAATATCTTGAGCTTGCTTCCTCGATTCCGCTAATTCTTGCTCATATTTTTGAGTTAATTCATTGGCTTTAATTAAAGAAGTAGAAGCCATTGTAAGACTATTACGAATATATTCATCTCTATCATCTAACACATTACTAACCGGCTTATAAAAAAGAAGATTCAATATCACCGTTAAAGCTAAAAATTGTAATGCCATTAATGGAAGTGTTGCATTAAAATCAAAAAGACCTCCTTCAATTTCTCTATTAGTTTCTTGTAAAGCTAAAAGAAGAGGTAAGTTAACCATAATTAATTTTAGATTTAAATTGATATAATTGGTAGCTATTTAATTGGTTAAAACGCTTAGTCTTTATTATATTTATCAAAGAAAAACTAAGCGTTAATTACTTTTATTAACCTGTATAAGGATTAGCAAATAGTAAAGATAAAGCAACTACTAATCCATAAATTGTTAGTGACTCCATAAAAGCTAAACTTAATAAAAGAGTCCCTCTAATTTTACCTTCAACTTCTGGTTGTCTTGCTATACCTTCGACAGCATTTGCAGCTGCACTTCCTTGTCCTATACCTGGGCCAATGGCAGCTAAACCTACAGCAAGACCAGCAGCTATTACAGATGCAGCTGAAACAATAGAATCCATAATTAGTATTTTTAATTTAAATAAAATATATAGAAAATTAACAGATTTCACGCAACAAAAATCATCTTAAATATTTACATATTTAATTATATGTAAGCATAGATAATGAATTAGTGCTCACCATGTCCTTCTAACGCTTCACCTATATAAGCAGCAGATAAAGTAGAAAATATGAGTGCTTGAATCGAACTAGCAAACAAACCCAAAATCATTACTGGTAAAGGTATCAGTATTGGCACCAATAATGTAAAAACTGATACAACTAGTTCATCAGCAAGAATATTGCCAAATAAACGAAAACTTAAAGATAAAGGTTTGGTAAAATCTTCTAGGATATTAATAGGTAATAATACTGGTGTTGGCTCTACATATCGTGCAAAATATCCTAAACCATTCTTATTCAAACCTGCATAAAAATATGATAAAGAAGTAAGTAAAGATAATGCAACAGTTGTATTAATATCATTAGTTGGTGCTGCTAATTCTCCTTCTGGGAGTTGAATTAATTTCCATGGTATTAATGCCCCAGCCCAATTGCTTCCTAATATAAATAAAAAAATAGTTGCTATATAAGGTACCCATGATCTATATTCGTGTTCTCCTATTTGATTTTTCGCAATATCTTGCAAAAATTCAATGACAAATTCCATAAAATTTTGTAAATTTTTAGGTACACGTTCTAAATTTCTTGTTCCTATAAAAGCTAATGAAAGTAAAGCTATTATAACTAGCCATGATACAATAAAAACTTGACCATGTAATTTATAGCCACCTATCTCCCAATATAAATGTTTGCCTACTTCAACTGCAGAAACTGCAATATATGAAGAAATGACTTCTACTTCTTGTTGATACATAGATAGAAATTATAATTTTAATAATGCTTAAAGCAATAATATTAAATAAAAAATTATTAATCAATTAAAACATCTAATATCTGATTTAATTTTTAAATAAATAGTACATATCATTAGATACAAATACTATCATAACCTAATTATATATGTATCTATTCATTATTTAACATTATTGAGACTATTTACTATTTAAATTACAAGAATTATTCTCAAAATAACAACTGTTTAAATTTTAGTAATAATTTGTTCTACTTCTGTTGCAAAATTACTAGACCGTTTTGTTAAACCTTCTCCCAAAATAAATTTCTCAAAACGTCTAATTTTAATATTTTCACCTAGTAAAGCTATATGTTGATTTATTAAATCTTCAATTGTTAAATCTTGATCTTTAATAAAAAGCTGATTCATAAGAGACATCTCTTTTAATCTTTTATCAATTCTACCAGCTACTATTTTATCTTTAATTGCTTGTGGCTTATTCATCACATCTTCTTTGCTAGATTCAATTTTCTTTTCATTTCTTATGATATTTTCATTGATTTCATTTATTGATACATAATTTACATAAGGGCAAGCTGCTATTTGCATTGCTATATCTTTTGCTAGCGTATTAAACTCTACACGTCTTGCGACAAAATCTGTTTCACAATTTAATTCTACTAAAACACCTATTCTTGAACCAGAATGTATATAGCTTACTATTAATCCTTCAGTAGTTATTCTACCAATTTTTTTGTTTGCTGAAGCTAAACCTTTTTTTCTTAAATTTTCTATAGCAACTTGCATATTACCTATTGAGTCTTCTAAAGCGTTTTTACAATCCATCATTCCAGCACCTGTCTGATTACGTAATTCTTTAACACGCTGCGCAGGTATTTTGATAGGCATTATAATTATTCCTTACTTTTTAAATTTAAATTGATAAGTGCTAAAATCAGCTATTATATAGTTAATTTAATAATACATTTGAAGAAATTTGACCTTCTAAAATGGCATCTGCTATTTTACTCATTACTAATTTAATTGATCTTATGGCATCATCATTAGCAGGTATAGGTATATCGATTATGTCAGGGTTACAGTTTGTATCAAGAAGACAAATTGTAGGTATACCTAATTTAATACATTCTTGAATTGCTGTAGTTTCTCTTTTTTGATCAACTATTATAATTAAATCAGGTAATTTTTTCATTTCTTTAATGCCATCTAAATGTTTTCTTAATTTATATAATTCTTGGCGTAATATCGCAGCTTCTTTTTTAGGCAATTGATTAATTAAACCTGAGTTATCTTGTTTTTCTAATTCTTTTAACCTTCTTACTCTAGATTTTATAGTTAACCAATTAGTAAACATTCCACCAAGCCATCTTTGATTAATATAATAAGAATTAGACCTCAGAGCTTCTTCTGCCACTATACTAGAAGCTTGTCTTTTTGTGCCTAAAAACAAAAATTTTTTACCTTCACTGGAACAATTTTTTATAAAATCACATGCTTCTGTAAGAAGTTGAGCTGTTTGCACTAAATCAATAATATGTATACCGTTCCGCTCTGTATATATATAAGGAAACATTTTAGGATTCCATCTTCTTGCTTGATGACCAAAATGTACGCCTGCTTCTAATAATTCTGATAATGATACAACTGCCATGATAATAATTTTACTTTACAAGATAATAAATACGGTACTAAAAAATAATGACCTATGTACTTTAATACAAGAGATGAAGTTATAAAAATAATAACATAACACAAACTAAAATCATAAATGTTTTATAGTATTTATTTTTCTATATTTATATCTTTTTCTTGTTTAATTGGATAATTTCGAGCTGTTCGGTCATCTAAAATAATATCTTCAAAATTAGACTTTGGTTGATTAAGTTCAGCTTTATTCAATATATTATTATCTACAAGAAGTTCACTGTTATCTGTATTTAATAAAGAATTGCTATGAATTTTAAAACCTGTACCTGCTGGTATTAAACGGCCAATAATCACATTCTCTTTTAAACCTCTTAGCCAGTCTAATTTACCAGAGATAGCAGCTTCTGTTAGTACTTTTGTAGTTTCTTGAAAACTAGCTGCAGAAATGAAACTTTCTGTATTTAATGAAGCTTTAGTAATACCTAATAAAATTGGATGATAAGTTGCTTTATTTTTATTCATTACAGATAAAGATTTATTAACAGACTCTATTTTTTGCAATTCCACCATTTCTCCTGGTAAATAATCAGTATTACCTCCATTTTCTATTTTAACCTTAGAAGTCATTTGTCTAACTATAACTTCTATATGTTTATCGGAAATATCTACTCCTTGTAATTGATAAACCAACTGAACCTCTTTAATTAATTCTAACTGTGTATCTAATAGACTTAATCTTGTTGAATCATAAACACTCAATCCTTTATTCAAATATCCACGAAAGTTAGACTCTAAATTATGATGAGGGTTAAAGGAATTACCAGCTTTTTTCCTTGCTTCTAAAATTTCTTCTATTCTTGGTAATCCTTGAACAATATCTCCGGTTTTAGCTCTTTCAAAAATTAATGTTGCTAAACTTTCTCCTCTTTTAATTAAACTATTATTATGGATATGTAATATAGAATCACTAGAAATAAGGAAAGGTTGACCGATTCTTATAATTATTTTTGTATCCTGGATATCAATTATTTGCCCTGAATGCAATGTAAAGATATTTGTAGCTATCTCATCACCTGTATAAACCCAATCATTAATTTGTATTTTTATTTCATGCGTATTATTAATCTTAAAAGTTCTAATGTCAGTAGGCCTAATAATTAGCATACGACGATTAGAATGTTTAATATCTTGAATGAACATAACTTTTCCATTAATCATAGAAATAACTTCTGTTTCAGCTACAATTGATCCACTTGTTATGTATTCTCCATTTTTAACTTTAATGCTTGTTTTCGTATAAAAATTTTTTGAATTAATGACGTTAGAGTCTTTTAAAGAAAGAGGATCAAATGTACTGAGTTTTAATAAAGAATAAGAACTACTTAAATTATTTTTTATAAACTCTATTCTACAATTTATATCTGAAATTTGTGTATTTAAATTTACCACCAAATGTGTATTAATTAAATTAACACCATAGACAGATTTAACCCTTGCACCATCTCTAAAATATGTTCGTCTTATTAGCTTCAAATCTATCATATTTATTTCAAAAGAATCTGCTGTATAAGATAAAGTTAAACCTTTATTAGGGACTGAATATACAACAACAGGTCTAATTAAAATAATATTATCTTCTTTAATTTTTATATGTTCCCAATACACTAATTTATCAGAGACTATTTCATTAATGATTTTTTCACCAGGCCTTAGAAAACCTCTATTTCTGTCTTTATGTTGATTTAAATCTTTATTATTGATTGTGTAAACTTTGCCAGGTTTTATAATGATCTCTCTAATTATTCCTTCTTTTTCGACAACTTCAACAATACCTGAATTATTAGCAAATACATTTTTTATTATCTCTGTTCCTAAATCAACAAAATCACCATGCTGAACAAGAAGAAGAGAGATATCTTTATTAATTTCATGAGTTTCTTCAGGTATCCAAAGAATATAACCTGGTCCTAAAATATCGTAATAATCATTTTTATTATCTGTCTTCTTCTTAGATATTGGTAAATCTAAATATTTAATAATTCCGCCTGTTTTTGTTTTGTATAAATTAGAAATTAAATTTCCTATTATTTGCCCATGGTTAACTTTTTGATTTGGCAAAACAGTTAATAAAAATTTATCTTGTTGATCTACAAGTAAAATATGATTTTGAGATCCATCATTATTGTCTATATAAACTTTTATACCAATAAAAGTTTTTGTTGACATTATTATAGATATTTGTTGATTTATATTTTTATTTTGCTGATTTGGAACTGAAACACGACCACTATAGCGACTAATTAATTGTGTTCTTGACATTATACTATTTTCATATATTCTTTCATTCTGGGATAATATAATATTTGCATCATCGTTTATATTATGTACTATTCCTGACAAAATCCAAATAACACCACTTGTTTCAGCGCTTTTTATTACATTTTGTTTATTTCTTATTTCTTTTATTTTTAAATTTTCTATATGAACACTACCCGAACAATCAGCTACTACCGAATTTTGCGCTCTTTCTGTCATAACACGATTACTTAAAGGATATTCAGCTATAACTGAACCAGCTTTTATTATTGACTTATGCCCAGCTAATAATAATGAACCTTTAGTTAATGAAATTAATATCTCATTGCCATTGCTCTCTACAAGTTTAATTTTACAATCTGAATTAACAAATTGTGCTTCATCACCATAACGCGTTCTAGCATTAGTTAATGGCATATTCTGCATATACTCTAAAATAGCATCCTTGGGACTAATTATTGTTTGTGCTAATTCTCCAGTAAACACCCCGCCTGTATGAAATGTGCGCATTGTTAACTGTGTACCAGGTTCTCCAATAGATTGAGCAGCAATAATACCCACAGCTTCTCCAAGATCTACCATTTTACCATGAGCTAAATTCCAACCATAACATAATTGACAAACAGATTGAATAGAATCACAAGTAATGGGAGAACGTACTAAAATACTTTTACGACCGGATCTTGCTATATAATTAGCTAACTCAGGTTCTACACATTGATCTTTGTAGGCAATACTTTTATTAGTAAAATTATCTACAACATCTTCAGCTAATATTCTTCCTATTAGAGCTTGTTTTAAAGAAATTAATACTTTTTGATTGTCAACCATTTCTTCTAATAAAATACCTTTGGATGTTTTACAATTAGTTTCACGAATAATTACATCTTGTGCTACATCTACAAGACGACGTGTTAAATAACCAGAATCTGCTGTACGTAGCGCTGTATCAACTAAACCCTTTCTAGCACCATAAGATGAAATAAAGTAATCTGTAATTGTTAATCCTTCTCTGAAGTTACTAGATATAGGTAAATCAATAATTTGACCTTGTGGATCGGACATTAATCCACGCATACCAACTAATTGTCTAACCTGAGAAATATTACCACGGGCCCCTGAAAAAGCCATCATATAAATAGTATTTAGTGGATCCGTATTTTTAAAATATAGTATGATTTCTTTTTTTAAAGTTTCACTAGCGTTATTCCAAGTATCTATAACTTTTTGAAATCTTTCAACTGTTGTAATTTCACCTCTTTTATGTCTTTTATCTGTTTCTGCTATTGAATAAATAGTTTTAGCTAATAATTGTTCTTTAACAGGTGGTATTCTCAAATCTTCTAAACTTAAAGAAATTCCTGCCTTAGTAGCATAATAAAATCCTAAATCTTTGATCTTATCCGCCATATTAGATGCATGAGCTATACCATAATTTCTAAAAGCCCATATAATAATTTGCTTTAATTGAACCTTATCAATAACTTTATTAATAAATTTTGGCTGTAACAATTTTTTTCTCATAAAATATCCTTGTAATGCGTAATATATTACTAAATTCAGATATTATCTAACTATAGAATCTTGTATTACTTTATTAAATAAAATACGACCAGCTGTTGTTCTAATATATTGAACAAGGAGATTTTTATTTGCATCTTTCTTGATTATTTTGTCTATAAAAATAGATGTGGTTTGTCCATTCTCATTTGTTTGAGATTTAATTAATACATCATCATGAGCATTTTCTACCAATCCTTCAAATCGAACCCAAATAAAAGCATGTAAGTCTATTAATTTTTGTTCATAAGCCATAAGAACATCTTCTAAATTGGCAAAATATTGTCCCTTGCCTTTTTGAGAAGCTGGATTATTAGCAGTTAAGTAGTAGCAACCCAATACCATATCTTGACTCGGCATTAAAATAGGTTGGCCTGTTGCTGGAGATAAAAAATTATGTGGTGCTAACATTAACAAACGTGCTTCTGCTTGTGCTTCTAAAGATAAAGGAATATGTACAGCCATTTGATCACCATCAAAATCTGCATTAAATGCTGGACAAACAAGAGGATGTAGCTTAATTGCCCTACCTTCTACAAGAATTGGCTCAAAAGCTTGAATTCCTAAACGATGTAAAGTAGGTGCTCTATTTAGTAAAACAGGATGTCCATGAATCACTTCTTTTAAAACATTCCACACAACTGGTTCACTTCGTTGAATTATTTTTTTAGCAGCTTTAATATTATTGACTAAACCCTGTAAAATCAAACGATGTATTACAAAAGGTTGAAATAGCTCTAATGCCATTTCTCTTGGTAAACCACATTGATGTAATTTTAAATTGGGTCCAACAACTATAACAGATCTGCCTGAATAATCTACACGTTTACCTAATAAATTTTGTCTAAATCGTCCTTGCTTGCCTTCAATAATATCTGACAAAGATTTTAAAGGTCGATTATGTGCGCCAACAACTGTTCTTCCACGTCTTCCATTGTCCATCAATGAATCTACAGCCTCTTGCAACATCCTTTTTTCATTTCTAATAATTATTTCTGGTGCAAGTATAGCTTTTAATCTAGCCAGACGATTATTTCTATTAATAATTCTACGATAAAATTCATTTAAATCAGCTGTTGCAAATCTACCACCATCTAATTGTACCATAGGTCTAAGATCTGGAGGTATAACAGGTATGACAGAAAACACCATCCATGAAGGTTCAACACCTGTCGATATAAAATTTTCAAGTAAACGTAACCTCTTCATTTTCTTATTAAATCTAGGAGATGGATTCTTAGATATTTTTGGAGGTTTAAGTGCTTCTTCTCTTAATATTTCGACAGTTGTTGTAAGATCCATATCTTTTAACAATTTATAAATTGCTTCAGCTCCCATACTAACTTCAAGACCAAATAAATTAGAGGATTTAGGATATAATTTATCTTCTAAAGCCCTCCATTCATACCCTTCTAATAACTGCTTATAATATAATTTATTATAGTTTCCTGGGTTAGTAACGACATATGAATGAAAATAGACTATTTTTTCAACTTCTTTAACAGCTAGATCTAGTGCTAATGCAATATAACTAGTACTACCTTTTAGATACCAAACATGAGTAACCGGTGCAGAGAGTTCGATATAACCCATTCTATGCCGTCTAACTTTAGATTCTGTTACTTCAACGCCACATCTTTCACATACAACACCTTTATATCTAAATCTCTTATATTTACCACAATGACATTCCCAATCTTTAACAGGACCAAAAATACGCTCACAAAAAAGACCGTCCATTTCTGGTTTTAAAGTTCTATAATTAATTGTTTCAGGTTTAGTAACTTCACCTACTATTTGTCCATTAGGTAATATTCTTTCTCCCCATTGCCTTATTTTATCCGGTGAAGCTAAACTAATTTTTACATAATCAAAATGCCGTTCAAATTTAGTCATAGACAAATATATCCCTATGAAAATAAAAAATATTTAATTATTATTTGTTATATCTAAGTCAGAATATATATGTTTTTTATTAAAAGGCTTAGTTTTTAGCGTTTTATCATACACATTGTCTGATTTATTGTTCTTAAAATTAATTAGATCTACTTCATTAGACATTAAATCAATTTCAACACCTTTATTTTCACCATTTTCAAATAATTCAACTTTATGGACAGCAATATCTAAACCTAAAGACTGTAATTCTCGCATAAGAACTTTAAATGATTCAGGAGTACCTGGCTTAGGTATAGGTTTTCCTTTTACAATAGCATTTAAAGCTTCATTTCTTCCTTGCATATCATCAGACTTAACTGTTAATAATTCTTGTAAAGTATATGCAGCTCCAAATGCTTCTAAAGCCCACACTTCCATTTCTCCTAATCTTTGACCTCCATGTTGAGCACGTCCACCTAATGGTTGCTGAGTAACCAAAGAATAAGGACCTGTTGAACGAGCATGTATCTTATCATCTACTAAATGTACTAGTTTTAAAATATATGCTTTACCAACAGTCACTGGATTATCAAAAGGTTCTCCAGTTCTTCCATCAAATAATATGATTTTACCAGGATGCAAAGGCTCAAATAACCATTGTTGCTTATTTAATAAACTTGCTTGTTTTAATTTATTATTTACTAATGCTCTCGAAGCTTCTTTACCATACATTTCATCAAAAGGAAGAATTTTAAATCGTTTACCTAAATATTCTCCTGCTAAACCTAGTAAACACTCAAAAAGTTGACCAACATTCATTCTAGAGGGTACACCTAATGGATTTAATACAATATCAACAGGAGTTCCATTAGGCAAATATGGCATATCTTGTCTGGGCAATATTCGAGAAATGATTCCCTTATTTCCGTGTCGACCAGCCATTTTATCGCCAACTTGAATTTTTCTTTTCTGAGCAACATATACTCGAATAATAGCATTCGTGCCTGGTGGTAACTCATCACCTTTTTTTCGTGTAAATACTTTTATATTTACTACTCTACCTTTAGCTGCATTAGGTAGTCTTAATGATGTATCTCTTACATCTCTAGCTTTTTCACCAAAAATAGCTCTTAATAATTTACCTTCTGGTAATTGATCTGCTTCTCCTTTAGGCGTGATTTTACCTATTAATATATCTCCCGAATCTACCCAAGAGCCAACAGTAATAATTCCATTTTTATCTAATAAGCTAACAGATGTTTCGCTTACATTAGGAATATCACGAGTAATTTCTTCTGGACCTAATTTTGTTTGCCTACACTCCAACTCATATCTTTCAATATGAATAGATGTATAAATATCTTCATATACTAAACGTTCACTAATTAAAAACGCATCTTCATAATTATAACCTTCCCAAGGCATATAAGAAACTAAAATATTACGGCCCAATGCTATCTCGCCACCATCTGTAGAAGCTCCATCTGCAATTGTTTGGCCAATTACTACTTTTTCTCCTGGCCATACAATAGGACGTTGATTAATACACGTATCTTGATTAGAACGATAATATTTTTTTAATCTATAATGTATTATTTTACCTTCTAAATCCTGAATTCCTATCTTAGTACCTGATACATAACTGACTAAACCATCTGTACGGCTAGTAACAACCATACCAGAATCTCTTGCAAAGTTAGCTTCTAAACCCGTACCAACTATAGGTTTTTCTGTATATAGCAAAGGTACTGCTTGTCTTTGCATATTTGATCCCATTAAAGCACGGTTAGCATCATCATGTTCCAAAAAAGGAATTAACGATGTTGCTGCAGACATAATTTGAATAGGAGATACTAAGATATAATCTACTTGATCAATTGAAGACGTAACAAACTCTTGCCTATATCGAACAGGTATAATATCATTATTAATATAATCATTACTATCAATTGTTATATCTGCTGGTGCTATTCTTAAATTATCTTCTTCATCAGCAGTAAAATAAGAGGGCTTTTTGCCTCTAACTACTCTTCCTTTTTCAACACTATAGCAAGGTGTCTCAATAAATCCGTATTTATTAACTCTAGCATAAATACTTAAAGAGCCTATTAAACCAGCATTAGGTCCTTCAGGAGTTTCAATTGGACAAATACGCCCATAATGACTAGGATGTAAATCTCGAACTGCAAAACCAGCACGATCTTTATTTAAGCCACCAGGTCCTAAAGCACTAATTCTTCTTTTATGTGTTAATTCAGCCAATGGATTCGTTTGGTCCATAAATTGGGATAATTGACTAGATCCAAAAAATTCTCTTACGGCTGCCATTAAAGGTTTCGGGTTTACTAGATTAGATAGACTTAAAGAATCCAAATCACAAATAATCATACGTTCACGAATAATTCTTTCTAAACGATTTAGTCCAATACGTATCTGATTTTGCAATAGTTCTCCTACAGAGCGAACTCTTCGATTACCTAGATGATCTATATCATCAAAAGTTCCTATATTCTGTTCTTTAAGATTAATTAAGTAATCAATTGCAGCCAAAATATCTTTTGGACATAAAACTTTAAAGGATTTAGATATTTTTAAATTTAATTTTTTATTTATTTTATAACGACCAACTTCACCTAGATCATATCGCTTAGGATCAAAAAAACGAGCATACAGCATTTGTTTTGAACCAGCTACTGTAGCTGGTTCATTAGGACGTAATTTACTATAAATAATTAGTAAAGATTCTTCATCTGTTACTTCTTCTACAGAAAGTTTTCCTATTTCTTTATCAAGTTCTTTTTTTTCATATAACGATGAAGCATTTAAAAGAAAAGAATATTTTGTAATATTTTTTTTTATATCTTCACTATTTATACCTATTGCTCTCAGAAAGACGTAAGCATTTACTTTATGCGTTTTGTCAATTCGAACCCATATTTGATCTTTTGCATCTATTTCAAACTTAAGCCAAGATCCACGGTTAGAAATTAAACTGGCACTATATACATGTTTATCGTTTTTATCCAATTCTTTTTTATAATATATACCTGGACTTCTAACAATTTGATTTATAATTACTCTTTCTGTACCTGATATAATAAAAGCACCTTGATTTGTCATTAAAGGTAGGTCTCCTACAAAGACGGGCCTTTTTTTATATTTTTTATTTGCTTCTTTAACATTAAATAAATCAAAAATATCTGTATTTTTATTTTTTTTAATTAATTCTGTATCTTTTCGAGTTAATTTAGAAGGAATATAAATTTGAGCACTATATGTACGATCTCTACTTTTTGCCTTCCTAACACTGTAACGAGGAAATTTTAGTTTGTAGTCTATACCAAAAAATTCCAATTCTAATTTACCAGTGGGATCCATAATAATAGGAAAAGAGTTTAAAACTTCTCCTAAGCCTTCAGATAAAAAAGATCTAAAACTTTCTCTTTGAACAGAAACTAAATCTGGAAAAATAGATTGAATGTTGTTATTGATTGACATTAAAAGCTTTGAAATAATACTTGGAACACTCTAAAGTGAATATACTTTAGTTGTTATCAATCTAATAGTTACTTTAAAAATAAATTTTAGATCAAAGAAAAATGGTAAAATATATGATTATGTAGTTTTAAATTTGATAGACTACATTAGTAGTCTGAGAATTATAGAAATTAAGAGCAATATATTTATAATTATATTCAGTGACTTTTCATTGCACGTGCTAAAAAAGACTTCTTACGAGCACCACAATTTTTATGCAGAACTCCTTTTTTAACTGCTTTATCTATTTTACTGTAAATACAAGATAAGTTCGATAAATTTTCTTGAAAATTGGCATTATTTACATTATTAAGATAGCTTTTAGTTAAAGTTTTAATAACTGACTTATAAGCTCGGTTTCTAGAACGGTTTCTTAAAGATACTCTAGTTTTTGTAGTTAAGGACAAATTTTTGGTCATAAAATTCACAATATAAAAAAAGTAAAATACAGTCAGATAACATCAGTCAAGAGTTATTATATTATTTGTGAAATATATACATAATTTTAATAAAATAATATGTACAAATAATATTTAGACTTGATAGTTAACATGCAAACATGAGATAATGAATATACAAACTAATAATAAATGAAAAATGGGAAAAAATAAAGGAGCAAGAAGAATAATTACTTTAGAATGTGAATGTAGAAATCTTTCAAGTAATATGAAAAGAAAAGCTGGAATTTTTCGCTACACAACTTCAAAAAATAGAAGAAATACACCTAATCGCTTAGAAATCAAGAAATTTTGTCCAAATTGTAATAGACATTCTAATTTTAAAGAAATTAAATAATATTAATAAAAATAAGTTATTAATACACAGAAATATATGATTTTATATAAAAAAAAATCTTCACCTGTTAAGCAACATGAAATTCTTGATTATAAGGATATAGACTTATTAAGAAAATTCATTTCTGACCAAGGAAAAATTTTATCTAGACGTTCAACAGGTCTTAGTGCAAAAAAACAGAAAAAACTAACAAAATCTATTAAAAGAGCACGTATTCTTTCATTACTCCCTTTTTTTAATAGAGATTAGATATACTAAATTCTTTATCATTATTGTCTTTAATATAAATAATGTAAAAATATATTTTACATTATTTATTCTATAAAACTTTTTGTACTTTAATAAGTTCATAAGCTTTTATAATATCAAATTTTATAAAATCATTATAATTATTACACATAACGCCACACTCATTTCCTTCTAAGACTTCATCAATATTATCTTTCATGTGCTTTAAAGAATCTAATTTACCTTTATAAAGTAATTCTTTATCACGGTAAATTACTATATGTGCATTTCTTTTTAACTTACCTCGATTTACGATGCAACCTGCAACCATACCTTTATTAACATGAAAGACTGTTTTAATAATAGCTTCTCCAATTTCTACTTTATCATATTCAATATCCATTAAATTTAGCATATAATCTTGAAGATATTCTAATAAATCATAAATCACTTCAAATTTTTGTATATTGAGATCTAATTTCTTAGCTAACTTACTAATGGTAGTTTCTATATTAGTATTGAAACCTATAATAGCTGATTTACTAGTAGTTGCTAAATCAATGTCTTTATGACATATGCATCCTGAAGTTGCGGACAATATATTAAGTTGCACTTTATCTTGCGGTATTTGTGCCAAAGAATTTATTATAGCTTCTATGGAACCTTGTGTATCAGCTTTAATAATTAAGTTAACTTGCTTAAGTCTTGATTTATTACTACAACTATCTAATGTAATTCGTTTATTTAATGATTTATTAATATTAGACTCTGTATGCTTATGAATGTATTTATTTATCAAATATTTAGAATTTTTCTCGCTTTTTATAACTTGAAAATGAAGACCTGCTTCAGGTATAGAAGGAAAACCATAAATATTTACGACTGAAGAAGCTATAGCATAATTAATTTTTGAACCTGTATGATCCATAATTGCTTTAATACGTCCATAAGTATTACCTGAAACTATTGTATGCCCAACTTTTAGTGCACCATTTTTAATTACAATATTTGCAACAGCTCCCATTTGTTTATCTAAATAAGATTCTAAAATCGTACCTTGAGCTAGAGAATTGTTATCGGATTTTAAAGATAATTTATTAGATAGTTCACATATTTGATTTAACAATAAGTCTATATTTTTACCCGTTAAAGCACTGATTTCTATTATATTACTATTACCGTACATGTTTTGGTCAACAATATTATAATTTGCTAACTGTTCTCTAACTATTGAAAGATTAAGATCTAACTTATCAGTTTTATTAATAGCAACTATGTACGGTATTTGATTATTCATAATATAATCAATCGCTTCAATAGTTTGTTTTTTTAATCCATCATCAGCAGCAACTAGTAAAATAGCTACATCACTTACTTGAGCTCCTCTTAATCTCATACTTGAAAAAGCTTGATGACCAGGCGTATCCAAAAAGACTAATTGTTCTTTCGTCGCAAAGTATTGGTGCTCAACTTCATAACCTATAATCGATTGAGTAATACCACCTACTTCATGAGAGACTGTATTAGTTTTTCTAATACTGTCTAATAAAGTAGTCTTACCGTGATCTACATGTCCGAAAATAACTACAATTGGAGCTCTCTTTTGACCATTTATAATGTCAATCTTATTTTTATGATTTTCTTTTGTATGAATAGATGAATCTAATATAGTAAAATCATAATGACTTGCAACTTGAGAAGCTATCGAAATATCAACAACTTGATTAATAGTTACAGAAACACCTTGTAAGAATAGCCATGTAATTATCGCAGCTTCCGGAACATTTAATTTATATGCTAATTGTTCTATTGTTAAAGGACTATCTATTATTATTTCTTTTTTTACTATATTTTTATCAAGATGATTATGATTAATTTTTGCATCCTGCAAACATTCTGTATTCAGATTTATATTATCTGAGATATCTTTTAATAAATTTTTCTTAACTTTAATTTTTTTCTTTTGTTTTTTTTGCTTAGAGAGTTTAGGCAAAGAAATATTTACAGAATCTTTATTAGAATTAGGAATTAATTTATGGTCGTCAATAAAAATTTCATCATTATCCAAAATCATTTGACTACGAGCTTTCTTTTTTATTTTAGTTTTATTTTTTTTATCTTCTATATTACTTTCAGAACGAGAAGAATTTTTATGTTTTTTTTCAAATTTAGGAGTAAAATCGGAAACTAATTTTATATCTTGATCATCAATTATTTCTACTGATGTATCCAACATAAGACTTTTTTTTTCAACTTTTTCTATTTCTTCTAATGTATATACTAACATTGGATTTTTTAATAAAAAAATAGATTCTTGATCTTGCTTTTTCAATGATATACAGTATATAAAATTAGAAAATCTTCTTTTTACCTTAAATACCTTACAATGATATAAAATTTTGTTTGTCATATTTTTCATGATTTGAAATTTAAACTAATGATGTTTATAATTATTTAATATTGATGGAAAAATCTATTATGAGTAACGACAAAATACAAAAAATACTATCAGATATATTTTTATTATAAATAAAAGAAATAATAGAATATAGCAACATAAGACGTTGTATTAAAATATAAAGATTAAAGGATAAATATGCCGCGTTTACAAAAAAATGATAATTTCATAGATAAAACTTTTACAGTATTAGCCGATATAGTATTAAAAGTTTTACCTACAAGTAAAGAAGAAAAACAAGCTTTTTGTTACTATAGAGATGGTATGTCTGCACAGTCAGAAGGTGAATATGCAGAAGCGCTAGAAAATTATTATGAAGCTTTAGGCTTAGAAGAAGATCCATATGACAGATCATACATACTATACAATATAGGCCTAATTTATGCAAGTAACGGGGAACATATTAAAGCACTTGAATATTATCATCAAGCATTAGAATTAAATAATAAATTACCACAAGCTTTAAACAATATTGCTGTAATATATCACTATCAAGGATTAAAAGCAGCTGATAAAAATAATCTAAATGTATCAAAAACCATGTTTGATAAAGCCGCAGAATATTGGCAACAAGCAATATATTTAGCTCCTAATAATTATATTGAAGCTCAAAACTGGTTGAAAATGACTAGAAGATCGAATAACGTAAATAACTAATATCTGTTTAAATATCAAAATTCATATTATAGAATTAAAAAAGTAAATAAGTTTTAAAATATATATTGAATATTATTACTATAATATCATTTTTAGCTTTTTTAATAAATTATTCACATAGACAGTCTATTTAAACATTTTATTATTGATTGAGTACAGTATTGTTTATTAATAATTATCAAATATTTACTTCAAGTAAATATTTTTTTATAGAAGTATCAAATATAATATATAGTAACTTAAAGTACAATTTGCATTATTCAGATGAAAAAAAAGAATATAAGTAAATATTCTTACAAAATAATATTAATTTAAATAGAAATTTTACCTATTGACTAAATAATAATCTTGAACATAACAAATGGTAACAACAACAAAAGGATGCGTAACTCAAATTATTGGCCCTGTATTAGATATAGAGTTTCCGAATGGTAAATTACCTAAAGTATTTAATGCATTAAAAGTAGAAGGGCCAGATAACATTATTACTTGTGAAGTACAACAATTATTAGGAGATAATAGGGTAAGAGCTGTAGCTATGAGTTCTACTGATGGACTACAAAGAGGTGTTGGTGTTGTAGATACTGGTGCTCCAATTACAGTTCCAGTCGGCATTCCTACACTTGGTAGAATTTTTAATGTTCTTGGTGAACCTGTTGATAACTTAGGCTCTATTTCTTCAACTGAATCACTACCTATACATAGATCTGCTCCTTCTTTTGTACAATTAGAAACACAACCTTCAATTTTTGAAACAGGAATTAAAGTAGTTGATTTATTAGCACCATATAGAAGAGGCGGTAAAATAGGACTTTTTGGAGGGGCTGGTGTTGGAAAGACAGTATTAATTATGGAATTAATTAATAATATTGCAAAAGCTCATGGTGGAGTTTCAGTTTTTGGTGGTGTTGGTGAGCGAACCAGAGAAGGTAATGACTTATATGAAGAGATGAAAGAATCAAAAGTAATTAATGCTGATAAACTTACAGAATCTAAAGTTGCATTAGTTTATGGACAAATGAATGAACCACCTGGAGCAAGAATGAGAGTTGGTTTAACTGCTTTAACAATGGCAGAATATTTTAGAGATATTAATAAACAAGATGTTTTATTATTTATTGATAATATTTTCCGTTTCGTACAAGCAGGATCTGAAGTATCTGCTCTACTTGGACGTATGCCTTCTGCTGTAGGTTATCAACCTACATTAGCGACAGAAATGGGTGCTTTGCAAGAAAGAATTACATCAACTAAAGACGGTTCTATAACTTCTATTCAAGCTGTTTATGTACCTGCTGATGATTTAACTGATCCTGCTCCTGCTACAACATTTGCACATCTTGACGCAACGACTGTATTATCAAGAGGCTTAGCAGCAAAAGGTATTTATCCAGCTGTTGACCCTTTAGATTCTACTTCAACAATGTTACAACCTTCTATTGTAGGAGCAGAACATTATGCAACTGCACAACAAATAAAATCTACTTTACAAAGGTATAAAGAACTACAAGATATAATAGCTATTTTAGGTTTAGATGAACTATCGGAAGAAGATCGTTTAACTGTTGCTAGAGCACGTAAAATTGAACGCTTTCTATCACAACCATTTTTTGTAGCTGAAGTTTTTACTGGATCTCCTGGAAAATATGTTTCTTTAGAAGAGGCTATTAAAGGTTTCCAAATGATTTTAAAAGGAGAACTTGATGATTTACCAGAACAAGCTTTTTATCTTGTTGGAAATATTGAAGAAGCTATTAGTAAAGCCGAAACTTTTAAGTAAAAGGATAACATTACATGACATTAAATATACGTGTAATTGCTCCAGATAAAACTGTGTGGGATGCAAATGCAGAAGAAGTTATTTTACCCAGCAGTACTGGACAACTAGGCATTTTGAAAGGCCATATACCATTATTAACAGCTCTAGATATAGGTGTTATGCGTGTACGTATTGATAGAGAGTGGCAACCAATTATTCTTTTAGGAGGATTTGCAGAAATAGAAGATGATAATATCACAATACTAGTTAATGGTGCAGAAAAAGCTGATAGTATAGATATTAATAATGCTCAAAATAACTTAGAAGAAGCAACTATTGCTTTATCAGAAGCAAAAAGTAATAAAGATAAGATAGAAGCAACGCAAAACTTGAGAAAAGCACGTGCTAGAATACAAGCTATAAATGTATTAAATAATTAAAGCTTAAATAGTTCTCATAAGGAAGCTTAATAACTTCCTTATGATTTTACTATAATTAATCTAATATTAACTTAATCCAGAACAAATATAATCGAAATATAAGCTCATTTCTTTACCAGCATCAGAGCCTACAAGTTTAGCCGTAACTTCTTTCATTGCTTGTATAGTCTGAATCGTTGCTCCGATTGGTACACCTAATGAATTATATGTTTCTTTTAAACCATTCAAGACACGTTCATCTAAGATAGATGGATCTCCTGCTAACATACCATAAGTAGCATATCTTAAATAATAATCTAAATCTCTAATACATGCTGCATAGCGTCTTGTTGTATACATATTACCACCAGGTCTCGTAATATCGGAATATAACAAAGCTTTAGCAACTGATTCTTTAATAATAGTCGCTGCATTCGCTGCAATAGTAGCAGCTGCACGTACTCTTAGTTCACCAGTTTGAAAATAACCACGTAATTTTTCTAACGAGTTATCGTCTAAATATTTTCCTTGTACATCGGCTGTATTAATTACAGAAGTAATAGCATCTTGCATAATATTTAATTTCCTTACTTTATATTAATATAAAATATATCTTTAGTATATTTTTACTGCATTGCTCCTAAAGTATAATCAAAATAAAAACCTGCTTCTGCAGAGTCTTCTCCTGACAATAATGAACAAGCCGCACCTTTCATAGAACGAATACCTTCTGCTACACCAGAAATTGGAGTACCTAATGAATTATACATTTCTTTTACACCTACTAATCCAATTTCTTCAATGGGTGTAACATCTCCTGCAACTATACCATATGTTACTAAGCGTAAATAATAGTCTAAATCACGTAAACAAGTAGCTGTCATTTCTTCACCATATGCATTTCCTCCTGGAGAAACAACATCTGGACGCTTTTGAAATAATTGCTGACCACCTTGTTTTACAATAAGTTCACGATTATCTGTTAATACTTGAGCTATTCTTAATCTCCGTTTACCAGATAAAACAAAACTTTTAATACGATCTAATTCGCCTGGACTTAAATACCTAGCTTCTGCATCAGCATTTACAATTGATTTAGTTACTATACTCATTTATTAAACTCCTTAGCTATTTTGTATTAAATAAAAATTAATTAACACGATAAATCTAATTATATATATAATACTATTATACAATACAATTAATTAGTTAACACCAGGAATCATAGCTTTTATTATAGGTACTAAAAACTATTTTCGTAAAGTACTCAAGCAAGAAAGACTATCGTTGAACAATTCAGTAATTTTATTGATTACCAGCAATAGCTTTAAAGCTTGGCACAACTATGATTTCGTTTTGCTTAGTTAACGCATTATATAACTTTTCTGTATTTGGGAAATTAGCTGCTGGTAATGTTGGAAAACGTCGGTAAGGTACAATATTCGAACCAAAAATTGCGTTGTACTCTACACTATTCACTAACGCTGAAATAAAATAAGATAACCCTTGAGAAGCCAATATTTGATTATAATACCTTATTTCAGCTTGATTATTAGGAGCACGACCTAAAAAGTGTTTCGTACCGAGTTCAATGACTTTGGTATTTGGGTATGGTTGGTAAAACTCTTTACGATATAATGAAGAAGAACCAAGCTGCTCTATAAGTTGCTGTATATTTATTTCTTGATTTAGAAATGCTTTTTCTAAATTATAAAATTCATCTCCTAATGTAAATGAGTTTAAATCTCTCTCAAAGATTTGTCTGTATAGTGCTCTTAATATTTGCTTAATTTCAGATTTATTAGTGGATTGCTGTACTTTAAAGATTACTGTTTGATCTCTTTTTGAAGTTACTCCTTGTAACAATCTTTGTTGAATACAGTTATTACTGCGAATTTCTTGAATTGAACCTAAATCAATGAACTTTGCTGGTTTTTGATTTGGTAATAGGACTTGTAATTGCATTGCACTTATACCAGATCTTAAATTTCTAGAAGATACTGTAGAAGCTGTATTGTATCTTTCATAAGGAACTATATTGTCTGCAAAACACTCTATATATTCTGTACTATCGATAATAGCATCGATCAATTTATAATAACTTTGCTTATATACTATATTAAAATATTTATTAATCTCTTGTCTTCCGTATGTAGGTCTACCTAATAATCTACAGTGAATATATTCGATAGCTTTACAAATATATAAAGGTTCCCAATACAAAGATCTAAAAATAGATGTTTTTGCTAATAAGCGCACAAAATTTCTTACAGAGATTTGACCTTCTCTTAACTGATTTTCAAATCTTTTAAGATTCAATAATTCTTCCTGATAAATAACTCGACCAAAAACTCTTAAGTAAGTAGCTCTAATTACTTGGCTTAAATTTGCTTCAACATTCTCCTGATCTTGAAGTACAGCTACTTTGCTAGCTACATTATTTAATTTAAACACTTTAGGGCCTAAAGATTCGGTTAATTTAGAACGTAAACTAGGTTGACTTATCTGATTGTAGATTCCAGGACCTCTTCTGATTAAAATTCTACGAGTATCTTTAGTAAAAGGCGCAGATTTTTTTCGTAAATTTATAGTATTTTGAGGAAAGATTGCTCCAAATTGTATACCTAAAGGATCATTACTTAATCCATATGGATGTTGATCTGGTAAACTATTTTTATAATCACTAAACAGAGTAATAAATTGAGGGATTTTTCTAAAAACAGTACTATAGTTAAATAAATCTATTTGAGCACCCCAATTTCGTGATTCTTGAGGTTCCTCTCCTAGACTCCTTGCGTAAGGAACTGTTTCTTCTGCAAAATAATCAGAATATTCTGTAGAATTTATTAAGCTATCAACAAGTCCAGCAAGTCCTCTAGAAGAGATAACAGAAAAATATCTTTGAAATTCTTCTAATGAGCTTGGTCCTCTACCTAAAAAATGTTTAAATGCTAACTCTAAGGCTCTACTATTTACAAAAGGTTCAAAAAACTGCTTTCTATAAATAGATGATTTTCCTAGTAATCGTATAAATTCTTTTACGGATAATTGACCATTCTTCACTTGAGATTCTAGATCAAAAAAGACTAAATCATATGCTTTAGCTATATCTCTTTCAAAGACTTGTCTATAACAAGCATGAATAACAGTATTTTTTTCTTCTGTAGATAAAGAAGTTTTCATTACAAATCGTTGGGTTGCAACACCTGCTTTTGCATAAATTTGAGGTAAACGTAAACCTTGTAAATCACCTGACTCTCTTTTTCTTAATTTATCCGTTAAAGATGAAGCATCAAATTCTTTAATTACTACGTTAAAATATTCTTTTACTAATAATTGGCCTTCTATATCATCAGTAAAGATAGTAAGAGCAACTTGCCGCATTTCTCGTAAAGCAACTGTAGCAGCTGCACTAGAACAAGCGTTATCAATCAACTCTCTTAATCCTCGAATATTAACTGATAATATATTGGGATCTCCAGTAACAATCGCATAAGTCAGGTATCTTAAGAACCAGTCTAAATCACGTAAAGATTTTTTCATTCTTACTGACCCATAACGTACTATATTAATGGGCTTAAATCCTGGAGGTAATGAATCATTAGTACTAAAAACAGATGTAACACTTTGAAAAATATTATTCTGAGTATTACCAGATAAACTGCCTGTATTATCTTTAATCTCAGAAGATAAAAATGATGCCTGAGGCCTTTCAAGATATGCTATAGCTGATCCACCAATAAATATTTTATCAGCTGCTTTAGCAACTAAAATATTAGCATTTTTACCAAGTAAATCAGCAACTTCCAATCTTTTACTTCCAGAATTTAGGAAAGCAACTAATTCATTCAATTCGCCTAATTGCAAAAATCTATCTTGTTGCTCTGCTTGCGCAATCGTTGATATCGATGCTGTTCGATAAAGCTGTGGTCGTGCCACAGGACTTCCTCCACTTGCTTTAACTATCATAAAATTTTTTCTCCTTACAATAAGATTAAACTTTTATTTGTTTATATAGAACTAACAACTATCCAATTATATAATTAGAGTTATTTATATTTTATGCTGTATTAATTAATAAACAAAAAGGAAAATTTTGTAGCTTACAGCTTTTGTATTTTTTTAAATACTTCTTCTTATAATATATTTAAAAATTAAGCTACTTTGAATAAAGACAGATTTTGTAATACTTGTTCAATATATAATTATATTTTTGATTCATTTTTTTAACATATAATATTTACGAACTTCTAGATTACCTAATAAGATAACAAATACTTGAAAAAATAACGACTATTATGAAAAAACAATGGGAAAATAAAACAAAGATGCCTATTTCAGAACATTTAGAAGAATTAAGGCAAAGAATATTTTTTTCTTTATCTATCTTTTTGATATTTAATACTATATGTTTTATATATATTAAAAACATAGCTTATATTCTACAACAACCCGCAACTGGCATAAAATTTTTACAGCTTGCACCTGGTGAATATTTTTTTGTTTCTATTAAAGTAGCTGTATATGCAGGATTCATTTTAAGTAGTCCATTTATAATTTATCAAATTATGCTGTTTATTTTACCTGGGTTAACAAAACAAGAAGCTTCTTTAATAGTACCTGCTCTGATATCTTCTATTATACTATTTTTTATTGGTTTATTATTTGCATATCAAATCTTAGCACCAGCTGCTTTATCTTTCTTTATTCAATATGGATCAGAAATTGTTGAACCTCTATGGTCTTTTGAACAATATTTCAATTTTATTCTATTACTATTATTTAGTACAGGTGTAGCATTTCAAATACCTATAATTCAAATTATATTAGGAATACTAGAAATCTTTTCATCCGATAACATGTTATCTTATTGGAAATACACTATTTTTTTCTCAACTATAATAGGAGCTATTCTAACTCCTTCAACTGATCCAATGACACAAATTTGTTTATCATCAGCAATAATGTTACTATATCTTGCTGGTATTTTAGTACTTAAAATAATTAATAAATAATATTATTTATATTAAATCTTATATAAATATTAAGTTAAAAATATGGCAATACTTTTTATTTAATAATAATAATAAATATAGAGTGTTATTATAAAGAAGAAGTATAAAATTTTTTGAATCTGCATTATAAAATCAAATTACATGAAACTAAATAAACCAAAAAACTGGATAACAACTATTCAAATATTTATATGCATGTACTTGGGTATTATATTTCTTAATATAATATATCCATTAAATACAAATGCATTTCCATTGTATGCTCAGCAAGGATACGATGATCCTAGAGAAGCAACAGGACGTATTGTATGTGCAAATTGTCACTTAGCACAAAAAGCAGTTGAGATTGAAACACCTCAATCCGTTTTACCAAACACAGTCTTCGCAGCAAAAGTAAAAATACCATACGATACTCAAAGTGAACAAATTTTAGGAAATGGAAACAAGGGTCCTTTAAATATGGGAGCTGTTTTAATATTACCTGATGGATTTAAATTAGCACCTAAAAATTTAATTCCTGAAGAATTAAAAGAAAAGACTAAAGGAACATATATTCAGCCTTACAGTACAGATAAAGATAATATTTTAGTAGTAGGACCAATACCAGGAAATAAAAATAAAGAAATTATTTTTCCTATTTTATCACCTGATCCAAGTACGAACAAAAAAGTACATTTTTTAAAATATCCTATATATGTAGGTGGTAATAGAGGAAGAGGCCAGCTGTATCCAACAGGAGATAAGTCAAATAACAATACAATTACTTCACTATTTAATGGAATAGTCAAAAATATTAACCAATCAACACAAGGAGATTATAATATAGAAGTATTAGACCGAGATGGTCATATCTCAAATCAAAGTATTCCTCGTGGATTAAATCTCATTATATCTGAAGGTAATGATTTAACTTTCAATCAAGCTATGACAAGTGATCCGAATATAGGTGGTTTTGGACAAAGTGAAACTGAGATAGTCTTACAAAGTCCTGAAAGGATTAAAAGTATGATAGTTTTTTTCTTTGCCGTGACACTTGCACAAATTTTATTTGTTTTAAAGAAAAAACAATGGGAAAAAGTGCAAGCTGCAGATATAAATTTTTAACAGTTTATATTGTACAAACTAACAAGCAAGATAAAAACTTATTTTCTATTATATAAATTTATATAGCTACTAATTTCCTCACAGAATCTATAATCTGATGAGGATGTATTACGGTTGCTTTTTCAAGAGTACCATTATAAGGAGTAGGTATATCTTGAGAAGATAAGCGTACAACAGGAGCATCTAAATAATCAAATAAACTATCATTTACTTGAGCAATGATTTCAGCTGCAATTCCACCCGTTTTCATACATTCTTCTACTATCATTAGCTTATGTGTTTTTATTAAAGACTTCCGAATAGATGCAATATCTATAGGTTTAAGAGAAATTAAATCTATTACTTCTGGATCATAATCTTCTTGTATCAATGTATCTACAGCTTCCATGACATGATGACGCATACGAGAATAGGTTACTATTGTTACTTGGTTTCCAGTTCTAACTATTTCAGCTTTATCTAAAGGTAGAAAATATTCTAATTTTGGTAATTCTTCTTTTAGATTATATAATAAAACATGTTCAAATAAAATTACAGGATTATCATCACGTATCGCTGATTTAAGTAAACCTTTAGCATTGTAAGGAGTTGAACAAGCTATTATTTTTAAGCCTGGTATAGCTTGAAAATAAGCTTCTAGCCTTTGCGAATGTTCAGCGCCTAATTGTTTACCAACACCTCCTGGTCCTCGAATTACTATTGGTATTTTAAAATTACCACCGGATGTATATCTAAGCATGCCCGCATTATTAGAGATTTGATTGAATGCTAGCAACAAAAAACTCATATTCATGCCTTCTACAATAGGCCGTAGACCTGTAATAGCTGCTCCTACTGCCATACCCATAAAACTATTTTCTGCAATAGGAGTATCTAAAACTCTTAAATCTCCATATTTTGCATGCAAATCTTTTGTGACTTTATATGAACCACCATAATGACCTACATCTTCTCCTAATACAAAAACAGAGGCATCTTTTTCCATTTCTTCATTTGTTGCTTCTCTTAAAGCATCAAACATAAAAACTTTACTCATAGTATCTTATTGTAATAAATTAAAATTTTATGAAAATATATAGACAAATATTGATTATCTTAGCACTATTAATCTTTCATACTTACGTGTCCTCTACAAATAAGTAACGTTTTAGATCTTTAATCTGAGGTTCTGGACTAGATAAAGCAAAACTTACGGCTTGATCAATATCTGCTTTTACATCTGTATGAATTTTATTTAATAAATTGTCGTCTATAATTGAATTAACAGAAAGGCAGTTCTTAAAATATTTGATTGGATCACGAGCTAACCATGCATCTTTTTCTTGACTTGATCTTAGTTCATCAGGGTCTGCTAAAGAATGACCTCGAAATCTATATGTCAAAGCTTCAATCAAAGTGGGACCTTCTCCAGATCTTGCTCTCTTAATAGCCTGTTGAGTAACATTTCTAATAGCCAGAACATCCATGCCATCTACTTCTATTCCAGGTAAACCAAAAGCTTTTGCTTTTTTATGTATTTCAGGTGATGAGCTAGATCTATGATGAGCCATTCCAATTGCCCATTGATTATTTTCTACAACAAATATAATTGGTAACTTCCATAAGACAGACATATTTAAACATTCGAAGAATTGTCCATTATTAGTTGTGCCATCACCAAAAAAGCAAGCTGTAACACGTAATTCATTGGTATCTTGTAAAACATGACTGCGGTAAATACTTTGAAAAGCTGCTCCAGTAGCTATAGGAATTCCTTCTCCAATAAAAGCAAAACCGCCTAAAAAATTATGCTTTGCTGAAAAAATATGCATTGATCCACCCCGGCCATGACTACATCCTGTTTCTTTACCAAACAATTCAGCCATAATTAAATTGGCCGGTACACCTTTACTTAGTGCATGTACATGATCACGATAGGTACTACATACATAATCTGTATTATTTAAACATTTAATCACGCCTGTCGATACAGCTTCTTGACCATTATATAAATGAACAAAACCAAACATTTTACCACGATAATACATTTGTGCACACATATTTTCAAAACTACGTCCTAGAAGCATATCTTTGTACAGCATCAACAAAGTATCTGAACTAGTATTATTAATACTTGATAAAGTTGATGGTAAAACTATTTTATCATTCATAATTATTTAATTATCTCCTAAAATTATATTTTTTATACTGTGTAAAAAATATAGATAAATTAATTTACAATAAGAAACTATATAAAAAAACATAATATTAATAACTATTTGCTTGATTTTATAACTAAACTATAATAGAGAAAAAATATATAATATATAGAATTAATTAATGAATAAATAATAATACATTTAATAATAAAGTTATAATAATTTGTGCATTTCAAATATTAAATTATAATTTATCATACATATGACGACTATCTCTAACGATATCTTTCTACCTATCAAAGATGAACTACTAGTACTTGATACAAACTTAAAAAAAATGATAGGCGCTAAAAATCCCATACTTTATGCTGCAGCCAATCATCTATTTTATGCTGGAGGCAAGAGAATACGCCCTGCTATTGTTTTATTAATAGCACAAGCAACAACAAAATCTGCAAAAATACATCCTGAACATCACAGACTAGCAGAAATTACAGAAATTATACACACTGCGAGTTTAGTTCATGATGATATTGTTGATGAATGTGAAACACGAAGAGGAGTAAATACTGTACATTACAAATTTAGTACTAAAGTAGCTGTACTAGCAGGTGATTTTCTATTTGCACAATCATCGTGGTATCTAGCAAATTTAAATAATCTACAAGTTGTTAAAACTATTTCTAAAGTAATTACAGATTTTGCTGAAGGTGAAGTCAGACAAGGTTTAAGTACTTTTGATACAAATATTTCAATAGACGATTATACAGAAAAATCTTTTTACAAAACAGCATCATTAATAGCTGCAAGCTGCAAGGGTGCTTCTATATTAAGTTACACTAAAGACAACATGCAAAAGAACTTTTATCTTTATGGCTATCATTTAGGCCTAGCATTTCAAATTATTGACGATATTTTGGACATTATAGGATCTCAAAAGTCTTTAGGCAAACCTGCAGGATCAGACTTAAAAAATGGTAATTTAACATCTCCTCTTTTTTTTGCTTTAGAAGAAAAACCTGAACTTTATAAGTTTATTAATAGAGAATTTCAAAACAAAGGAGATACAGAAAAAGCAATAGCAATAATTAAAATTACCAAAGGTATAGAAAAAGCAAGAGATTTAGCATTAGAACATGTTCAAGCCGCATTACAAGCTTTAGAAAATAATCAAAAATCTATATCGATTAATACACTAAAATTAATAAGTTGTTATATAATAAATAGATTGAATTGACAATTATTAATTGGATGTACTATAAGAATATAAGGAGCAAAGAAGTAAATTTAATATTTTGCATCCTTGAAATAATTTATTTTGTTATGTTAATTAGCTGTTCAAATGCATTATTATCAACAACTGCTATTTGTCCTAACATTTTACGATTTAAACCGATATGACTCTTTTTAAGACCACAAATAAATTGACTGTATGTAAGACCAAAAGGTATTAATGCTGCATTAATACGTACAATCCATAAACGTCTATAATCTCGCTTTTTATTTTTTCTACCTACATAAGAATATCTTAAAGACTTTAAAACTTGCTGCTTTGCTGTACGAAATAAAGATGAATGAGAACCTCTAAACCCTTTAGCTAATTTTAAAATATTTTTTCTTCTTTTGCGGGCAACATTGCCTCTTTTAACACGAATCATAAATGATATATTAAATTGTAAATAATAGAAGGTAAATTATACGTACTAAGATTCTTAATTAAGAATCTTTATTGCATAGATTATTTAGATAAATATGGCAATTTTTGTGTAAAACTCGAAGCATCTTTTTTATTAATACAAGTTACTTGCTTTAGCTTCTGTTTACGATTAGATGTTTTTTTTTGCAACAAATGACTACGTGAAGCTTTATGTCTTAAGAACTTACCTGAAGATGTAACTTTTATTCTTTTTTTAATAGATTTAGATGTTTTTAATTTTTTCATATTATATTATTATTGATAATTACAATTATATCATTTAATTAATGTAGCTGATATATAGATACAGATGATTTTATAAAAGTAAGATGAAAAAATCATTTAAATATATTTAAAGTTGCTTTAGATGTAAAATAATGAATTTCTTATAAGACTAATAACCTAAACTCTAATTAAATTTAAGAAAGCTTTTTTTGAAAACTGCCAATTGTATTTAATAAAAGCATCACCATAATTTTTATTAAATTTGAATTTAATTCTTGAAATATTTGCATATTTAAATTAAAAGCAGTATTAGCTTCAGCAATAATTTGACTGATTTGAGTCTCATCTATAGGCAAATTATCTAATGCATCACGATATTTTATTTTAAAAACTTTATCATCTTTTATACTAAGAAAGTTATAAAATGAGACTCCGTTTGTGCCATTTAGCTGCATTGCATTTTGAGCTATTTTTTTCAAAATTTGTCCACCAGACAAATCTCCCATATAACGAGTATATGCATGAGCTATTAGTAATTCTGGTTGATTTTTTCCAATTTCATGAATTCTATTAATATAATTTTGTGTTGCTAATGAAGGTTCAATATATTGAGACCAATTAGAACCATAATAATATTGTAAGTCTTCACATAGACTATCTTTACGATTTAATTCTACAAAATAAATGGGATTGATAGCCGTATGATTTTTATTCTTTTCTATCTCTTCTTCAAGAACACTATATACAAAAAATAAGTTGGCTACCAATTTACGATAAGTTTTTTTATCGACTACTCCTCCCAAAAAAGATTTTACAAAGCTTACATTTTCAGCCATACTATGAGATTTTGTAGTTCCCTCACGTAATTGCTGAGCTAAATTAGTAGACATATATAATTCCTTTATAAATTGTTTATTGATATGGAAAAAATTTCTAATCTTATATTTAATTGTATTTATAACAATAAAACTTTATAGCTTAAAATTATATTACAATTCTTAAAGACTTCAATCATCAAAATTATACAGAACTAAAATATTCTCTAGATTTCTCTGGACTACTAATTATAGTTGCATTACCTGGCTGCCAATTTGCAGGACAAACTTCATCTGGATTAACTTGTACATATTGAATAGCCTGTAAAGTTCTTAAAGTTTCATCAACACTTCTACCAACATCTAAATTATTAACTAGTGAATGCTGTATTATTCCCTCCTTATCTATAATAAATAAACCCCTTAAAGATGTTCCTTGTTCTGTTAAAATATTATACGATAAGCTTATTTGCTTAGTTAAATCAGAGACTAGTGGATATTTCAAATCCCCAAGACCACCAGAATCTCGGTTTGTTTGTAACCATGCTAAATGAGAATATTGACTATCAACTGATATACCTAAGATTTCTGTATTTAAAGCTTTTAACTGTGAATATACATCACTAAAAGCTGTAATTTCTGTAGGACAGACAAAAGTAAAATCTAGTGGATAAAACAATAAGATTACATATTTACCAATGTAATCGGACAACTGTATGTGTTTAAATTCTTGATCATATACTGCAATAGCAGAAAAATCAGGAGCTTCTTGACCCACTCTAATGCCATTACTATCGTTTAACATTGTATTTCTTATAAAAATTAAAACTTATTTATAGTGATAATATAAGATAATATAACATATTTTTTTATATAAAATCTAAGTATTAATAGCGGGGAATGGATTTGAACCATTGGCCTTCGGGTTATGAGCCCGACGAGCTACCTGACTGCTCTACCCCGCGTCTAATATACAATCATAAAAGATTATTCAATTTAAATCAAATAAATTATCACTAATTCTGAAAGAAAGCATATAGTCGATATGAAGAGACTATATTTAATTCTGTTTATAAATGGCATTACTTCATACAATCCAATTAAGCGATCTTGTGTTATACTTTCAATATTTTTAATCCAAATTTGGCCATCATACCAACCTGATTCTTCATAAAATATTGTTGAACTAACCAATCTCTTAACTATATAAGACCAGCCTAAATATAATCGTGTAAATATAATTATAAATATAAAATTTATTGTACAAATGTCATATTTACATATCTGTAGGATATTATTTTTGTTAAGGCATATAATATAGATGAATGGATAAAGTCCAAAAAATAGACATAAAAATATTATGAAAAGTGTATTAAAATATTTAGTAATTGATGATAAAGACCAAGAAAAAAAACAAGATTTTTTTAATGAAGTAAATTCATTTAAAGGTTGTTGATCAAATGGCACAGGACATATATCTTTAGAAATAAACATATACAAAAACTAATGGTTGATTTATATTTTTACTTATTAAGAATTAAAGTTGTATAAATATTAGACAACCGTATGTATAAGAAGCCATGTAGTTAAAATTAAGAAACATAATACATTAAAAGCTATTAAACCCTGTAATGTTTTTTGTGTACTACGTGTAGCATTTAAAAGATTACCTTGATTACTAAAGCTACCAATATTAGTAGATTTTGGACTACTTATAAGTACTAAAAAAATAATAGTTAGACTTATTAAATACCATATTAATTTCATTATTTTATTATTATGTTATCATATATTTAATATAGTAAAAGATATGATAAACTAGTTCATCATAACTCTACTGGATTTATTTTATTTATAGCAAATTAGATATTTCTATTCACCTTGAATTTTCAATAATACAAATCCTAAAATTAGTCCTAACAATATTAAAGTTGAACTAATTATACTTGTTTGGATTATTTCATGTACCATTATCGACTCCATTATATTAAATAATTAATTTATATTTTACAACACTTATTATAATTCATTTCTAAAAACCATTTCTTCCCCATACAACTAATGCAATAGAAAATGTAATTAAAGCTAATAAAGAACCCCATCCTAAGCTCACAATATCCATAATTTATTCCTTAGTAACTAAAAATTATTATTTATATAATACATCTAATTAATAGATTATATACAAATAATTCTGATCTATAATCTCAAATATATAATTACATATATTAAGAAATGCAAACTTTTAAGACTTAATCACAAAGCAAATGAAAGTTAGAGTTAGTATTATTTTAATTATAGTTGCTAACAAGAAATAAATATTGCTATTATCCAAAAGAAAATGCAAACTACCATAAATACATCAACGGAAATCATCAAAGAAACTCTTCTAACTCCCAGATTTTATACAACAAATTTTGACGAAATGGCCCAATTAGATATTTCTTCAAACTTACAAGAATTTGAAGCTTTACTTAAAGAATTTAGAGCAGATTATAATCGTCAACACTTTATTCGAGATGAAGAATTTGAACAGTCTTGGGATAGTTTAGATGATCAAACTAAAGCTTTATTTATTGAATTTTTAGAAAGATCATGCACAGCAGAATTTTCTGGCTTTTTATTATATAAGGAGCTATCTAGAAGATTACAAACAAGTAGTCCTACTGTAGCTGAATGCTTCTTATTAATGTCTCGAGATGAAGCAAGGCATGCAGGATTCTTAAATAAAGCTATTGGAGATTTTAATTTATCATTAGATCTTGGCTTTCTTACTAAAAGTAGAAAATATACTTTTTTTGCTCCTAAGTTTATATTTTATGCAACATATTTATCAGAAAAAATTGGATATTGGAGATATATTACTATCTATAGACATTTAGAAAAGCATCCTGAACATCGCATTTATCCTATATTTAAATTTTTTGAAAACTGGTGTCAAGATGAAAATCGTCATGGCGATTTCTTTGCTGCTCTACTTAAATCTCAACCTCAATTTTTAGATACTTTACAATCAAGACTATGGTGCAGATTTTTTCTTTTAAGTGTATTTGCTACTATGTACCTAAATGATTTTCAGAGATCTAATTTTTACAGAGCTATTGGATTAGATGCTAGACAATATGATATGCAAGTAATACGCAAAACAAATGAAAGTGTATCACGTATTTTCCCTGTTGCTCTAAATATAGATAAGCCAGAATTTTTCCAATATTTAGATGAATGTGCTACTTATAATAGAGCGTTAATAGAAATTGATACGTTACAATCAAATAAACTAATTAAGAACTTAAACAAATTTCCAATATACATGAAACTGACTAAAAAATTAATCCAGCTTTTCTTTATAACTCCTATTAAATCTACACAAGTTGCATTAACTATTCGATAAAATATCGTGCAACTTATATGTTCATATACTCGCTAATTACAACTAGTTTGCTTTAATATTGATTTTTATGAAGCTTTATTTCTTTTTTAATTAAGAATGATAATATATTATTAGTAATACAAAACAAATAAAGACAAAAAAGTAAAATTATATGACAAATACTATAAATTTTAAAATGCCCTCACCTACTTTTGGTGGTAGCACGGGAGGTTGGTTAAGATCAGCTGAAATTGAAGAAAAATATGCCATTACATGGACAAGTAAATCTGAACAAATATTTGAAATGCCTACTGGTGGAGCAGCCATTATGCGTGAAGGAGATAATTTACTATATTTAGCAAAAAAAGAGCAATGCTTAGCTTTAAGCGCACAATTAAGAAAGAGTTTCAAAATCAGGGATTTTAAAATTTACAGAATTTTTCCCAATGGAGAAGTTCAATACTTACATCCTAAAGATGGAGTTTTTCCAGAAAAGGTTAACCCTGGGCGTGAAGGTGTTGGAAATATTAGTCATTCTATCGGAAAAAATGAAAATCCAGTAAATACAAAATTTACTGGTCGAGGAACATATGAATAATTTACTGATCTGATCTATAATTAGACTAAAAACTATAAATTTTTTATTGTATTTATAGCATTTAGTCTGATAAGATATTATTTATACATTATGGAGAGGTGGTAGAGTTGGTTGATTGCGTCTGATTTGAAATCAGATGAACCGCAAGGTTCCGTGGGTTCGAATCCCACCCTCTCCGTTACATTAATATCATCAATTTACTATTTTTTGAATAAAATCTATTGCTTGCTCTAAATTAGATATTTTCTCTGCATCTTGATCAGGTATATCTATCTTAAATTCTTCTTCAATAGCCATTACTAATTCAACTGTATCTAATGAGTCAGCTCCTAATTCAGTTGCAAAATTTGCTTCTAAAGTTACTTTTTCCAACTCAACTCCTAGTTGAGTAGCAATTATAGTTTTCACTTTGTCAGTTATTTCTTGTTTTGTCAATAACATAATGTAATCCTAATAATTAAAAATTTGACTTGAAGGCCTGTATCTATAGAAAAAACCAATATAGTAATGTAATTATACTTAATCAACTTGGATAAATACATAATTTTCTATCTGGTTCTTTACCAAAACTTCTAGATCTTAAATTGTAAGAGTCTATAAATTGATATTGGATTTTTCGTACACTTGCTAATCTTGATAAAAGTTCCACTGACTGTTTTTTACCTATTACAACTTTTTCGATAGCTATACGTACTTCTGCTAATGCCTCAACTTGAGAACTTTCTCTATCTTCAGATAATTGATATGAGTCAACATGTAACATCTGCCTTACATTCAAAATCTGCTTTAAGGCTCTTGTAATATAAGTCTCTGTGCCATTATAAACAGTATAAATTATAATATGTCTTGACTTTGCTATCTGTCTCAATTTTGTATTTTGCTTCACATTTGACCTTAGAGCTAAAATTACATCTGATCTTAGAATATCTTTTGTAACTCCGATTGGCAATTGTAAGGAGGCAATAATGGATTCTATACGCTGAGAATTAATATAATAAGGGTATAATAGAATACAGTTCGTGATATCTTTAGATCTAAGATGATTATTGTTTATTTGAGTAAGATAAGACTTATACTTATTTTTATTTGGTAACCAATTAGCTTTATCAAAATAGGAATTAATTTTTAAGTCTTGGTTCTTCATTATACTAGATTGCTTAAAAAAAATACCTGATTTTAAATTTTTAGATTTTACACTACTATTTAACTGGTATGAAAAATTTGAAGAAATAGACTGTTCACAAACTATATCTATAGAACCATTTGATTTAAATATACGGCGTTGCATTAATAATGGATGGCCTTGCAAAATTTGATCAATTGCTTGATCTACTTCTTCATGTACAATCCAATTATTTCTTTGATGAATCTCGATAGCCACTTGAAAAGCAGGTGCAGCTTTTCTTTCTAAAATACTTTTTTGTGAACCTCGGCGCTTTGCTTCGTCGTCTCCTAATGTAACATATTGTATACCTCCAACAAGGTCTGAAAGAATTGGATTTTTAATTAAGCTATCTAGATAGTTACCATGAGCTGTTCCAACTAGTTGCACTCCTCTTTCTGCTATTGTACGAGCAGCTAAAGCTTCTAGCTCTGTTCCAATTTCATCAATAATAATAACTTGAGGCATATGATTTTCTACAGCTTCTATCATTACTTGATGTTGCAGCTCAGGGCGTGCTACTTGCATCCTACGTGCACGACCAATGGCAGGATGTGGTATATCACCATCACCTGCTATCTCATTAGAAGTATCTATTATAACAACTCTTTTTTCCATTTCATTTGCTAAAACTCTAGCAATTTCTCTAATTGCTGTAGTTTTTCCTACGCCTGGTTTACCCAGTAAAAGCAATGATTGACTTTTTTCTAAAAGATCACGAATAATACTTATTGTTCCAAAAATTGCTCTACCAACTCTACATGTCAAACCTACAATATTACCTTTTCTATTTCTAATAGAACTGATTCTATGCAAAGTACGCTCTATTCCAGACCTATTATCTTCACCGAAATTACCTATCTTTTTAATACAAAAATTTAAATCTTGCCACGATATAGTCCTAGAAGATAAATATTCTGGTCCTTCTGGAAAGCGCGCTTCAGGTCTTCTGCCTAAATCCATAACTACTTCTATTAAGGTTTTACGTCTAGAATGCTCTTCTAAGGGTTTACGTACAAAATCTGGCAAAATTTGTAATAATTTATCTAAATCATCTGCTATTAACATTTTTTTTATTGTTTAGTTTGCGTATAAAAAATCGATAATTCAGCTATGATTCTAAATTGACCTTGCTCTAAAAATTCTATCATTAATTTGCTAATATGCTCTTTATTTTAAATATCCATTATTTATAGTACACTAAATTAACTTATATCATGTATATAACAATTAATTTTGACACATAATATACATTTAATAAATAATTAATAATGAGTATGAAGACAGGTAAAAATGTAAAAATAAAAGAAATGAATACTAAAAATAATGTAAAAATTGTACATTATATAGATAAAGTTGGAACTATAGTTGGAAAAAGAATAATTTCCTGTAATGATACAGTACCAATTATAGAATTTGAAGATTGCACTAGGATATGGATATTTTCAAAAGAATTAGAAGTCATATCCTCAGAAAAATATACGGAATTATAGACAGCAAATAGTTAAAGGATTATATATTAATATGAAATTTCAAATAGATGATTTAAAACAACTTTTACATTCTATTCAAAATAAACAAATACAAGAAATAAATGTAAAAAGTCAAGAGTTTGAACTAACTATTAATAAATCAGACATAATAAATAAACAAATAATTGGACTAAGAAATAAAAATACTAATGTGAAAAAAAGTACAAATAATCAAATTAGTTCTATTCCAGACAATGAGCTTTCTAATCGTAAATTAGAAATATATTCAACAATAGTATCTCCTATGGTAGGTACATTTTATAGATCACCTGCTCCAGGCGAACCATCATTTATAGATTTATACGATATTGTACAACAAAAACAAACAGTATGTATAATTGAAGCGATGAAACTAATGAATGAGATCGAAGCAGAAGTAAATGGCGAAATAGTTGAAATACTAGTTCAAGATGGTGATATTGTTGATTGTGGACAAGCATTAATGAAAGTTAAGCCTATTCTAGAATAAATGAGATTTTAACTATTGTTAACAGATATTAAATAAAATATAGAATATATTTATAATGTAAGAATGTAATAAAAACTCACATATCCAAAAAATATCCATTTATAAAAGAGATACTTGTTGAGCGTTTTATTCCTTATCTCATTTTATTTAAAATAGAGAGGAGCAACTCGATGGCAATTAGCTCACAAGAGCAAGAGACAAAAAAAGTTAAAGTAACTGTAGATAAAAATGTAGTAAGTACATCTTTTGAAAAATGGGCAAAACCAGGCCATTTTTCACGAGTACTTGCAAAAGGTCCTAAAACAACAACATGGATCTGGAATTTACATGCAGATGCTCACGACTTTGACAGTCATACAAGTTCATTAGAAGAAGTTTCAAGAAAAATTTTTAGCGCACATTTCGGCCAGCTAGCTATTATATTTTTATGGCTTAGTGGTATGTATTTTCATGGTGCTCGTTTTTCTAACTATGTTTCATGGTTAAGTAATCCAACTATAATTAAACCTAGTGCGCAAATTGTATGGCCCATAGTAGGACAAGAAATTCTAAATGGCGACGTTGGAGGAGGTTTCCAAGGTGTTCAAATCACATCTGGTTTTTTTCAGCTATGGAGAGCTTCCGGTATTACTACAGAAGTTGAACTATATGCTACAGCAATAGGCGGCTTATTTATGTCAGCATTAATGGTTTTTGCTGGTTGGTTCCATTATCATAAAGCAGCACCTAAACTCGAATGGTTTCAAAATGTTGAATCAATGATGAATCACCACTTAGCTGGCCTCCTAGGACTAGGATGTTTAAGCTGGGCTGGTCATCAAATTCATATTGCTTTACCTATTAATAAATTACTAGATGCAGGTATTGCTCCTCAAGAGCTACCTTTACCTCATGAGTTTTTAGTCAATAGAGAATTAATGTCACAATTATATCCTAGTTTTAATAAAGGAATTATACCGTTCTTTACTTTAAACTGGAATGAATATTCTGATTTTTTAACTTTCAAAGGTGGTCTGAATCCAGTAACAGGTGGTTTATGGTTAAGTGATATAGCTCATCACCATTTAGCACTAGCTGTACTATTTTTAGTAGCTGGTCATATGTACCGTACTAATTGGGGTATTGGACATAGCATGAAAGAAATATTAGAAGCACATAAAGGTCCATTTACTGGTGAAGGACATAAAGGTTTATACGAGATTTTAACAACTTCTTGGCATGCTCAATTAGCTATAAACTTAGCAATGATGGGATCATTAAGTATTATTGTAGCTCACCATATGTATGCGATGCCTCCATATCCCTATATTGCAACAGATTATCCAACACAATTATCTTTATTTACTCACCATATGTGGATAGGTGGTTTTTGTATTGTTGGTGCTGGTGCACATGCATCGATATTTATGGTTAGAGACTATAATCCTGCACAAAACTATAATAATGTTCTTGATAGGATAATAAGACATAGAGACGCTATAATATCTCATCTGAATTGGGTATGTATATTTTTAGGTTTCCATTCATTTGGACTATATGTACACAATGATACAATGAGAGCATTAGGAAGATCACAAGACATGTTTTCCGACACAGCTATTCAATTACAACCAATATTTGCTCAATGGGTTCAAAATATACATACACTTGCACCCAGTAATACTAGCCCAAACTCATTAGCTACTGCTAGCTATGCATTTGGTGGAGAAGTTATAACAATTGGTAATAAGATAGCAATGATGCCTATTTCATTAGGTACAGCTGATTTTATGGTTCATCATATACATGCATTTACAATACATGTTACTGTTTTAATACTAGTAAAAGGGTTCTTGTTTTCAAGAAATTCAAGATTAATTCCTGATAAATCAAATCTAGGTTTTCGTTTTCCTTGTGATGGTCCTGGTCGTGGCGGCACATGCCAAGTCTCTGGATGGGATCATGTATTTCTTGGACTATTCTGGATGTATAATTCATTATCAATTGCTATATTTCATTTTAGCTGGAAAATGCAGTCTGATGTATGGGGTAGTGTAACAACATCAGGTAAAGTATCACATATAACAGGAGGAAATTTTGCACAAAGTGCTATTACCATTAATGGATGGCTGAGAGATTTTCTTTGGGCACAAGCTTCACAAGTAATTCAATCATACGGATCAGCGCTATCTGCATATGGCTTAATATTCTTAGGAGCACATTTCATATGGGCATTTAGCTTAATGTTTTTATTTAGTGGTCGTGGTTATTGGCAAGAACTTATAGAATCAATTGTATGGGCACATAATAAAGTAAAAGTAGCTCCATCTATTCAACCAAGAGCTTTAAGCATTACACAAGGTCGAGCTGTTGGTGTAGCACATTACTTATTAGGTGGAATAGGTACAACATGGGCTTTTTTCTTAGCAAGAATAATATCAGTAGGATAAAAAAGGAATTAAAACAATACAATGGGAACAAAATTTCCGAAGTTTAGCCAAGCATTGGCTCAAGATCCTACTACAAGAAGGATTTGGTACGGAATAGCTACTGCACATGATTTTGAAAGTCATGATGGAATGACAGAAGAAAATCTATATCAAAAGATTTTCGCATCTCATTTCGGGCATATTGCTATTATATTTTTATGGACATCAGGTAATTTATTTCATATTGCCTGGCAAGGTAATTTCGAGCAATGGGTTTTAAATCCATTAAAAACTAAACCGATCGCACATGCTATATGGGATCCTCATTTTGGACAGCCAGCTATTAAAGCATTCACAAAAGGTGGAGCATCTTATCCCGTGAATCTTTGTTTTTCAGGTGTATACCATTGGTGGTATACAATTGGCATGCGAACTAATAATGATTTATACAGTGGTGCACTTCTATTATTAATATTGTCTGCATTAATGCTATTTGCTGGTTGGCTGCACTTGCAGCCCAAATTTAAACCTGGGCTATCTTGGTTTAAGAATAATGAATCAAGACTAAATCATCATTTATCAGGTTTATTTGGATTTAGTTCATTAGCTTGGACAGGACATTTAGTTCATGTCGCAATCCCAGAATCTCGCGGACAACATATAGGCTGGGATAATTTTACTACAACTTTACCACATCCACTAGGCTTACAACCTTTCTTTACTGGTAAATGGTACGAATACGCTGCAAATCCAGATAGTTTAAATCACAGCTTTGGTACAACAGAAGGTGCTGGTACAGCTATATTAACTTTCTTGGGAGGATTTCATCCACAAAGTCAATCATTATGGCTAACAGATATGGCGCATCATCATTTAGCTATTGCGATTTTATTTATTATTGCAGGTCACATGTACAAAACTAACTGGGGCATTGGACACAATTTAAAAGATATATTAGATGCACATAAACCACCTAGTGGTCGCTTAGGGCTAGGCCATCAAGGACTATATGAAACTATTACTAACTCATTACATATACAACTAGGTTTGGCACTTGCATCTTTAGGAGTTATAACATCTTTAGTTGCACAGCACATGTATGCTATGCCACCTTATGCTTTTATGGCAAAGGATTTTACAACACAAGCTGCTTTATATACACATCATCAATACATTGCTGGATTCTTAATGGTAGGTGCTTTTGCGCATGGAGCAATATTCTTTGTTAGAGATTATGATCCAGAGCAAAATAAAGATAATGTATTAGCAAGAATGCTAGAACACAAAGAGGCTATTATATCTCACTTAAGCTGGGTATCTCTTTTCCTAGGATTTCATACTCTTGGACTATATATTCACAATGACACAATGATAGCTTTTGGTACACCAGAAAAGCAAATTTTAATAGAGCCTGTATTTGCACAATGGATACAAGCAAGTTCTGGAAAAGGCTTATATGGATTTGATGTTTTACTATCTTCTACATCTAATATTGCAACACAAGCAGGTAATAGCGTATGGCTACCAGGTTGGCTAGAAGCTATAAATAATAGTAAAAATTCTTTATTTTTAACTATTGGACCTGGAGATTTTTTAGTACACCATGCTATTGCTTTAGGATTACATACAACAACACTTATACTAGTGAAAGGTGCTTTAGACGCTAGGGGCTCAAAATTAATGCCTGACAAGAAAGATTTTGGTTACAGCTTTCCTTGCGATGGACCTGGTCGTGGTGGTACATGCGATATCTCTGCATGGGATGCTTTCTATCTTTCTGTATTTTGGATGCTAAATACAATTGGTTGGGTTACATTCTATTGGCATTGGAAACATGTTACTATTTGGCAAGGTAATATTAGTCAATTTAATGAATCCTCAACATATTTAATGGGATGGCTAAGAGATTACTTATGGCTTAACTCTTCTCCTCTAATTAATGGATACAATCCATATGGCATGAATAATTTATCTGTCTGGGCATGGATGTTTTTATTCGGTCATCTTGTATGGGCAACTGGATTTATGTTCTTAATCTCATGGAGAGGTTATTGGCAAGAACTTATAGAAACTCTTGCATGGGCACATGAAAGAACTCCTTTAGCTAATTTAATTAGGTGGAAAGACAAACCTGTAGCTTTATCAATCGTACAAGCAAGATTAGTTGGTCTAGCACATTTTTCTGTAGGCTATATTTTAACATATGCAGCATTTGTGATAGCATCTACTTCAGGTAAATTTGGTTAAAATATTACATATAACATTATATATTAATTAAGCCGTCTATAATCTAACATTTATAGATGGCTTAATTATTGCAATAACAATAAAAATTGTATAATATACAAATATAATTTAAACGCAATAAATATACTATATGGCTAAAAAAAGCATGATTCAAAGAGAGAAAAAAAGACAAGCACTTGTAAAAAAATATCAAACAGAAAGAAAAAATATCAAAAATTCTATAAAACTATCTTCTAATTTTATAGAAAAAATAGAATTACAAAAAAAACTACAAAAATTGCCTAGAAATAGTGCAAAGTGTAGATTACGCAATAGATGCTGGATGACAGGTAGAAGTAGAGGTGTATATAGTGATTTTGGACTATCAAGACATGTATTCAGAGAAATGTCTCATGAATGTTTATTGCCAGGTATAACAAAATCAAGCTGGTAAAATAATAAATAAATACTCTCAATAGGTATTACTTGAAGAGTATTTATAAATATAACAATACAGATGCTTAATGAGTTAAAGATAAGTTATAATCCAAACTGATTGCCTCTACGATATTGCAAATAAGCGGCAACTAATAAACCAGCTAATGTAACTGGTATCAAACCTAAAACTATACCCGATAAAAGAGGTTCTACCATATAAAAAATAAAATATCTATAAAATAATTCTAAAGTATGAAAATGATATAAGCTAATTCTATCTAAAACCAATTGCTGCTTGCCATACAAATGCTAAGAGTAAAAAAAATACTGGTATAACTGGCAAAATATCTACCAACGGCCTAAACATAGCATAAGCTTCTGGTAATTTTGCAATTATCATAGTTGTAATCATACTATAAAATCCTCCAAATAAATTGACACAAAGATAGTAAAAAAATATATACTTATAACAATGGTATATCAAATATCTAATATTTTCCTATTTTCTTCTTATTTTTTATGTTAACAAAAAAATAGGCACTTATATATTTTATTCATAGAACAAAACAATTAAAGTATATAAATAAAATACTATTGGTAAGTTTTATTTACAATTCTTTGTCTGTATATATATAAATCTTACAATAATCATTAAAATATAATGAAGAATATGAATTATTATATAAGTAAACTTTTCAACATTTCTTAAAAGGAGATAGATGATGATCATCGCAGTTCAATTACTAGTGTTCATTTTAATAATATTATCAACTTTATTAGTTGTAGGAATACCTGTCACTCTAGCATCGCCTGGGCAATGGGAACAATCTAAAAATTTAATTTATACTGGTGCAGGAATATGGGCAGGCTTAGTCATTATAACAGGTTTAGTTAATTCATTTATTATATAATAATAAGCTAATAAAAGTTTTACAGAATAGGTATAAATAAATACTATATCTCTATTTTGCTATATTCAAAAACTTGACAAACTACAGATTTTTTGAGAATATTAGCTCATGCGGGTATAACTCAGTGGTAGAGTGCAACCTTGCCAAGGTTGATGTCGCGCGTTCGAATCGCGTTACCCGCTTAAGCTATCAAGCTTCTGAAGAATCTGTATCAATTACAGATTCTTCAGAAGTTTGTTCATTGCTATTTTTATCAACTTCAGGAGAATTGTATGCTTTTTTTCCTATCTCCATTAAAGCTTTCTGCGCTTCATCTTGCAAAGATTTTATTAGATCATAATCTTCATCTTGAACAGCTTGCTTTAATTTAGTTAATATGGATTGGATATCCTCTTTTTCTTTTACACTAACCTTATCACCCAACTCATTTAATTGATTTTCTGTTTGATAACAAAAAGAGTCAGCTTGATTTTTTAAATCTATTTTTTCACGCTTTTGTTTATCAACTTCAGCATTATACTCTGCATCTTTTATCAATTTTTCAACTTCTTCTTTAGGCAAAGTTGAAGCTCCCGTAATAGTGATTGATTGTTCCTTACCAGTGCCTTTATCTTTGGCTTTGACAGATAAAATACCATTAGCATCTATATCGAAAGTTACTTCTATTTGAGGTACACCTCTTGGTGCTGGCATAATACCATCCAGTCTAAAAGTTCCTAGGCTTTTATTATCTTTTGTAAATTCTCGTTCTCCTTGTAGAATATGAATTTCTACATTCGGCTGATTATCTACAGCAGTTGAGAAAACTTCTGATTTTTTAGTAGGTACAGTTGTATTTCGTGCAATAATTTTTGTCATTACACCACCTAAAGTTTCTACCCCCAATGATAAAGGAGTAACATCTAACAATAGTATATCTTTAACTTCACCAGCTAAAACACCTGCTTGAACAGCTGCTCCAATAGCAACTACTTCATCTGGATTTACACTTTGATTAGGATCTTTACCAATAATTTTTTTCACTAGTTCTTGTATAGCAGGTATTCTTGTAGAACCACCAACTAAGACTATTTCATCTATACTACTTGATTCAAGCTGTGCATCTTTCAAAGCATTATTTACAGGTATTTGGCAACGGTCAATTAAATCTTTCGATAGATTTTCAAATTTTGCACGCGTTATAGTTTTTTCTAAATGCTTAGGACCTGTATCATTCGAAGTAATAAAAGGTAAATTTATATCGGTTTGTGATAAATTAGATAACTCCATTTTAGCTTTTTCTGCAGCTTCTGTTAATCTCTGTAAAGCCTGTCTATCTTGACTTAAATTAATACCTTCATCTTTTTTAAATTCATCAATTAGCCATAAAACTATCTTATTATCAAAATCATCTCCACCTAAGTGAGTATCACCTGATGTAGATAAAACCTCGAAAACACCGTCTCCTACTTCTAATACAGAAACATCAAATGTGCCGCCTCCTAAATCAAAAACCAAAATAGTTTCATTGTTTTTTTTATCTAAACCATATGACAATGAAGCTGCTGTTGGTTCATTAATTATTCTTAAGACATCTAGTCCAGCAATCTGACCAGCATCTTTTGTTGCTTGTCTCTGAGAATCATTAAAATATGCAGGGACTGTAATTACAGCTTGAGTTACAGTTTGTCCTAAATATGTACTAGCATCTTCTACTAATTTTCTCAAAACTTGTGCTGATACTTCTTCTGGAGAAAAATCTTTATTTAAAGCTGGACATTCTAATTTAATATTTAGATTAGAATCTGTTTTAATATTATAAGATGACTGTTTAGATTCGTTACTTACCTCTTCTTGCTTACGTCCAATAAACCTTTTAACAGAGTAGAACGTATTCTCTGGGTTCATTACAGCTTGTCTTTTAGCAATATGCCCAACTAGCTTATCTTTTTTCTTAGTATAAGCAACTACAGATGGGGTTGTTCTTAAACCTTCTTTATTCGGAATAACAGTAGGTTTTCCACCTTCCATTACAGCAACTACAGAGTTTGTAGTACCTAAATCAATACCAACAACTTTACTCATACTTTATACACCTTAAATATTATACTTATTCTATACTTGTATATATATTGCTACATATTATCAATACAAAAAAGTAGTAATTATACTACTTTTTATAAATTGAGCATAGTAGTATAAATAAAATTAAACAACAAATTTCAACAAAACTTGAAAATTATACAAATTTCAAAGATAATAAACATATATAAATTATGGCCTGTGTGTAAAAATCTCTTATAATCTGGAGATATAATTATCGTGTCAATCGGTTTATTAGGAAGAAAAGTTGGAATGACACAACTGTTCAGCAAAACAGGGAAAGCTATACCAGTTACTGTGTTACAGTTAGGTCCTTGCATGATTACACAAATCAAAAAAATATCATCTGATGGATACACCGCTATTCAAATAGGATATGCAGAATATAGTAAAAATTATTTAACGAAAGCTGAAATAGGACATTTAAACAAAGTTAACGCACCACATTTACGATATTTACGTGAATATAAAGTCAACTCTTTAGATTTAGACAACTTTAATTTAGGTCAAATTCTTACAGTAGATGAACTAAAAATTGGTAGCTTAATTAACGTATCTGGTTTTAGTATTGGGAAAGGTTTTACAGGATATCAAAAAAGGCACCATTTTAGTCGAGGACCTATGACACATGGTTCAAAAAATCATCGACAACCTGGTTCCATTGGCGCAGGAACAACACCAGGAAGAGTATTCCCTGGGAAAAAAATGGCTGGTCGAATGGGCAACAATAAAGTTACTATCAAAAATTTACAAATAATTGATATAAATTCAGAAAAACATATTGTCATAGTTAAAGGCGCTGTACCAGGTAAACCTGGTAGTATTATAAGTATTAAAACAAGATAAATAAATGGTTATTAAACATAAGATTACATATTCCGTATTCACAGAAGATAACAATAACAATTATTCTAAAGATATTGTATTAAAAATTAGTGAAAAAAATGGAATGTATATTATACATAGAGCGCTAATTAAACAACTGAATAATAAACGTCAGGGAACAACAAATACAAAAAATCGTAGCGATGTACGTGGAGGAGGAAAAAAACCATGGAAGCAAAAAGGAACTGGTAGAGCACGAGTTGGATCCATTAGATCTCCGTTGTGGAAAGGAGGAGGTGTTATTTTTGGTCCTAAAAACAGAAAATATAAAACTAAAATTAATAAAAAAGAACAACAACTCGCACTTAAAACTTTATTATTTAATAAATTTCAACAAACATGTGTAATTGATAAGATCGGAGAAAATATTCATACACCCAAAACTAAATCTATCATAGAAATTATTAATAATCTAAACATAAATTTAAATAAAAAAAATAAAATTTTACTTATAGTTGTTAATAAAAATTCCAATTTATATTTATCACTTCGCAATTTAGCAAATATAGAATTAATAGAAATAGATCAACTTAACATTTTTGCCTTGCTTAAAGCAGACAAAATTATTATTACCGTTAATGCCTTAGAAAAAATAAATGAAATATATAATGCCTGAAATAGATAAAAGAGCTTTATTAAAAATAATCAAATATCCTATTATTACTGATAAAACTACTAAATTACTTGAAGATAATCAATACAGCTTTGCAGTAGATCGTAAAGCTAATAAACTAAATATTAAACAAGCAATAGAATATATCTTTAATGTAAGTATTCAAAGTGTCAATACATGTAATACACCTCCTAATAAAAAAAGAGTTGGCAAATTTATTGGACAAAAAGCAAATTATAAAAAAGCTATAGTGACATTAAAAAATGAATATAGTATTAATTTATTTCCAGATAGTTAACTTGATATAGTTAAAATTATAATAACAACATGGCAATCCGTTTATATAAAGCATATACACCAGGAACGAGAAATAGAACTGTATCAACATTCAGTGAAATTTCAAAAGATAAACCAGAAAAATCATTATTAGTCAAAAATCATCGCAATAAAGGTCGTAATAATAGGGGTATTATTACATCTAGGCACAAAGGTGGAGGACATAAAAAAAGATATAGATTAATAGATTTTAAAAGGAATAAGCATAACATAAAAGGCAAAGTTGCTAGTATTGAATATGACCCCAATCGTAACGCAAGAATAGCTTTATTACATTATGAAGATGGTGAAAAAAGATACATTTTACATCCAAATACACTTTCATTAGGGACAATGGTTGTATCTGGCATATCCGCACCTATAGAAGTAGGAAATGCGTTACCTTTATCAGAAATACCTTTAGGTACAGCTGTACATAATATAGAGTTAATTGCTGGAAAAGGTGGTCAAATTGTTAGAGCTGCTGGTACATATGCACAAATAGTTGCAAAAGATGGTGATTTTACAACACTAAAATTACCATCAAGTGAAGTTAGAATTATACGTCAAGAATGCTATGCAACTGTTGGGCAAGTTGGTAATATAGATGCTAACAACATAACTATTGGTAAAGCAGGTAGGAATAGATGGTTAGGTAAAAAACCAACTGTTAGAGGTGTTGTTATGAATCCTGTTGATCATCCACATGGAGGTGGAGAAGGCCGTTCTCCCATCGGTAGACCCCACCCAGTAACACCATGGGGAAAACCAGCGCTAGGAGCCAAAACACGATCTATAAAAAAATATAGTAATCGTTATATATTAAGACGTAGAAAATAAATTATATATAAAGAAAATGTCAAGATCTCTATCTAAAGGCCCATACATAGAATCAAAATTGTTAAATAAAATAGAATTATTTAATACAAAAGGAATAAAAAAGACTATAAAAACATGGTCTAGATCATCTACAATTATACCTACTATGGTTGGACATACAATTGCTGTACATAACGGTAAACAGCATTTCCCTATTTTTGTATCTGACCAGATGGTTGGACATAAGCTAGGTGAATTTGTTCCAACTAGAAACTTTAGAAGTCATATTAAAGGCGATAGAAAAGCAAAAAGGTAAAACAAATGACAAATACAATTAGAAAAAAAATAGCTGTTGGCAAATATTTGCGTTTATCACCAATAAAAGTACGTAGAATATTAGACCAGATTAGAGGAAAATATTATCCAGAAGCAATAATAATACTAGAATTTATGCCATATAAACCATGTGGTGTAATAAAGAAAATTCTTGAGTCAGCTGTTAACAATATTGAAATTGATGATAATAAAAATAGAAATCAAATCAAAATAATAGAAGCTTTTGCTAATGAAGGACCAAATTTAAAAAGATTTCAACCTAGAGCGCAAGGAAGAGCTTTTCCTATACACAAACCAACTTGCCATATAACAATAAAATTACAATACTCATAGAAATTCATTTATTATAAATATGGGACAAAAAACACATCCGTTAGGATTCAGAATAAATATAACTCAAAAACATAGATCCTCTTGGTATGCAAAAATGCAAGAATACAGTAATCTCTTACAAGAAGATCATAAAATTCGATCATATATTTATAGCTGTTTGCAAAATGCAAGTATATCATCCATCTATATTCATAGAAAAGTAGATCAGATTGAAGTATATATTCACACTGCAAGGCCTGGAATAGTACTTGGAAAAATGGGAACAGGTATAGAAAACTTAAGAAAACAACTAGTCAGACAATTAAAGGATAATAAACAAATTCGTGTCAATGTTATTGAAATTAGAGAACCTGATCAAGAAGCTAGTTTAATAGCTGAATTTATAACACAACAGTTAGAAAAAAGAATAGCTTTTCGAAGAGCAGTTAGACAAGGTGTACAAAGATCACAAAAAGCCAATGTGAAAGGAATTAAAGTACAAATATCTGGTAGACTAAATGGAGCTGAAATAGCCCGTAGTGAATGGATAAGAGAAGGAAGAGTTCCTTTACAAACGTTGAGGGCAGATATTGATTACTCATATAAAACAGCTCAAACAATTTATGGAATTTTAGGAGTAAAAGTTTGGCTTTTTAAAGGAGAAAAATTACCTTCATCTACAATAAAGATAAATAAACAATGATAATAATATAATAAAATTATACACAATGCTAAGCCCAAAAAAAACTAAATTTAGAAAACAACATCGTGGACGAATGAAAGGAAATGCATCTAAAGGAAATACTATAGCATTTGGAGAATACGCTTTACAATCACTAGATCCTGCATGGCTAACATCTAGACAAATAGAAGCGACAAGAAGAACCATTACAAGATATGTAAAAAGAGGAGGAAAACTGTGGATAAGAGTTTTTCCAGACAAACCTGTTACAGCAAGACCAGCAGAAACAAGAATGGGTTCAGGAAAAGGCGCACCTGAATACTGGGTTGCTGTTATAAAACCTGGACATATTTTATTTGAAATAGCTGGTGTATCACAACAAGCGGCAAAACAAGCAATGAAACTAGCATCATATAAGCTTCCTGTAAAGACGAAATTTATTACAAAACTACATAATTAAGTATGGCTTTTACAAAAATAAATAATATACAAGATTTAACTAATGAAAAAATAGAAGCAAGAATTATTGAGATTAAAAAAGACTTATTACAATTAAAAATTAAAAAAGCAACCCGTCAATCATTTAAGCCACATATCTTTAAACATAAAAGACATGAACTTGCTCAATTATTAACTATAGAAACAAAAAGAATTAATAAATAAAAATGGCTATAAAAGAAACAATTGGAAAAGTTACCAGTGACAAAATGCATAAAACTATTACTGTTGCTGTAACTAAAAAGGTTGCACATAAAAAATATAATAAAATTATTATTAAAACAAATAAATATTATGCACATGATGAAAAAAACGAATGTAAACGAGGAGATGTTGTAAAAATACAAGAAACAAGACCTATCAGTAAAAATAAACGCTGGAAATTAATAAGTAAAATTACAAAGTAATATAAACAATGATACAAAACCAAAGTTATTTAACAGTTGCTGATAATAGTGGTGCAAAAAAAATAATGTGTATAAGAGTATTAGGGACAAGTAATCCTCATTATGCAAGTCTTGGAGATATTATTATTGGCGTTGTAAAAGATGCATTACCTAATATGCCAATAAAGAAGTCTGATATTATAAGAGCTGTTATTGTAAGAACTAAGAAGACTTTACGTAGAAAAGATGGTATGAGTGTAAGATTTGATGAGAATGCGGCTGTTATTATAAATCAGGACAATAATCCTAGAGGTACAAGAGTATTTGGGCCAATTGCACGAGAGTTACGTGATAAAAATTTTTCAAAAATTATATCTTTAGCAACTGAGGTTGTATAATGGGTCAACAAAAAATTAAAATGCATGTTAAAAAAGGTGATACTGTAAAAATTATTTCAGGAAAAGATAAAGGAAAAATTAGTGAAATAATAAAAGTTATACCAAAAAAAAGAAAAGTTATAGTAAAAAACATAAATATACAAATAAAGCACGTAAGGCCAAAACAAAAAGATGAAACAGGTCAAATAATTCAGATTGAAGCTCCTATACATAGCTCTAATGTTATGCTATATAGCATAAAACACGAAATTGCTAGTAGATTTAATTACATACGTAATGAACAAAATATTAAACAAAGAATATTAAAAAAAACTGGGGAAAAAATAAATAATAGTAATGATGCATAATTCACTAAAAGAACTTTACTACAATAAAATCTGTCCTGATTTGATGAAACAATTTAAGTACGGCAATACGCATGAAATACCTAAATTAGTAAAAATCACTCTTAATAGAGGGTTAGGAGAAGCTTCACAAAATGCAAAAGCTCTTGAAAAGAGTATTGAAGAATTTACATTAATAACTGGACAACAACCTATTGTTACACGTTCAAAAAAATCTATTGCTGGCTTTAAAATTCGTGAGAATATTGTTGTTGGTGTCACAGTAACTTTAAGAAGACATAAAATGTATAATTTCTTAAATAAATTAATCAATTTATCTTTACCAAGAATAAGAGACTTTCGTGGTATTAGTACGCAACATTTTGATGGACATGGAAATTACAATATAGGCGTCAAAGAGCAATTAATATTTCCAGAAATAGAATATGAACATGTAGATAAGATTAGAGGAATGGATATAGCAATAGTAACTACAGCAAAAAATGATAAAGAAAGTTTAGCTCTTTTACAAGCTTTTGGTATGCCTTTTTGCTAATAAATATTTTTTAAACAGAAGTGGAGAATTAAAATAGTGGTTAATGATACAATTGCAGATATGTTAACACGTATTCGTAATGCAAATTTAGCAAAACATCAAATTGTTCAAGTTCCTGCAACTAAAATGACACGAAATATTATAAAAGTTTTGCAAGAAGAAGGATTTGTATATGAGTTTGAAGAAATTGGAGATCAATTAAGAAATTATTTACTGATATCTTTAAAATACAAAGGAGATAAAAAGCTACCTGTAATTACAGCTCTAAAAAGAGTAAGTAAGCCTGGGTTAAGAGTATATGCTAACTATAAAGAATTGCCTAAAGTTTTAGGAGGAATTGGAATAGCGATTATTTCAACTTCAAAAGGTGTAATGACGGATCGTCAAGCCAGGTATAATGGATTGGGCGGAGAAGTTTTATGTTATATATGGTAAATTCAATTAATCAATTAAATAACTATGTCTAGAATTGGAAAACAAACTATTATTCTTCCTGATAAAGTAAGTGCAAATATTAATGAATCTATAATTTTCATAGAAGGTCCAAAAGGAAAATTATCATACAAATTATCTCAGCTAATAGATATTCAACAAAAAAATAATGAGATTACACTTAAAATCAATAAATCTAACAAAGCATCACAAGAACTACATGGATTATCCCGCACTATTATTAATAATATGGCACTAGGAGTATCTCAAGGGTTTTTCAAAAAATTAGAAATACATGGTGTTGGATACAGAGCACAAATAAATAACAAAGAGTTAATATTAAATGTAGGATATAGCCATCCAGTTAAAATTGATGCACCTAGCGGTATTTCTATCAAAGTAGAAAAAAATACAGATATTATTGTTTCAGGAATTAGTAAAGAAATAGTAGGTCAAGTGGCTGCAAAAATTCGATCTGTTAAGCCTCCTGAACCTTACAAAGGTAAAGGTATTAGATATATTAATGAAAAAATAAAAAGAAAAGTAGGTAAAGCAGGTAAATAATAAATTAAATGAGAAATAAAATAAAAGGTACATCTGTTCGTCCTCGTTTTTATGTTTTTAGATCAAACAAACATATTTATGCGCAAATAATTGATGATACAAATAATACTGTACTAACTAGCAGTTCAAGTATTTCTCAAGATATAAAAATCAATTATAAGGTTAAACTTTACGGAAACTGTAAAATCTCAAAAGTTATTGGCTGCGATATAGCAAATAAAGCTCTAAAAAAAGGAATTACTCAAGTAGTATTTGACCGTGGCCATAAATTATACCATGGAAGAATTAAAGCATTGGCTGAAGCTGCTAGAGAACAAGGAATAAAATTTTAACCTATTATATAATACGTATGAAAAAAAAGAACATCAAAAATAAAGATCAAGATACCAATTGGGAAGAACGTGTTGTACAAGTAAAAAGAGTTACGAAAGTAGTTAAAGGAGGCAAAAAGCTAAGTTTTAGAGCAATTTTAGTAGTAGGAAACGAAAAAGGACAAATTGGTGTCGGTGTAGGGAAAGCAAGTGATGTAATTGGAGCTGTAAAAAAAGGTGTTGCTGATGCTAAAAAACATCTTATCAGTATACCCTTAACAAAGTCTAATTCCATACCTCATACCATTGAAGGGATATCAGGAGCAGCAAGAGTTATTATTAGGCCTTCTGCTATAGGATCAGGTGTAATTGCAGGAGGATCTGTAAGAACGGTACTTGAACTTGCAGGAATCAAAAATATATTAGCTAAACAATTAAGATCTAGTAATACATTAAATAATGCACGTGCAGTTATCAATGCTTTAGCAAATTTAAAAACATTCGCTAGAACTGCCCAAGAGAGAGATATAAATATTAATCATCTTTACAGCATTACTGAAACATAGACTATAAATTATAAATTACAATTTGTTGAAACTTTTGAAATTAAATATTTATAGTATACAAATACATACATAAATGATGAAAAGCACAATTAAACTCAAACAAAAAACTTTAATAACCTTAGGAACACTAATTATTGCAAGATTAGGTATATTTATTCCTATACCAGGTATAGATCATAATTCTTTTTACAGCAATATGGGACAAAATGGACTAGTAAGTTTTTTAAATATTTTTTCTGGTGGTGGTTTTTCTACAATAGGAATTTTTGCATTAGGTATAGTTCCATATATTAATTCATCTATTATTATGCAAATAATAACAAAAATTATTCCTGAACTAGAAAACTTACAAAAAGAAGAAGGTGAATTAGGCAGACAAAAAATTACACAAATAACTCGATCATTAACGCTAATATGGGCAATATTACAAAGTACTGCAATAGCTTTTTGGATCAAGCCTTATGTATTTAACTGGAACAAATATTTTATTATTGACTGCTTACTCACACTAACAACTGGATCAATAATAATAATGTGGTTCTCTGAAATAATTACAGAATATGGTATAGGTAACGGTCCTTCTTTGTTAATTTTTCAAAACATTGTTTCTGGGATACCTAAAGTATTTATGGAGTATACTACAAATATTTATAATGGAAAAACAACTATAAATATTTTTTTTCTATTAATATTATTTATATTAATTCTAATAGTTACAATTCTTATTCAAGAAGGACAAAGAAAAATTACTATAATCTCAGCAAGGCAATTAGGAAAAATACAAGAATTAAACCCACAAAGCTACATACCTTTAAAATTAAATCAAAGTGGAGTTATGCCACTTGTATTTGCATCTGCAGCTATGGCTTTACCTCCTTACTTATTACAACTAACGTCCAATAACACTATCTATCAATTATGTTATTTATTTTTTCCTAACAACTACTTATATTTACCTTTATACTGTTTTTTAATAATTACGTTTAGCTATTTTTATTCATCACTTATTTTAAATCCAGAAGATATAGCTAAAAATTTAAAAAAAATGGGATCTAGTATACCAAGTATAAGACCTGGTATAGATACAGTAATATATTTGAAAAAAATTTTATATAAATTAACTTTTCTAGGATCCATCTTTCTATTTATTATTGTTCTAGTACCATCTATAATATCAATCGTCATGAAAACAGAATCTTTTAAAGGATTAGGGATTACATCTTTATTGATCTTAGTGGGTGTTTCTATTGATACTGCAAAACAAATACAAACATATATCATCTCTCAACAGTATGATAATATAATAGAATAATTCAAAATTAAGCAGAAATTAACATTAAATTATAATTATATTTAAACTAACTATGAAAGTAAGACCATCTGTAAAAAAAATGTGCGAAAAATGTCGCATAATACGCAGACACAGAAGAGTTATGGTTATTTGTGAAAATCCTAAACATAAACAACGACAAGGGTAAACAAATTTTAAGAATAAAGGTAATAAAATTATGGCTCGAATTGCAGGAGTTGATCTCCCTAAAAATAAAAGAATTGAAATTGGGTTAACTTATATATATGGTATAGGTTTATCTCGCTCTCAAGAAATATTGGAAAAAATTCATCTTGATGGCAATATTTTAGTACACAATTTAAATGATACACAAATAGTTGCGATTCGAGATATTTTAAATAATGAATATCAAATTGAAGGGGATCTACGAAGAGTTGAATCTATTAATATTAAACGGTTAATGGAAATTAACTCTTATAGAGGAAAAAGACATAGAACTGGGTTACCATTAAGAGGTCAAAGAACAAGAACTAACGCAAGAACACGCAGAGGCACAAAAAAAACCATGACAGGTAAAAAGAAAGCTCCACGTAAATAGACAACTCTTGAATCACAATTATTAAATATCAAAAATGGCTAGACAAATAAAAAAAAGTAGTAACAAACGTAAAAAAAATGCTATAAATGGCATAACACATATAAAATCTACATTTAACAATACAATTGTAACTATTACAGATTTAAAAGGAGAAACTATATCTTGGTGTTCATCAGGCGCTAGTGGTTTTAAAGGAGCAAAAAAAGGCACACCTTTTGCAGCACAAACAGCTTCAGAAAAAGCAGCTAAACAAGCTATAGAACAAGGCCTTAAACAAACCGAAGTTATGGTTAATGGTCCAGGTGCAGGAAGAGAAACAGCTATTAGAGCAATACAAGCAACTGGTATCGAAATAACTTTAATAAAAGATATAACACCTGTACCACATAATGGATGTAGACCACCTAAAAAACGAAGAGTATAAAATTAAATATCAATTCAATATTTTACAGTCTGTTTATCATACATATACAAATATATAAGAGGAACTTTCTTCAATGACTCATTTTGAACTAGAATGCATAGAGTCAAAAACAGAAGGAGCTCGTGAGCAATATGGCCATTTTATATTAGAACCTCTAAAACAAGGCCAAGGTATTACTGTTGGCAATTCATTAAGAAGAACTATATTATCAGATTTACAAGGAACAGCTATTGTAGCTGTAAGAATAGCTGGAATAAACCATGAATTTTCTACGATTACAGGCGTAAGAGAAGATGTATTGGAGATACTGCTAAACTTAAAAGAAGTCGTATTAAAAAGTTATACTAAAGAACCACAAATAGGTAGAATTAGAATACAAGGACCGGCTATTGTAACAGCTGGATTATTTGATGTACCAACAGAGATACAAATAATTGATCCCAAGCAATATATTGCGACTATATGCAATAATACTATTTTTGAAATGGAGTTTCGTATCGAACAAGGAAGTGGATACCGCATAGTAGATAAAGGCATTGACCATCAATCAATTGATTTCTTGCAGGTAGATGCTGTATTTATGCCGGCAAAAAAATTTAACTATGTAGTTGAAGAAAAACGTATTAGTTCTACATTGGTGCAAGAAAAACTATCTTTAGAAATATGGACCAATGGTAGTTTATCACCTCAAGAAGCAATAAGTGAAGGAGCAAATGTACTAACTAACTTATTTCATCCTCTAACTAATATAAACTTTCAGCCTGCAGTAAACAATCAAATACAAGAAGAACAAGCAATTAATCAAGTTTTAATTGAAGAACTTCAATTATCTGTTCGTGCTTATAATTGCTTAAAGAGAGCACAAATACACTCTATTTCTGACTTATTAGACTATTCACAAGAAGAATTATTAGAAATTAAAAATTTTGGACAAAAATCTGCAGAAGAAGTGATAGATGCCTTACAAAAAAAATTAGGAATAAGTTTACCAAAGGAAAAAAGTTAGTTTACTATAGAATGACAATAATTATTTAATAACAAAAATATAATGAATTAATAATATACATGATGAATGATACATATATACCCAACAAAAACACAAGCAAAAAATGGTATTTAATAGATGCAAGCGATCAAACATTAGGCAGATTAAGTACTAAAATAGCTAGTATTTTACAAGGAAAGAATAATATAGACTATACACCTTTTCTGAATACACAATCTTATATAATTATCATAAATGCACAAAGCATAACAGTAACTGGACAAAAAAAATATAAAAAACTTTATAAAAGACATTCTGGACAACCAGGAGGTTTGAAAATAGAAACTTTTGAACAATTAAATCAAAGAATGCCCAATAAAATAATTGAAAAAGCCGTCAAAGGAATGCTTCCAAAAGGTCCTTTAGGTAGAAAACTTTTTACACAATTAAAAGTTTATGCAAACAATAATCATCCTCATGAAGCACAACAACCTGAAGATATTACACTAAAATAAATATACAATTGCACAATCATTAAAATTATATATAAATATAATGGCTATTTTATCCAATTCATCAAAAATTACTTATTCCGGAACCGGAAGACGTAAAACATCTATAGCAAGAGTTCAATTAACACCTGGTTCGGGTAAATTAATTATTAACGGAATTCCTGGAGAATCATACTTACAATTTAGTCCTAACTATTTACGTATATCATATGGGCCTCTCAAAATATTAGGTCTAAGTAAAGAATATGATATTTATGTAAAAGCAGAAGGTGGAGGATTAACAGGTCAAGCAGATGCTATTAGACTCGGTATAGCAAGAGCACTATGCACAATTAATTCAGAAAATCGTGTTGCTCTAAAATCAGAAGGGTTTTTAACTAGAGATGCACGCGTAAAAGAAAGAAAAAAATATGGCTTACGTAAAGCAAGAAAAGCACCTCAATATTCAAAACGTTAAAACGTAATTACAATACAAATATCAATATAGTAGAAATGAGCAAAAAAGATATACATCCTCAATGGTATCCAGAATCTAAAGTTTATTGTGATGGCCAACATATTATGACAATTGGTTCAACTAAACCAGAATTACATGTTGATATTTGGTCTGGAAATCATCCATTTTTTACAGGATCACAACGAATTATAGATACAGAAGGTCGTGTAGACAGATTTATGCGTAAATATAATTTAAAAGATGTAAATAGAATTATTAATTCGTAATATTTTATGTAAAACAAAAGGTTTGACAGGCTATCACACAATATTTATAATATAAAGGATATTCAATTAAATATGAATATAAAAATATAACTAATGCCAACAATTCAACAATTAGTAAGATCTGAAAGAAAAAAATCTGAGAAAAAAACTAAATCTCCTGCATTAAAAGCTTGCCCACAAAGAAGGGGTGTATGTACTAGGGTTTATACAACTACACCTAAAAAACCAAATTCTGCTTTACGCAAAGTAGCTAGAGTGAGATTGACTTCTGGGTTTGAAGTTACAGCATATATACCCGGTATAGGCCATAATATTCAAGAACATTCAGTTGTTTTAATTAGGGGTGGTCGTGTTAAAGATTTACCTGGTGTAAGATATCATGTAATACGAGGTACTTTAGATTCTGCTGGAGTTAAAGACAGAAAGAATAGTCGCTCAAAATATGGAACTAAAAAACCAAAAATGTAACATATTAATACTTATACTATTTTATAAATTTATACAATCATCACAAATGTCTCGTCGTAATATAGCAAAAAAAAGACTAGTTTTGCCTGATCCAATATACAACAGTAAACTTATTAGTATGTTAACAGTACGTATATTAAAGAGTGGCAAAAAAGGGATAGCTCAAAAGATTATATATGAAGCATTAGATATTATTAAGGAAAAAACATCTAATTATCCTTTAGAAATCTTAGAAAAAGCAATTCGTAACTCTACTCCACTTGTAGAAGTTAAAGCAAGAAGAGTAGGAGGATCAACATATCAAGTTCCTATAGAAGTAAGAGCATATCGAGGGACAAACCTTGCTTTAAGATGGCTAACTAAATTTTCAAATGAAAGATCTGGCAAGAATATGTCTTTGAAGCTTGCGAATGAAATTATAGATGCTGCAAATGAAAGTGGAAGTACTATTCGTAAAAAAGAAGAAACTCATAGAATGGCTGAAGCTAATAAAGCTTTTGCTCATTATAGATATTAATAAAAATTAGGAATATAAATGATATGGCACGTGCAAAATTTGAGCGTAAAAAACCTCATGTAAACATTGGAACAATTGGACATGTAGACCACGGTAAAACAACTTTAACAGCTGCTATATCTGCAACGTTAGCTGCTGCAAGTGATACAAAAGCAAAAAAGTTTGATGAAATTGATGCTGCTCCTGAAGAAAAAGCAAGAGGCATTACTATTAACACTGCACATGTAGAGTATGAAACTGAAAACAGGCATTATGCTCATGTAGACTGCCCAGGACATGCTGATTATGTTAAAAATATGATTACTGGTGCTGCACAAATGGATGGTGCTATTTTAGTCGTTTCTGCTGCTGATGGACCTATGCCACAAACTAGAGAACATATTTTATTATCAAAACAAGTTGGTGTACCTAATATTGTTGTATTTCTAAATAAAGAAGATCAGGTTGATGATGATGAATTATTAGAATTAGTAGAACTAGAAGTTCGTGAACTTTTAACACAATACGATTTTCCTGGTGATGATGTACCATTTGTTGCTGGATCAGCATTATTAGCTTTAAATAAAGTAACTAATGAAAATAATATTAAAAGAGGTAAAGATAAATGGGTTGATAAAATTCATTCTTTAATGGATTCTATAGATGAATATATACCAACTCCTGTCAGAGATACAGAAAAAACATTTTTAATGGCTGTAGAAGATGTATTTTCTATTACTGGAAGAGGTACTGTAGCAACAGGTAGAATTGAAAGAGGTATAATTAAAGTAGGAGATACAATCGAAATTGTAGGCTTGAAAAAAACTACTACTACTACTATTACAGGCCTAGAAATGTTTCAAAAAACTTTAGATGAGGGTATGGCTGGAGACAATATCGGTATTTTATTAAGAGGTGTACAAAAAAAAGATATTGAAAGAGGTATGGTACTAGCACAACCAGGAACTATTACCCCACATACTCTCTTTGAAGCACAAGTATATATTTTAACAAAAGAAGAAGGTGGTCGACACACACCATTTTTTTCTGGATACCGGCCTCAGTTTTATGTAAGAACAACAGATGTTACTGGAACAATTACACAATTTACAGCAGATGATGGTTCAAAAGCAGAAATGGTAATGCCTGGAGATCGTATTAAAATGAGTGCAGAATTAATTAACCCCATTGCTATAGAACAAGGAATGAGATTTGCTATTCGTGAAGGAGGAAGAACTGTAGGGGCTGGTGTAGTTTCTAAAATTTTAGCATAAAATAGAAGATTTACAATATGACAATTTCAAACAAAAATAAAATAAGAATAAAGCTTAAAGGATATGATCATCACTTATTAACTAAATCTTGTAATACAATTATAAATACAGCTAATAGAACAAAAGTAAAAACGATAGGTCCTATACCTTTACCTACTAAACGTAAAATTTATTGCGTTCTTCGTTCTCCACATGTAGATAAAGACTCAAGAGAACATTTTGAAATAAGATCACATAGTAGAATTATAGATATATACGAACCTATATCACAAACAATTGATGCTTTAATGAAGCTTAACATACCGCCTGGTGTAGATATCGAAGTAAAACTATACTAATCCAGTGAATATCAATAAATGAGAATATCTATTTAAATAGATATTCTCATTTATTGATATTCACTGGATTAGTATAGTCCTTCTTCTAAATGTGTAGCAACAGTACAATCAGTTAGAGGATAAGCTACGCAGGTTAACACCCATCCTGCTTCTATTTGATCATCATCTAGAAAAGACTGATCTGATTGGTCAACTGAACCTTGTAATACTTTTCCAGCACACGTAGAACAAGAACCTGCCCTACAAGAATATGGTAGATCAATACCTTCAACTTCAGCTACATCAAGTATATATGAATCATCTGGACAGACTAGATCTATTTCATTCTTATCTATATCTATTAACTTTACTGTATAATCAGCCATATACTTTATCCTCGTATTATTTAGCCCAAATAATTGAATTAATCAAATAAAATAAATTACTTCTTAAATATTTAACATGATTATAACTTATTTAATTAAAATTCAAGCATAAAATAAGATTAAATATACAATATAATATAAAAAAAAGAAATAATTATAAAAAATTACAAGAATACAGTCAAAATTTTTTCATATAAATTTACACCCTTAATATAATGATAAGTACCTTTAATAATTTATCTAGTAGTATCATTTTAGAATTAAAACCAAAAAATAAGATTAAAAGAAAAATTCAATTTTCATGCATCTACTATGAAATTCAAGCTCTGAGCAAACGACTTTATATACAAACTAGAAGAAGACCTTCAACAATCATTTCAGGAATTATACAACCATTATTATGGTTACTATTATTTGGCGGATTATTTCAAAATGCGCCTGTTGGATTATTAACATCCAATATTACATATGGAACCTTTTTAAGTGCTGGTATTATTACATTTACGTCGTTTAATGGTGCAATTAATGCCGGATTACCTTTAATGTTCGATAGAGAATTTGGTTTTTTAAATCGGCTTTTAATCTCACCATTAATTTCACGTGATTCTTTATTAATTTCATCTATATTTTTTATAACTACTATCACAACTATCCAAACATTATTTATTATCGTATTTAGTTTAATATTTTATAATAATACCTTCAATACACTAACTATTTTTTCTATTCTTTTTATAACTTGTTTAATTACTTTAAGTATGGCTAGTATAAGCATTTGCTGTGCATTCATTTTACCTGGACATATAGAATTTTTAGCTTTTACTGTTATCATTAATTTACCGATGCTTTTTTCTAGTACTGCTTTAGCTCCTTTATCTTTTATGCCTTATTGGCTACAAATTATTGCTAGTCTAAATATATTGACTTATTCAATAGAATGTATTAGATATTTATCAACTGCAGACTATATATACAATAATCCCATAATTATGGAAAGTGTATGGTTTAATATAAACTTATCTCAAAGTATCTACATACTATTAATAGTGAATATACTAAGCCTAATACTTGTAAAAAATATCATTTCTTATAAATTTGAATAAAAAATATGATTATGGTACTGATAACAATGTTATAATATTAAAGTGAATCACTTTCGACAAAAAATCGAAATTAAATATACAAACAAGAGTAAATTTTAGAGTAAGAAAGGCAAATTATTAATTTCTTGTTATAGGAGGCACGGAGTTCAATGGGACTACCATGGTATCGTGTACATACAGTTGTGTTAAATGATCCTGGACGCTTAATTTCTGTACATTTAATGCACACAGCCCTAGTATCTGGTTGGGCAGGATCAATGGCTTTATATGAGTTAGCCGTTTTTGATCCATCTGATCCTGTCTTAAATCCAATGTGGAGACAAGGCATGTTTGTAATGCCTTTTATGTCAAGACTGGGCGTTACTGACTCATGGGGTGGATGGAGTATTACCGGAGAAAGTGTTTCTAATCCTGGCTTATGGAGCTTTGAAGGTGTTGCAATTACACATATTGTATTATCAGGTATGCTGTTTTTAGCATCAATATGGCACTGGGTTTATTGGGATTTGGAATTATTTAGAGACCCTAGAACAGGTGAACCTGCTCTAGACTTACCAAAAATTTTTGGAATACATCTTTTGCTATCTAGTTTACTCTGTTTTGGATTTGGTGCATTCCATGCAACAGGTCTATTTGGACCGGGTATTTGGATCTCTGATGCCTACGGTGTAACTGGTAAAGTACAACCTGTTGCTCCTGCATGGGGTCCTGATGGATTTAATCCATTTAATCCAGGTGGTGTAGCTTCACATCATATAGCAGCCGGTACAGTTGGCATATTAGCTGGATTATTTCATTTAACTGTTAGACCACCACAAAGATTATATAGAGCATTAAGAATGGGAAACATAGAGACTGTACTATCAAGCAGTATTTCAGCTGTTTTTTTTAGTGCTTTTATAACATGTGGAACAATGTGGTATGGTTCTGCTACTACGCCTTTAGAGTTATTTGGTCCAACAAGATATCAATGGGATAGTGGATACTTTCAACAAGAAATAGAACGTAGAATAGAAAATTCCTTAAATGAAGGATCAACCCCTGAAGAAGCATGGTCAAAAATACCTGACAAATTAGCCTTTTACGATTATATTGGAAATAATCCTGCAAAAGGTGGACTATTTAGAGCTGGTCCCATGGATAAAGGTGATGGTATTGCTGAAGCATGGTTAGGTCATCCAATTTTTCAAGATAAAGATGGTAGAGAATTAACTGTTAGAAGAATGCCTGCATTTTTTGAAACTTTCCCAGTCATCCTTATAGATAAAGATGGAATTATTAGGGCTGATATACCATTTAGAAGAGCAGAATCAAAATATAGTATCGAACAAGTTGGTGTAACAGTAAACTTCTATGGAGGGAAATTAAATGGAAAAGTATTCACAGATGCACCAAGCGTAAAAAAATATGCGCGTAAAGCTCAGTTAGGAGAAGTTTTTGAATTTGATCGTACAACTCTAGAATCTGATGGTGTCTTTCGCAGTAGCCCAAGAGGCTGGTTTACATTCGGGCATGCTAATTTTGCACTGATATTCTTCTTTGGACATTTATGGCATGGATCCAGAACTATTTTCAGAGATGTGTTTGCAGGTATAGGAGCAGAAGTAACAGAACAAGTTGAATTTGGTGCGTTCCAGAAGTTAGGAGATAGAAGTAGTAAAAAACAAGGTGCTGTATAATTTTAACTATATAATTATAATCAGGAGAAAAAAATGGAAGCACTCGTATATGTATTTCTATTAGTAGGGACTTTAATGGTGATCTTCTTTGCAATCTTTTTTAGAGATCCTCCAAGGATTGCAAAATAAGTATAGTATATATAAATAAAACATAAATTACGACCAATCTTATAATTAAGATAAATTATAAGATTGGTTAGCTTTATAAATATAAATTTATAAATAAAAGAAGATGTAATATATTATTCTTCATGCTCTTCAAAAGGATCTCTCAATTCTTTTGAAACAGGGCCAAAAGCAGTATATATAGAGTATATTGTAATACCTAGTAGTAAACTTGAAATAAAAATACTAAGAACTGTTGCAGTTTCCATAAATCAAATACAAATAAAATTAAGTTGTTTCTATAATACTATTATAGATATAACATAATATCAAAAATGAATAATAAAGACTATGGCACTAAGAACTAGATTAGGTGAAATCTTAAGACCGTTGAATTCTGAATATGGAAAAGTTGCTCCAGGATGGGGAACAACACCTATTATGGCTATATTTATGCTTCTATTTTTTCTCTTTTTATTAATTATTTTACAAATATATAATTCTTCATTAATTCTAGAAAATGTAGATGTAGACTGGGCTACTCTAAAAAATTAGAGACTATATATAAAAAAGAAAAAGCATTATTTTTTATAATGCTTTTTCTTTTCTATTATTAGTTAACTAATATCAACTCAGTTTCAGCAAAATTATTACTATTAACTCCACTATAGGTTTCTTTAATAAATCTAACAACAACAGGATATTTAATATCTTTATTTACTTTCATCACAGTACCTGTATCTTTGTACCAATATGACTCTTTTCTTAAAACTCTAACTTTTGAACCTTTTTTGATCATAGCTTTAACAATAAATTTTATATTTCATATAATACTACAAAATAAGATAGAATAAATGAACTTATGTAAACTAAAAGCAAATGAGTCTTACTATTTTTACATTTAAAAGAATATAGTTGCCGTTAAAATATCAAAAATGTTACATTTATGTAAGTACCGTAATATAAAACTATGCTTAATTTTACTTACGCTAAATATAATATACACGTATAAAAAAATAAAATTTTTAAGACTGAATAATCATGAAACTATCTTGGAAAACTTTTTTACTCTGGTCTTTACCTATAGTCATTATTGGCTTTTTTCTATGGCAAGGTTTTATTACACCTGCAAATAATGAGCTAAATAATAATATCGCTAACTCAAGAATGACTTATGGACGATTCCTTGAATATTTAGAGATGGGTTGGGTAAAACGAGTAGATATGTACGATAATGGACATACTGCTATTGTTGAAGCTGTTGGACCAGAATTAGGCAATCATGTACAAAAAATTAGAGTAGAACTTCCTACAAGCGCACCTGAGTTAATCAGTAAATTGAAACATGCCAATGTTGATATAGATGCACATCCAAATAAAAATACAAGTGCTAGTTGGAATTTAATAGGAAATTTATTATTTCCATTATTTCTAATAGGTGGCTTAGCATTTTTATTCCGTAGGTCTAATAACACCAATAGTGGTCCAGGACAAGCTATGTCCTTTGGAAAATCTAAAGCATTATTTCAAATGGAAGCAAAAACAGGTGTAGTATTTAATGATGTAGCTGGAATTGATGAAGCAAAAGAAGAATTTGAAGAAGTAGTAACTTTTTTAAAGCAACCAGAATGTTTTACAGCTGTAGGAGCTAGGATACCTACAGGTGTGTTACTTGTTGGTCCTCCTGGAACTGGAAAAACTTTATTGGCAAAAGCTATAGCAGGTGAAGCTAATGTACCTTTTTTCAGTATTTCAGGATCAGAATTTGTCGAAATGTTTGTCGGTGTAGGAGCATCAAGAGTTAGAGATTTATTTAAAAAAGCAAAAGAAAATGCACCTTGTATTGTTTTTATTGATGAAATTGATGCCGTAGGTCGACAAAGAGGAACAGGTATAGGAGGCGGAAATGATGAACGAGAACAAACACTTAATCAATTATTAACTGAAATGGATGGCTTTGAAGGTAATACAGGAATAATAGTAATTGCAGCAACTAACAGAGCCGATATATTGGATTCAGCATTATTAAGACCTGGACGTTTTGATAGACAAGTAGCTGTCGAAGTTCCCGATTTTAAAGGACGACTAGCTATTTTAAAAGTACATGCACGTAATAAAAAGATAGATGAAAGCGTATCTCTAAATATAATAGCAAGAAGAACTCCTGGTTTTTCGGGCGCGGATTTAGCTAACTTACTTAATGAAGCTGCTATCTTAACAGCAAGAAGAAGAAAACAAACTATTACATTAAATGAAATAGATGCATCTATAGATAGAGTTGTTGCTGGCATGGAAGGAACTCCTTTAATTGATAGTAAAAGTAAACGCTTAATAGCATATCATGAAATTGGGCATGCTATAGTAGGAACTCTATTACAAGATCATGACCCTGTACAAAAAGTAACTCTAATACCTAGAGGACAAGCAAGAGGATTAACTTGGTTCACACCTTCAGAAGATCAAAGTTTAATTTCAAGATCTCAAATCAAATCTAGAATAATGGGTGCATTAGGCGGAAGAGCCGCAGAAGAAGTAGTGTTTGGAGACGCAGAAGTTACGACAGGTGCAAGTAATGATTTACAACAAGTGACTTCAATGGCAAGACAAATGGTAACAAGATTCGGTATGTCCAACATAGGACCTCTTTCTTTAGAAAATGAAGAGACCAATCCTTTTTTAGGAAGAGGAATGAGTAATTCCAATGAATATTCAGATGAAATAGCTATTAAAATTGATAAACAAATACAAGAAATAGTAAAAGAATGTCATAATAATACAATTAAGATAATAGAAGATAATCGTGTAGTTATTGACAGACTCGTAGATCTATTAATAGAACAAGAAACGATTGACGGTGAAGAATTTAGAAAAATTATTAACGAATATACGCTTGTACCGGAGAAATATAATTACGCAATATAAATGATTTAAAGAAATTCAACGGGACTGACGGGATTCGAACCCGCAACTTCCGCCGTGACAGGGCGGTGCTCTAACCAATTGAACTACAGTCCCTTAATTAAGTATATAGTCTCATTTAAAAATCTTTTTGTCAAATACTGTACATTAGTAAATAGCGTCCTAATATATTGAATACATAACAAAATATCTTTATTTTCCAATTGTATTTTTTTATTCTTTCTTTAGAACTAGTAATCGTAACATTATTACCTGCTATTATATAACTATGCAAATAGTATGTTTTATATTAGTTACCATAGTTTATGTATTTGTAAATATATAAGTATAATTACAACATTAAAAAAAGGATTTTGAAATCCATGCTAAGCAAAATATAATACCGGGAAAATTTTTACTATTCTTAAAACACAAGATTGTGTCTTATTATATTTTTTCTAAGTCTTGAATTAATATTTTCTACCATTATTTTTAGTTATATCTTGAAAAATATATTTGTTTATAGTACAAAGATTCGCTAATGAACATGATAAGCTTTTAAATTTTTATTAATACAGACTTAATTGTATTGTGGCTAGTTACTACTACAAGAAAACTGATATCTCCATACATTACCAGATCATAAGCCTGTAATTAAAATTTGATAGTTTTATTTATATTTATAAAGATCTTTGTTATTCACTATATGACTAAGATATCCTGTGTAGACAATTTTAGCAATATAATTACTTAGTTTACTTATATATTAAAAAGCAAAATAGAAGCTAAAAATTTAAATTTTAATATAACTGGACATGTCATATGCTAGCTTTCTTAGAAAGAACTTTAGCCAAATTTAGCCTTATATTCTTATTCATTTTTCATATATTAGGCTAGATTATAGTTACTTAGTTATTAAAAAAATACTTTGCTATGCCTAGATAAAAATTATAATAAAATTAGAAAATAAGAATATACATATCTAAAATACTCCTCAATATTTATTAAGAAAAATGTAATTTTTTGAAATTAAGATTTAAATATTTAATGTTGATGATTTGATGCGTTTGTTAGATTTTGATTATAACATTAATATAATTATATAATTGGACTATCAATACTTAAAAATATAGTTACATCTTTTCTATCTTTATAAAGTAAAAATTATTAAGTAGATTACGATAACGTAAAACTATACTTAGAAAAAATACTGGCTCTTAATAAAATACATCTTTTATTTTACTTATTTTAAATCTACATAAGAACTTCTAATTAATTTTGCTTAATAATTTTTCTAAACTTATATCCAGATACTTTTGGTTAAAGACTTTATTTAAAGCTTTCTATTGTTAACAAACCTTTGAAACTCACTAATTAAATTCTTTATCTAATAAACTTTTAATAAAACACTTTAGTACAAATAGAATAAATGCCTATCACCTTCTGCAGAAGAAAAACTATTTTTGTATTTAGTCTTATATATAATAAAACGAAAAGTTTAAGCAAATTATACTTGCATAAATCTGATCAAAAATTTTCTTCAGATAATCAAATAAACAAAAATAATGTAAATTACACTCAAGCTGATTAAACTTAAAAAAACATATATAACGATCATTATAATTCTGAATTAAATTCAAATTCATAAAGAAAAATTATTTTTTTAGGATGAATATTGCTAATAATAGTAAAGAAACGAATATCTCAGAAATCATATGTTTCAATTTTTATATCTAAAATATTATCAAAATGACTCTTCTTACTTTTATGCTTAAATGAAACTTACTAATTAAATGAAACATTGTATAACTTAGGCTAATTACAATATAGATATTAAAAAAATATTTTACTAGAAATTGAAAATTTAAAGATTTTATAATATCAACTATAGAGTCAATATCAATAACAAAAAAACCTTGATTCTTAAGACAATAATCTAGATTATACTCCGAAAACTTATACATCTAGTGTTTAGCTCCATTAAAGGTACAATAAAGCGATGAATCTTTTTGATTTATCTATCCAAGATTAACTTTGTCTAAAGGATAATTATAAATTGCAAAGCAATTAAATTTTTAGAGATTTATTAACACTTTCTGAAATATAAACGTCTGATAATAATAAATATCAATTTAGCTATATAGAATCACTATAAGCTCATCTTAATGTAATAAGATTCGTAAATTCAAAAAATTAAGGAGAGAAAGGGATTCGAACCCTTGGTATGAAATAAACATACAACAAATTAGCAATCTGCCGCTTTAGACCTCTCAGCCACCTCTCCTATCAATACTACAATATATTCATTATTGTAATGGCTCAGGCGGGATTTGAACCTGCGACCTTGGGCTTATGAGTCCCCTGCTCTAACCAACTGAGCTACTGAGCCCACTCTACTAATTATTCATTGTATCATTATATCTCAAAAGAGACAAACTACTTTAAAAGACAAAGCTATTAACTAACAATCATCGAACCTATACCTTCAGACGTGAATATTTCTAACAGTAATGCATGCTCTATTCTACCATCTATTATGTGCGCAGATTTTACATTTGATCTTAAAGCATTTATACAGCAATCAATTTTAGGAATCATACCACCTATAATAATGTCTTTATTTTTTAATTGATAAGCATCTTCTATATTTAAATGACTAACTAAAGTACTATTATCATGAATATTATACATAATACCAGGTGTATCTGTTAATAAAATTAATTTTTCTGCTTTTAATGCTGCAGCAATAGCACCTGCAACAGTATCAGCATTTATATTATATGCTTGACCTTGATCATCTGCTGCAGTACTAGCAATAATAGGTATATAATTTTCATTTAATAGCAAATTTAACAGCTGAATATTAACTGAATTAACTTTACCAACAAAATTATTATCCATGTCGAATAATCTTGATGCTTTAATTAAATTACCATCTTTTCCAGATAAGCCAATAGCACAATTATTATTTTTATTTAATAAAGTTACTAAATCTTTATTAATTTTACCAACAAGTACCATCTCTACTATTTCCATAGTCTTTTGATCCGTAACTCTGATGCCTTTTTCAAATTTAGGTTCTATATCTAACTTGTGTAACCATGAATTAATAATAGGGCCACCACCATGTACTAATACAGGCTTAATTCCAACTAAAGATAAAAATAATATATCATTGATTATCTCTTTTTTCAATCTCTCATTTTTCATAGTAGAACCACCATATTTAATTACAACAATACGTCCAGAAAATTGTTGTATAAAAGGTAAAGCTTCAATAAGAACTTGAACACGCTGAAATGAATTTAACATTTTAATTTATTCCATTTAATAAAAATTTGAATAATTTGCAAAAAATTTTATTGTTAATTATTTTAAAAAGAAAACATATATACATCTTACTAATATAACATATGAATACTTTTTGGGAGAATATAAGTAAATTTCCAAGATTTTTAATTTCTGTAATTGCAGGGTTTTTCTTGACAACTCTTTACCCAATTTTTGAGTTATTAAAGGATAAAAAAAAGAGATTTTTTACAGTTATAATTGTCTTGCTAATTATAACATCAACATACACACTTTTAAGGCTAATGCTTGCGATAAATTAATAAATTAATAAGGAAAAATAAATAAATTTAAAATAAAAATTAGACATATATAATATTATATATAGTGTTATATTTAAATCTTCTTTTTTTATTATATCTATTTATTTATTTTCATTAATTTATAAGGATTAAATATGTCCATAAGTCATAATAAAGTAACTGGAGCTTTTGCTTTACTTGATAGTTTAGTTAGACATAACGTTGAATATATATTTGGATACCCTGGTGGAGCAATTCTGCCTATATATGACGAATTATACAGATGGGAAAAATCTGGTAAGATTAGACATATTTTGTCAAGGCATGAACAAGGTTCTGCACATGCTGCTGATGGTTATTCTAGATCTACTGGAAAAGTAGGTGTTTGTTTTGCAACATCTGGACCAGGTGCAACAAATTTAGTTTCAGGTATTGCAACTGCACAAATGGATTCTGTTCCTTTATTATTAATTACAGGTCAAGTTGCTAGACCATTCATAGGTACAGATGCTTTTCAAGAAGTTGATATTTTTGGTATAACTTTACCAATCGTCAAACATTCTTATGTTGTTAGAGATCCTAGAAATATGTCAAAGATAATCTCTGAAGCTTTTTATATAGCACAACATGGTAGACCCGGTCCAGTATTAATTGATGTTCCTAAAGATGTAGGTTTGGAGAAATTTGTGTATAATCCTATTGATCCAGGACAAGTTTTTTTGTTAGGTTGTAGGCCTTTTTTAAAGCCAAATAATAAACAAATTATAAAATTTATAAAACTATTAGAGAATTCTAGTCAACCTTTATTATATGTTGGTGGTGGATCGATAATTTCTGGTGCTCACCAAGTTATAAAGGAATTAGCTGTTAAATTTCAAATACCTATAACAACAACTTTAATGGGTAAAGGAATTATTGATGAAAAAGATGATTTATCTTTAGGTATGCTTGGCATGCATGGTACAGCATATGCTAACTTTGCTGTTAGTGAAAGTGATTTATTAATTGCTTTAGGTGCTCGTTTTGATGATAGAGTTACAGGCAAATTAGATGAATTTGCCTGTAATGCTCAAGTTATTCATATTGATATTGATCCAGCTGAAGTAGGTAAAAATAGAATACCGCAATTAGCTATTATTGGAGATATTAATAATGTTTTACAAGATATTATGGACTATATTGAAAATAATCAGAATATTTTGTATACAACGGATCAAACGAGGTCATGGAGAGAAAGAATTGATTTGTGGAAACATCAATATCCATTATTAGTACCAACAAATGTTAACACTTTATCCTCTCAAGAGATTTTATCTTCCTTATGCATAATGGAACCTAATGCATATTTTACAACTGACGTAGGTCAGCATCAAATGTGGGCAGCGCAATTTCTTAATGTTTTACCTCGTCATTGGATTTCTAGTGCTGGTCTAGGTACTATGGGTTATGGTCTTCCAGCTGCTATAGGTGTACAAATTGCATATCCTAATGAAAAAGTTGTTTGTGTTAGTGGTGATGCTAGTTTTCAAATGAATCTTCAAGAATTAGGTACTATTGCTCAGTATAATTTACCAATAAAAATTATCATTATTAATAATAAATGGCAAGGTATGGTTAGACAATGGCAACAAGCTTTTTATGGTGAACGTTATTCTCATTCCAATATGGAAAAAGGTTCTCCTAATTTTATAGAATTAGCAAAATCGTTTGGAATTGCAGGATTTGAGTTAACGCTACGTAAGGATATCGACACGATCTTGGAATCTTTTTTGAATTGCAATGGACCTTGTTTACTAGATTGTAAAGTTACAGAAGATGATAATTGTTATCCAATGGTTGCACCAGGCAAAAGTAATGCACAAATGATAGGTATTATAAAGCAATCTAAAGTAACTAATTCATTACTTAATTAGATTCTGTATAATAAATAAAAATTAGATAAATATAAAATTTATGTAAGCCCTTAATGAGAATTGAACTCATTGCCTTCTCCTTACCAAGAAGATGCTCTACCAGTGAGCTATAAGGGCTAAATTTTGCAAAAAAAACTAGGCCGGGTTGGATTTGAACCAACGTAGGCAAAGCCAGCGGATTTACAGTCCGCCCCCATTAACCACTCGGGCACCGACCCTATCAAAATTTATAGGGTAAATATAAGTTAACAAATTAATTACAAAAAAGCAATAAATGTAACAACTTAAATTTTATGTTAAATAAAAGATGTAGATACAACTGGAATCGAACCAGTGACCTTTACGATGTCAACGTAATACTCTAACCATCTGAGCTATGTATCCAATTACCTATATCTATTATATGATAAATAAGTGTTAAATAAATTTTTGTTTTAAGCGTGTAGCTTTACCAGATCTTTGTCTTAAATAATATAATTTTGCTCTACGAACTTTTGATTTTCTTGTGACTTCAATACTTATAATTCTTGGTGAATGTATTAAATATACTTTTTCTACACCTATATTTTGCAATACTTTTCGAACAGTAATAGTGGTATTAAGATGAGCATTATTTTTTGATATTATAACTCCATCAGATATTTGTGTTCTTTCTTTGTTTCCTTCTTGTATTATTAAACCTATTTTAACACTATCTCCCACATTAATATTCGGAATATTTTGCTTGAAAAAATTTTTTTCTATTTGAGATATAATATTTGACTTCTTTTGTACTGTAAAATCCATGAGTATATATATTAGATATTATGATTTAATTTTATTGTATTTAATATTGTTATTATTCGTCAATACTTTAATCATGTATAGATAATATAATGCCAAGAAAAAAATTATATTTTTTGGTTTATTTTATAATGATATTCTTCATTAATTCTTTTGATAAGTAATACTTGGAATTTATTATAACAGCTTTGCATAAATTACTTATTATGTCTTCTTTTTTTTTAATATTTAAAAAATATTAAAATTATAGTAATAATAACATCCACATTTTAGATTTATTGAAATAATTCAACAATAAACTCTGCTTTTTTTATTCTAACTTTAATTGTAATGACAAAAAATATAATTGAGATTAGCAATTTCATTAAAGATCAATAAGAGTTTATAGCAAATATATTATAATAGCGTATAGATATTTATTTAAATATTAAAAAAAGTAATTGGTGAGTTAAATAATTTATATTATAGTTAAAATTAAAGCTTAGTTATATTTTATATGTATTTCATAAAATCTGATAAACATTCATCATCTAATCATAATTTATACATTTGTATAGTTAATAAATTTTATATTTATATTCAAGCTAGTATAGTCTTACAAAATATATTTACTAGTAACTATTATGTCATTTCATTCTTTAGTTATTATTGTAAGTCAATAATTAAATATAAGTTGGGATTATTAATGTGTTTGTTATATTTTGTATTAAACTTTAATTCATTATATCTACTTATTCTTGATGTTAATTTTGTGAATATTTATACTTTCAGTTTATATTATTGGATAGGTTTTCAAATTATAGCTAAAAGATTTAATTATTATCCTAATCAACTGTATAAATCAAATAATAATATTTCAACAGCTTATAGCTTAATTAATTCTAAGCTATTGAGTAAAAATATATTGAGACGTTACTTAATTTTTACAATTCTTTTATCATAGATCTTAATTTATGTTTTCTGTTATGTTATTATTATTTAGTATCAAAGGTAATAAAATATTTAACTAGTTCTTTAATATATGTTTGAACGTTTTACAGAAAAAGCTATTAAAGTTATAATGTTAGCTCAAGAAGAAGCAAGAAGATTAGGCCATAATTTTGTTGGTACAGAACAAATCCTTTTAGGTCTAATTGGTGAAGGAACAGGTATTGCTGCACAAGTTTTAAAATCCATGAACGTTAATTTAAAAGATGCTCGAATAGAAGTAGAAAAAATTATTGGTCGTGGTTCTGGGTTTGTTGCAGTGGAAATACCTTTTACTCCTAGGGCAAAACGAGTTCTTGAATTATCATTAGAAGAAGCAAGACAGTTAGGCCATAATTATATAGGTACAGAACATTTATTGATGGGATTAGTACGTGAAGGTGAAGGAGTTGCTGCACGTGTACTAGAAAATTTGGCTGTAAATGTTTCTTCTATTAGAACAGAAGTCATTCAAATGTTAGGTGATAATGCAGAAGCTAGTGCTAATGGTAATAGCAATATGCAAGCAAGAAGCAAAACACCTACTTTAGAAGAATTTGGATCAAATTTAACTGAGTTAGCAATAGAAGGTGTACTAGATCCTGTTGTTGGTAGGCAAAAAGAAATAGAGCGAGTAATTCAAATTTTAGGTCGTAGAACTAAAAATAATCCTGTATTAATAGGCGAACCAGGTGTTGGTAAAACTGCTATTGCAGAAGGTTTAGCTCAAAGAATAGCTAATAGGGACATTCCTTCTATTTTAGAAGATAAGCTAGTTGTTACATTAGACGTTGGACTTTTAGTTGCAGGGACAAAATATAGAGGTGAGTTTGAAGAAAGATTAAAAAGAATTATGGATGAAATTAAGTCTGCAGATAATGTAATTTTAGTTATAGATGAAGTTCATACATTAATAGGTGCAGGTGCAGCTGAAGGTGCAATAGATGCTGCAAATCTATTGAAGCCAGCATTAGCCCGAGGTGAATTGCAGTGTATAGGAGCTACTACTCTTGAAGAGTATCGTAAGCACATAGAAAAAGATGCTGCATTAGAAAGGCGTTTTCAGCCAGTATTAGTAGGTGAGCCAAGTGTTGAAGAAACGATAGAAATTTTATTTGGTTTGAGAGATCGTTATGAGAAACATCATCAGCTGAAAATGTCAGATAGTGCTTTAGCTGCGGCAGCTAAATATGCTAATCAATATATTTCAGATAGATTTTTGCCAGATAAAGCAATTGATTTAATTGATGAAGCAGGTTCTCGTGTACGTTTACTAAATTCTCAACTACCACCTGCTGCAAGAGAGTTAGATAAAGAATTGAGATCAGTATTAAAAACGAAAGATGAAGCAATAAGAGCTCAAAAATATGAAAAAGCAGAGCAGTATAGAACACGTGAAATGGAAATCAAAGCTCAAATTGCTGCAATTGCACAAAGTAAAAAAAGTGAGCCAGATTTACAAATAGAAGATCCTATTGTTACAGAAGAAGATATCGCTGAAATAGTTGCATTTTGGACAGGGATTCCTGTAACTAAGCTAACTAAAAGTGAATCTGAAAAATTGATGCATATGGAGGAAACATTACACAGTCGTATTATAGGTCAAGATGAAGCTGTAGTTGCTGTCTCAAGAGCTATTAGGAGAGCACGAGTAGGTTTAAAAAATCCTAACAGGCCCATAGCTAGCTTTATTTTTTCTGGCCCTACTGGCGTTGGTAAGACAGAATTAACTAAAGCATTAGCGTCATATTTTTTTGGTGCGCAACAAGCAATGGTGCGTTTAGATATGTCCGAATATATGGAAAGACATACAGTGTCAAAATTAATAGGTTCTCCTCCTGGTTATGTTGGATATAGTGAAGGAGGCTATTTGACGGAAGCTGTTAGAAAAAGGCCATATACCGTAATTCTTTTTGATGAGATTGAAAAAGCTCACCCAGATATCTTTAATCTTTTATTACAAATTTTAGAAGATGGACGATTAACTGATGCTAAAGGTAGAACAATTGATTTTAAAAATACTTTGTTGATAATGACATCTAACATCGGTTCTAAAGTTATTGAAAAAGGAGGTGGTAGTCTTGGTTTTGAATTAGGCGAATCTCAAACAGAATCTCAATATAATCGTATTAAGTCATTAGTCAATGAAGAGTTAAAGCAATATTTTCGCCCAGAATTTTTAAATAGATTAGATGAAATTATTGTATTTAGACAATTGACTAAAGATGAAGTTCGAGAAATAGCAGATATTATGTTACAAGAAGTATTTGAGCGTATTAAGCAACAAGAAATAGAATTAGATGTTACAGAAAGATTTAAAAATCGTTTAGTAGATGAAGGCTATAATCCTAGTTATGGTGCTCGTCCACTACGCCGTGCTGTTATGAGACTTTTGGAAGATAGTTTAGCAGAAGAAGTTCTGTCTGGAAAAATAAAAGCAGGCGATAGTGCTGTCGTGGATGTAAATGATGATGGTAAAGTAACAGTTCTATTAGGAGAAAAATTAGAGGTATTATCATCATAAAAAAATATATACTATAGTATATATTCAATTGCCAGGAACCAGATTTGAACTGGTGACACGAGGATTTTCAATCCACTGCTCTACCAACTGAGCTATCCCGGCTACTGAACTACAATAGCAAAATACAAAATTTATTGCAAGTTTATTGAATAAAAGACTATATATTATTTTACACTCTTTATGTTAGAGAAGCTTGTATTTTGAGGATGAAATAATAATTGAAAGCATCCAGTAGAACCATTTCTATTTTTAGTAATAGTTATATCTAAAATTTTAGAATCTATTTTTATTTCTGAATTAAGTATATTGCAATGCAACATAATTACGATATCAGCATCTTGTTCGATTGAATTATGTAAAATAATATGATTACTAATATAATTAGTGTAATGTTTTCTTTTTAAATCATACACTAAATTATATTGATTAAAATTAATTTTTGTTAGGAAATACCTTGTAATTTGCAGCTTATTATAAAGAGTAGTCATATAAGATAAGATAGTCTCTTCTTTACTTATTTGATTTTGTATAAACCAATTGTTATGATTAAAAATCTTATGATTACTTGTTATATATATTTGATATTTATTGCACATGTAGCAATTAAATATATATTGATTGAATAAATATATTTTATCCGTATAGTTATTTTTATTTAATTTTTTAATTGTAGAAGATTTAAATTCTATATTATTTAGATACATTACATGTTTGTATTTTATAAGATTTTTGATATTCAGTGCATTGCAGTCATCAACATGATTCAACATTTTATAACTAATACATCCACTTTCTTTTAAGTCAGATAAAATAGGCTTTTTATTTATTCTAGTTTCTATATTTCTATTTAATTGTGAAAGAATAATAACAGGCACATTTAAATTTTGTGCTAATATCTTTAATTGTCGTGTAATATAGCTTAACTCTTGTGCCCTACTTTCTACTTTTAGATTGCTTGCTTGTATTAATTGTAAATAGTCAATAATAATAATACTTTTACAATTTTCTCCTTTTATAATAAATTTTGAAATATATATAATCTCATCAATTGATACACTTGCAATATCATTGATATAAATTCGTGCTTTAAGTAAATTATCACATATATATTGTATTAAACGCCATTCATTTATATTGATATGACCATATAAAATATCATGTACTGGAATCGTAGAGCCTACAGATATCAATTTATGTAATATTTGCATTTTCGTCATTTCTAACGTAAATATACATAGTCTTACTTTACTTGTTTGTAAAATATTATAAGCAATATTAGTAACAAAAGACGTTTTACCCATTGAAGGTCTGCCAGCAATTACAATTAAGTCACCGTTTGGAAGACCATGAATTAAATTATCAAGTTCTTCAAATCCTGAAGATATATTATGACTCAAATAAATTAAATTACAATTTTTATATTGTATATTTGAAACCAAATTGCCAATTAGCATTTGTAAGTTGTCAATATTTTTAAAATTGGCTTTGTCTCTAATATAATTAATATATTGTGATAATTTAAAAAATAATTGTTCATTAGATATTTTTTTATTATGTGTTAATAAGACAATATTGTACCCGTATTGTATAATTAATCTTTTTATATAGTTTTCATAAATAATTTTTATAATTTCATTAATATAAAAATTGCTATGAATAGAATCAGTAAGAGTTTGACTTTGTTTAATAATTGTAATGATTTTATTTATGCCACCTATGATGTGAAGCATCCGTCCGTTTTGAAGTGAATAAATTAAATTTATAGCACTAATCTCTTTTTTTTTGTGAATAGTAATTAAATTTCTGTATATTATTCTATGACTTTCTAAAAATAAGCATTCTATTCTTAAAGATTGAAAAATTAAGTCAAATAATGCAGGCTTAACTATGAGACTTCCTAAAAGAATTTCTTCTGCTATATAATTTTGAGGTGGTAAAAAGTGTTGTTGTAAGTTATGCATGTTTTATTTTAATAAAACAAAGTTTAAATATGTTTGCATATATGTTTTTGAACATCATATATGCAATAAAATTAATTTTTCTTTAGAATTTACTAATAATATTTTTTAATTTTATAATAAATTTAGTAAAAAATCTTTTTTTAAATATATCCTTTTAGTTTAGGTAATATTTGTAGTTTAATATCTAAACTAATATTATTGAGAATTTGAATATTGAAATAATAAATACCCAATTGTTTTATTTCTGGCAATTTTACTTGTTTCTTTTCAAATTTTTGACCAGTGTAATTAAATATTGTATTAAGTATTTCTTTTTCGTTTATGCTACCAAAAATCTGTTGTCGTTCACCAATTGTTTTATTTATACTAATTTTAGGTATTTTTTGTAGTTGTGCTTGTATTTTACTATATTGAATAGTTTTTTCTTTTACTTTTTGATCTTCTATTTTTTGAATCATATTATTATGCTTTAATTTACCTTTTGTGACTAATTCAGCTATGTGTTTAGGAATCAAATAATTAAATGCGTAACCAGATGCAACCTTAATTATCTCTCCTTTTTTTCCTAATTTATTATTAGAATTGATTAGTATTATTTCTATGCTTTTTTTCATATTTGTTTTATTAATTAAATTAATTGAAAGTATAAAATTGATTATATTATAAAACTTGTTTTTATAGATTTTTAATTTTCTATTTACAAATTATTCTTTATGATAACATTCTATTGCATTGGTAACCATTTAAGTAATCCATCTTTTAATCTGTAGTGATTAATCTTATGTATATTTAATATTTGAGATCCTATAATAGAGCGAGAATTATTACTACAGTAAATAATTATAGTTTTATTAATTAAATTTTGATAAATGAATTGTATATATTTTTTTTGTTTGAGTTTTTGTAATGGTATATTAAAAGCATTATGAATATGATATTGATTGAATTCTTGAATCTGTCTGACGTCAATTATGAAAACTTGCTCTTTATATTCAATTTTCTTTTTTAGTTCATTTACTAATATAATTTTTGCTTGCTCTATTTTATATATACTAGTTTGATTTTTAAGAATTGTACGAGTATTTGTAATTGGTAATTGTATTGTGTAGAATGACATATTAAGAGCATTATATATCAATATATATCCGCTTAAAATTTTCCCTATACCAAGTATTATTTTTAACGCTTCTGTCGCTTGTAAAATACCAATAATTCCTGGTACAATACCTAGAATTCCAATCTTGTTACAATTATTCATTTCTAAATCTGAAGTTCGAGGATATATCTCTGAATATTTAGGTCCATTTTTATAATTAAAAACGCTTATTTGTCCTTCGAAATTTTGTACAGCTCCGTATATATGTATTTTGTGTAGTATATTACAAGCTTCATCTATTATATATCTAGTATCAAAATTATCACTCGTATCCAAAATAAGATCATAATTTTTTATTAAGTCTAAAGCATTCTCTTTAGTTAATTTATAAGAATATATATGAGTTTTACAATAAGGATTAATGGTTTCTATTCTTTTTTTAATAGACTTAGTTTTTAATTCATTAATATTATTTCTTGTATAAAGAACTTGTCGATGTAAGTTTGAAATTGATACTATATCACTGTCAATAATACCAATAGATCCTATTCCTGATGAAGCTAGATATAAAATAGCAGGACATGCTAAACCACCAGCTCCTATACATAAAATATTGGCCTGTTTGAGTCTTTGTTGGCCAACTAAACCAATCTCATTTAGAATTAGGTGTCGTGAATAGATTAAATATTCTTCTTTACATAATTTGAGGATATCTTGATTAAAATTGAACATAATTGATATAATTTAACTTAAGATAAAATTATTATAGTATGTTTATACTTAACAATATATTATAAATCGTAATTTTCTATCATTTATAGATATTGACTATTATAATGTTATAGTACGCCTTTAGTTCAGGTGGTAGAACGTAGGTTTCCAAAACCTAATGTCGAGGGTTCAAGTCCTTCAAGGCGTGATATAAGTTCTATTAATAAATTAAGATAAATGGTTATATTTTTATGTTGATTTAATAGAATTCTGTATTTATTGATGAGATTATATTTTAGGCTATTGGAAAAATAATATATTATTCATATAATGATTAATAAAGTTGTTTTATTACAATGAGGATTGTATCTTTATTATACTGATTTACTTTTTATACTTTTATTTAATATTGTATTAATTAAGATTTTATGGTTAAAAAAATTGTTGGACTTATTAAACTTGCTCTAAATGCAGGCAAAGCCACTCCAGCTCCACCAGTAGGACCAGCGTTAGGGCAATATGGTGCGAATATTGTTATGTTTTGTAAAGAATATAATGCTAGAACTGCTCAAAAAGTTGGCTTAGTAATACCAGTAGAAATTTCTGTTTATGAAGATCGTAGTTTTTCGTTTATTTTAAAAACTCCTCCGGCTTCAGTTTTATTATCTAAAGCAGCTAGTCTTCAAAAAGGATCAGGTAAACCAAACATAGATAAAGTAGGCTCTATTTCTAATCAACAGTTAAAAGAAATAGCAGAATTAAAATTGCAAGATCTAAATACACAAGATATAGAAAAAGCAATGTTAATTATTAAAGGAACAGCAAATAGCATGGGTATCCAAGTAACTTAATGTTAAGGAGGTAATTGTCAATATGCGTAAACATTCACGCCGTTTCCAACAAGCTTTACAAAAGGTTGATAAAAATAAGTTATATAGTCCTTTAGAAGCAATAAATTTATTAAAAGATGTGTCTAATGTGAAATTTGATGAAACAATAGAAGCACATATCGTATTAGCTTTAGATCCTAAGCATGCGGATCAGCAATTAAGGTCTACTGTAATACTTCCAAAAGGAATAGGAAAAGTAGTTCGTGTTGCTGTTGTTACAAAAGGTGAAAAAGTTGCACAAGCTTTATCTGCAAATGCTGATTTAGTTGGTTCAGAAGATTTAATAGATCAAATTATGCAAGGTCATCTAAATTTTGATAAATTAATTGCAACTCCTGATGTAATGCCTTTGGTAGCAAAAATGGGTAGAATTTTGGGTCCAAGAGGTTTAATGCCATCACCTAAAGCAGGTACGGTGACTGTAGATTTAAAACGAGCTATTACTGATTTTAAAGCTGGTAAATTAGAATATCGAATTGATCGTTCAGGTGTTGTACACGTTCCATTCGGTAAATTAAATTTTATATCTGATGATTTATATTTAAATTTAATTGCTTTACAAGAATCAATTGATAAAAATCGTCCTTCAGGTTCAAAAGGTAAGTACTGGAAATATATTTATTTATCCAGTACAATGGGACCATCAATTCCATTAGATATTAATCTATTGAAAAAAATTGAATCAAAGGTAAGTTGATATATCATTTATCTATAAACTTTTTTACTGCTTATTATATTTATTTGTTATTTATCTATTTTATATTATGGTTAATAAAATTGAATCGATTGTAGAAGACTTGAAAACTTTAACTCTTTTAGAAGCTGCGGAGCTAGTAAGTCAAATAGAGGATGTTTTTAACGTTGATGCATCTGTTGCTGCTAATTCTAATATGCTAGTAATGCCAAGCGCAGGAGGTGATAATAGTACAAATGAAGAAGAAGAAAAGACAGAGTTTAATTTAGTATTGGAAGAAGTTCCTAGTGCAAAAAAAATAGCCATTCTAAAAATTGTACGTTCACTTACTGGTTTGGGCTTAAAAGAAGCAAAAGATTTAGTAGAATCAGTACCTAAGGTATTAAAAGAAGGAACTTCTAAAGAAGATGCAGAAGAAATGAAAGATAAATTAGAAGAAGTAGGTGCTAAAGTATCAATTAAGTAAAATAATAAGACAGCTAATAATTATTAGCTGTCTTATTATTTTTTAATTACAATTTTTAATTAAAATACGCCTAATGTAAGTGCTTTAGATAAAGGCATGGTTGCTCCAATACCTAGCCATATACTAACAAATGTACCTATTAAAAATACACTAGTTGCAATAGGTCTTCGGAAAGGGTTTTGAAATTTATTAATACTTTCAACAAATGGTATAGTAATTAATCCAAATGGTACAGATGCCATAGATAAGACACCTATTAATTTATTTGGAATAACCCTTAGTAAATTAAAAGTAGGAAAAAAATACCACTCAGGCAATATTTCTAGTGGTGTAGCAAACGGATTTGCTTTTTCGCCAAGAACAGAAGGTTCTAGTATAGATAATCCTACATCACATGCGATAGTTGCTAAAATCACTACTGGAAACATGTAAAATATATCATTAGGCCATGCAGGTTCACCGTAGTAATGGTGTCCCATACCTTTCGCTAGTTTTGCTCGTAGTTTTGGGTCAGTTAAATCGGGTTTTTTGATAATAGACATATGAAAATTCCTGTATTTCAGTTGTTTAGCTTATAAGGTTTTATATTTATAGAGGTCCTGATATACCTTGTTTACGTATCATTAAAAAATGCATTAACATGAAGACAGCTGTTAATAAAGGTAAGACAAATGTATGTAAGCTATAAAATCGAGTTAAGGTACTTTGTCCAACACTCACGCTTCCTCTTAGTAATTCAACTATACTGCCACCAACTACTGGTATAGCTTCTGGTACACCAGTTACAATTTTAACTGCCCAATATCCAATTTGATCCCACGGTAATGAATAGCCTGTAACACCAAAAGATACAGTTAGTACAGCTAATATAACTCCTGTAACCCATGTTAATTCACGTGGTTTCTTAAATCCACCTGTTAAATATACTCTGAACATGTGAAGTATAAGCATTAAAACCATCATACTTGCCGACCATCTGTGTATAGATCTAATTAACCATCCAAAGTTGACGTCGGTCATAATATATTCAACAGAAGAAAACGCTTCTGTAACAGTTGGTCTGTAGTAAAATGTCATAGCAAAACCACTTGCTACTTGAATTAAAAATGATGTAAATACAATTCCTCCTAAGCAATAAAAGATATTAACATGAGGAGGTACATATTTACTTGTGATATCATTTGCTATTGCTTGAATTTCTAATCTTTCTTCAAACCAATCGTATACTTTACTCATAACGATGAATCGACTATTATATAAATTATTTTACATTTAGACAACTATGATACTATGAGAGATAGTTTAATTACATAGATCTTATTATAACATTTATATATGATTTAGCATAACAATTCTTTATTTTTAATTTAAAGTAATTGAAAAGGGTCTACTAAGCATATATATTTATTATGTGAGTAAAAAATAGTATTTTTTCTATATAATTTTTTCATAACTTTGTTTATAGTGGATCTATTACTAGCTGTTACTATGCTCATAGTTATTTGTGAAAATTGGAATGGCAATATGATAAAATTTTGTTGAATAAAACCAAATTCTTTGCATAAAAATAAAATTAACTGTATAATTCTATTTTTTGTATATTTATGTATTAAAATTTGATTCATCATCTCATATTTATTTAGAGTATTTTGATATGCATTAAGTATATTTATAAATAAATAATTATTATTGTATGAATTGTAGCTAGTAATTAAATCGGACCATTTAAAGCTCACTAAAAAACTTTCTTCAATAGCAATTAATTGATAGTAGCAATTCTTTTGTTCTGTTAATGAATGTATAATATTTTCTTTACCTAAAATACCGATTGTTATAATTTCTTTATTTGTAAAAATTTTTAATAAATGCAGTATACCGTATGTGATAATAATTGATGTACATTGCTTTTTATAGTTCATATAGATGATGGAATCACCTTTATTGAGTTTATATATATAAAAAGGTATTTTATATACTGTAAAATAATTAATCCATTTCATAATTGGTCTAAATAGTTGTATATGTAATCACTCAATGTATTTTATAATATATCAATATGAAAAGAAAATTATTACTTGTTGATGATGATATATATTTAAGAGATTCTATCTCTTCATATCTAAAATCAGAGGGTTTTTTTGTTGAGTCTTGTCAAGATGCTAATACTGCTTTATTAAGTATAAAAAAAAATAAGCCAGATTTGATTATTGCTGATATTATGATGCCTAAGTTAGATGGATATACTTTTATTTCTAAGTTGAAAGAAGATGAAAAATTATGCGGTATTCCAGTAATATTTTTAACAGCTAAAGGAATGACTAATGATAGAATTAAAGCTTATGATTTAGGCTGTAATGCCTATATCACTAAGCCTTTTGACCCTAAAGAATTATTGTCTATTATCTGTAGTTTATTTACTCATATTTCTTTATTACAAAAATATACAGCAAAAAAAAATAAGAAAAAAAATAATTCACAGTTATCTGTTATTAGTTTTACAAATAGAGAAACAACTATTTTACAGTTAGTGGTTAAAGGTCTTCGAAATAAAGATATAGCTGCATGCCTAAATATAAGTATTAAAAATGTTGAAAAATATGTAAGTAGATTACTCAATAAAACTTCAACGAAAAATCGTACAGAACTAGCTCGATTTATTTTGAGTCAGAAAATTGCAATAAATGAGGGCGAATGACGGGAGTCGAACCCGCGAATGATGGAATCACAATCCATTGCCTTAACCTCTTGGCTACACCCGCCATAAATACTATTATAATAGTTTTTTTATATTACGTCTATGTTTTTAATTATGAATATTCTGTATAATACAATTTTTGTCAATGGTGAAGCTTTTAATTGTTCTCGTACAATGTCTTTATATGATTTACTGATTTATTTAGGCTTTCAAATAGGTTCTATTGTAGTAGAGTATAATAAAGAGATAATAAACAGCAATCAATTTTCTAATATTGTATTAGTAGATCGAGATAGATTAGAAGTCATTACAATTGTTGGTGGTGGCTAATCTATGTAACGTCTTGAAACTGATAGTCGACCTTGTTCTAAATCTATATGTAAAATTTTAACTGTGATATGATCTCCTATATTGAAAATATGATGAATATCTTGTATATTCTTATTTCCAATTTCAGATATATGTAATAATCCTATAATTCCATATATTTGTATAAAAATTCCATAATTTTCTATCTTAATAATTTTTCCTGTGACAATTTTTCCTATTTTTAATTTATTGGATGACATAGATAAGCTAGCTTTTTTATTACTAAGAATTAGTTGATTTGCCTTTTCATTAGCTAATAGTAGTTTACACTTTATATATTGCTTATTTATCAATTTTTTGTCTATATTGATTGTTAAATGTGAATTAGGTATAAATCCATCTAAACCTTCTACATTTACTATTGCACCACCTTTATTTTTGCTTATTATTTTACTACTTAATATTATGTCTTCATTTTCTATTTGTTTAATTCTTTTCCATGCTCTAATATATTCCAATCTTTTGATTGATAAAATTAGTTGATTTGTAATTTTATTATAAGCTAAAAGAAAAAATTCTCTAGTTTCATTAGGTACATAAAGTATATACTTTTCTTTTATAATGTTGTTATTTAAAGTAAGTTCTTCATGTGGTAAAAAGCCGGCCATCTTTGTGCCAATATCAACTAAAAAACCTTTTTCTTCTTGGTTAAAAATTGTTCCAGCAACTATATCACCAGGATGTAAATTGTAATTATATTCATTGAGCATAGATGCAAAATTACTGTCTGTAAATCCTTTATCCGTTTTCATATTGTGTGTATAATATTCTTTTAATAAAATTTGATTTGCATATATATCAATTAATATAATATTATATAATTATAGAGTAAGCATAGGTAGTTGCAAATTTTTGTACAAATTTGAGGAAAGTCCGGTCTCTATTTAAAATATATAGCTATTTAACAAATAGTGTAAGCAATTGCGAGGAAAGTGCCACAGAAAAAAACCGCCTATATAAAATTTAGGTAAGGATGCAAAGGTGTGGTAAGAGCGCACCAGAAGTATTGTAATAATATTTGCTTGGTAAACCCCATATATAGAGTAAAGTAATTTTGATTATAATAATTATTAATTGTTTAAATCTGCAAGAAGTTAATTAAGATAAATAACTCTAGATGAATAACTACCCTTTTTGTATCTGTATTTTTATTATAATTACAAATGAAGAACAGAATCCGGCTTAAGACTTACTCTTTACATTAAATGATTATTCTTTGATATATTGCTTACTAATTGATTAATCTCATTATTTATATTATCAATTTCTATATTGTTCAGCGTTTTTAAGTTCGATTGATATTTAATACGTAAACCTATATTTCTATAAGAATTTGAATGATGACTTTTGTATTCGCTTAATATATCAACTGACTTAATTAAAGGATTATTAAGATTTAGTATATCTGTTTGAATAGCTCTTGCTGTATTATTCTTGTTGACTTTAATTGAGATATCTCTAATAACAATTGGATAATTAGAATAGGGTCGATAGATGTAAGATAAATGTTCTGTATTTTTTTTTGCTTGTATGAGTTTGTATAAGTTAAGTTCGAATACATAGGTTCTGTGGCTGCTATTTATATTGTTATTACATTTAGTATTTAGTTCACCAAATATTCCAATAGGCTCTTGTGTATCTTGATTGCACAAAATAGATAATCGATAAGGATGGCAAATAGAATTCCAACATTTATTAAACCTTAGATTAGAATAAGGTTTAACCCAATTAACTTTTATTTCTATTTGTTCGAAAAAATCTTCTAGTAAACCTTTTGCTTGAAACCAGCTCAGACTGTGAGATCTATCTTGCCATGATGCTTTATAAAAATTATCATTTCCTAGTATTCCAGCTAAATTTAAACTTTCTATATATTTAGACTCTTTTTTAGATTGATATTCTTTATTAAATACTTTACCGATTTCAAAAAATTCGATAAATAAGTTTTTCTTTTGAATATTATATTGTTTTGCAAGAATTAAATTTTCAATCAGATTATCTTTTAATTGTGATTGATCATCTAGTAAAGAATTATACAATTGAATTGTTGAATTATGTATTTTGTCTTGAGTTGAAAGAGAATAATTAATAAGTTCGTGTAATCCGAAATAACTAAGTCTATTGCGCATTTTATCTATGTATTTGATATGTTTAGAGATTTTACCTTTATTAGTGTAAGCTGGTAACGTATCAATAAAGTTGTCAAATCCATATATTCTGCCTATTTCTTCAATTACATCTGCAGTTCTTTGAATGTCTTCTTGTCTATATTGTGGAATAGTAACTTGAAAATGGTCATTTACAAATTCAGGTTTAAAATTTAATTGCTGTAGAATTTCAAGTATTTTATTTTGACATATTTGTCCATAACTGTTTTGTACAGGACCTAATATATTGATTATCTGTTTTCTATTTACGTAAATAGTTTTTTCTCTCTTGCTAGACTGATTTTTGCCAATAGTATATGGCTGTCCTATTTTACCTTTAGTTAAATGCGAAATTATTTGAATGGTTTCATTGTATCCTTGAATCAAATCATCAATTGAAGTATATTTTAAATGTCGTTGTATTCTTTCTGTCTTATAATTAATATTTTGTATAATCTTTTTCAAATATTGCTTCTTGCAAGTAGTACCAACTACTATAATTGAAGAAGTATTGTCATCACATTGAAATTCTGGATTAGATTGGATTCCAATTACTGATAAAGTTTTATTGGTATACTTGAGCAATTCAATAGATACATCATTATTAATATGTTTAGTATTAATTGTATCCATCCATCTACTTGTTTGTTTTACTAATTCAATATTTATTATAGGTCCACTAGAAGTAATTGAATTGACTTTATCTAAATCAAAAATTTCAATATCTTGTCCCCATTTGATTTTTATGTATTCTTGTATATCTTGTATTATATTATTTGATTTAATCTCATACGCTTTTAAATAATTAATTAGCCAGATTGGCGATGAGCACTTTCGTAAATTGACAATTGTATTGAGATGACAACTTAATATTGCATTAGTCTTTATTACATTGATATAATTATTTTTTTTTATAAATTTTTTAGATCTATTTTTATAATTTAAGTAATAATTCCTGTTAATATATAGGCTTTTTAAATTAAATAGAGTGTTAATTTCTCTGGCAAGTCCTATAATACTTGATGTGTCACCTCGATTTGCTGTAATACTGATATCAATAATTTTATCCTGAATATTAGGTTTGTCTTCAATACTTTCAATTTCAAACCCAGCTAATATTAGTTTTTTTGTTATTTTATCTAATGATATATTAGAGACATCAAGGATTTCATTTAGCCATTTCCAAGAAATTTTCATATTTTTTTTCTTAAACTAAGAGTTAATATCTCAAATATATTACTATTTATTTGATGTATTTCTATGATTTTGCTTTTGTAAATGATAATTCATTATCATTGGCATACCTTTCCATAAAACGCATAAATCTGTCCCAATCTTTAGGGCTTTTAATTATATAAATAGATTCTATAGCTTGTGGTTTACCGTTTATAAATTTTGCATTTACATCTTTTGTAACCATTTCGCCTTCTTCATCTTTTAAATACATGCCAGTAATATCTCCTTCTTCTTGCATGTCTAATTGTAAAATATCTGGATCATTAAATCTAAATGTTGCTGTTCCATTACTTCCATCTCTTGACCTTGTTAATTTAACATTAGGTACAACTGTTTCATTTATACCTTTAATGAATTGAATACTTGCCATAATTTTCCCCTTATTTCTTAGTATATAAATTACTATCCAATGTTGCTTTTCAATACTTCTTTATAATATTTGTTTACACATATCATAATATCTTTATTTAACGATGTTTTAATATAAATTTGAACAGAAGAAATAAATTAGTCATATGATATTAATTCTTTGTTTTAATAATTAATCTTGTTGTTAAGTACTTTTTTATTATCAATAATTGGATATTATAAGCTAAATTAAACGTAGCAGTTGTATTAATCTTATTTAATATATCATGAAGCTTGATTTACTATTATAATATGAACATAGGTTAAATTATCTAAATTAGTAATTTAACTTTAATGAAAAAAGAAGATAAAGAAGCGAATAAACAGTTAGTATTATCTGGGGTGGGAGGATTCGAACCTACGAATGGCGGAGTCAAAGTCCGCTGCCTTACCGCTTGGCTACACCCCATATTTTATATTTTACCCATGAATTAGACTAATTTGTCAAGTTTTCATCTTAAATAGAGATAAAAAAATAATTTAAAACATATATATATTATAAATTTTTTACTTTTATTATTAAATTTGATAGGTCAACAGTATTGATCCTTTCTTGTTCATAGCTTTTTAGCCATTTGATAGTAAGTGATTGTGTATTTATTTCATCTTCTCCAATTATTATACATACTTTTGCATCTACTTTATTAGCTCTTTTTAATTGTTTACGGAAGCTATTATTATCTAAGTTTAGTTCAAAGCTAATTCCTTTTTCTTCGAGTAAAGATACTATTTTCCATGCTTCAGTTTTTGCTTTTTCACCTTGATGTGCTATATAAACACATGGTCTACTTTGTATTATATCTAAATTATTTTTTACAAGTAATAATAATCGCTCTATTCCAATTGCCCATCCTACAGAAGGAGTACTAGGTCCACCTAATTGTTGAATCAATCGATCATATCGACCTCCGCCACAGATTGTATTTTGACTACCTAATAAATCGGTCTTAACTTCAAATGCCGTATAATTGTAATAATCTAAGCCCCTAACTAAGTTTGTATTAAGATTATAATCAATTTTTAATATATCAAGGTATTCACATACTGATTTAAAATGTATGATAGAATCATTTGATAAGTATTGTTGTATAGATGGTGCATGATATAAAATTTCTTGAGTTTTCTTATTCTTACTATCTAAAATTTTCAAGGGATTAGTAGCTAGTTTTTTTTGTGAGTCTTGATCCAAGTCTTGTATATAAGGTGTTAAATATCTGATAAGTTGTTTCTTGTATTTATTACGTTCTTCTTTGCTGCCAATAGAATTGATTTCAATTCTGTAATTAGAACATCCTAATTTAGTTAAAATACTGTTTGCAATACGAATAACTTCTACATCAGACATAGGATTTAAGCTTCCTATACATTCTATACCCAATTGATGGAATTGTCTTTGCCGGCCATTTTGAGGTCTTTCATATCTAAACATAGGTCCTAAATACCAGAGTTTATGTATTTGATTTGTTTGATACAATTGGTTACTAATAAAAGATCTTGCAATGCTAGCTGTTCCCTCAGGTCTTAAAGTAATTTCCCTTAAACCTTGATCAATAAAGCTATACATTTCTTTATTGACTATATCTGTTTCATTACCTATACTTCTGTTGAATAAAGCAGTTGATTCGATTATAGGAGTACGAATCTCATGATAATTAGATAATGTAAATATTTGTGAAGCTATTTTGTGTAAATGTTGCCACAATATAATTTCATTTGGCAATATATCTTTAGTTCCTCTTAAATGTTGCATATATATTTTATGAAAGTTTGTATTGAATTTACATATTTCTTATAGAAATGTTGTTATTTATAATTATCGGGCAAGGAGGGATTCGAACCCCCGACACCGTAGTTCGTAGCCACGTGCTCTAATCCACTGAGCTACAAGCCCTTACTAAAATTAATTATACCATTTTTATATTTTAAAAACGTTATTTAGCTCTTTTAAAACATTACATAGAAGTATTATGTTAATTGATTATTACAGGAATTTTATCATATGAGTAAGAAAATTTTATATCAAGATGATGCTCGTCAAGCTTTAGAAAGAGGCATAGATATTTTGTCAGAATCTGTTTCAGTGACTTTAGGGCCGAAAGGTCGTAATGTTGTTTTAGAAAAAAAATTTGGTTCTCCCCAAATAGTTAATGATGGTGTAACTATTGCAAAAGAGATAGAATTACAAGATACAATTGAAAATACCGGTGTCGCTTTAATCAGGCAAGCGGCATCTAAAACAAATGATGTTGCTGGAGATGGTACAACTACTGCAACTGTGTTGGCTCATGCAATTGTAAAACAAGGTTTACGGAATGTAGCGTCAGGTGCTAATCCAATGGTTTTGAAAAAAGGTATAGAAAAAGCAGTGAAATTTATTGTAGCACAAATATCAGAGTATTCTCGTCCAGTAAATAATATAACAGATATTACACAGGTAGCATCTATATCAGCAGGTAATGATTCTGATATTGGAGCTATGATAGCTAGTGCAATAAAAAAAGTGGGCAATGAAGGGGTTATTTCTTTAGAAGAAGGACAATCTACAGTTATTGAACTTGAAGTGAAAGAAGGTATGAAGTTTCAAAAAGGTTTTATATCACCTTATTTTGCTACGGATTCCTCTCGAATGGAAGTAATTTATGATAATGCATATATTTTATTGACAGATAAAAAAATTACTTTGATTCAGCAAGAGTTAATCCCTATTTTAGAGCAAGTATCTAAAACTGGCAAACCTTTATTAATAATTGCAGAAGATATAGAAAAAGAAGCTCTAGCTACACTTGTTATAAATAAATTGAGAGGAATTATTAATGTAGTAGCTGTAAGAGCACCTGGTTTTGGTGATAGACGAAAATCTTTATTGGAAGACATCGCTATTTTAACATCTGGGCAACTAATCACTGAAGATTTAGGTTTTACTTTAGATAATTTATCTCTTAATCAATTAGGTATAGCTAAAAGAATACATGTTACTAAAGAATCTACAACAATTATTGCTGATGATAATGAATCTAACATTAAAGTTCGATGTGATCAACTCCGTCGTCAACTTGAAGTTAGTAATAATAGTTATGAAAAGGAAAAGCTGCAAGAAAGACTTGCAAAATTGTCTGGAGGAGTTGCTGTAATTAAAGTAGGAGCAGCAACTGAAACAGAAATGAAGGATAAAAAATTAAGATTAGAAGATGCTATTAATGCTACTCGTGCAGCTATTGAAGAGGGTATAGTTCCAGGTGGAGGTTCAACTTTAGTTCATTTGTCAGAAGATTTACAATTATGGGCTAATCGTAATTTAGTGAACGAAGAATTAGTTGGTGCTTTAATAGTAGAAAAAGCATTAGTTGCACCATTAAGTAGAATAGTCGAAAATACAGGTCATAATGGAGCTGTTATAGTAGAAAAAGTAAAGCAAAAAATATTTGCTATTGGTTATGATGCTAATCAAGAGATATTAGTTGATATGTATAAAGCTGGTATTATTGACCCTGCTAAAGTTACTCGTTCTGCTTTACAAAATGCATCTTCAATAGCTTCTATGGTTTTAACAACAGAATGTATTATAGTAGAAAAAGCTTAAGCTTAATCAAGCTAAATTTCATTATGTAGATATTTAATTAAGTAGTAAAGACCATATATATTATTGATTTTATTGATAGTGTATAGATTATAAATAGCGATATTACATACCTGTAATTTGTTATCTTTACTGTAAGTATTATAATAGTCTTGATTTTGATTATAAATATATTTGAATCTTTGCATATATTGTAATGTTAACTGTGAATGTGTTTTATTGCAAATATCATATAGTAATTCTAAAATAAGATTATATAAGTAAGATTGAGTTATTAAGATATACAATAGATGTATTATTTGAATATAGCGTTTAAGTTGTATTTGAGAATTATAATTACTATTATATTTGATTAATGTATTCAAGAGAAAATTGTATTTATTTATATACAATTCTCTCTGAATATTATCTACAATATATAAGTCTAGAGCTTCGATTGTTATTAGTATCAAAGTGATACGTTTTTTGAATTCTATTTTCTTGTTCATATCTAACGTTTATTAGTATAATACTCTAATTACCTATGATTAGTTACATATTATGGCATATGAACTAATCATAAATGTAAAATTAAAATATAGTAATCAATAATTACTGCCTGCAAATGTACAATTTGGAAATTTTTCTTGGGCATGTATTAAAGATTTATCTTTTCCTGTTTCTTGCCAAAAATTTATGATTTCAGTTGCTTGATTTAATAGATCAATTTTATCATGTTTTGAAATCCATGGTTTTGATTCTAATTCTACTTTTAACTGTTCCCATGCATCATTTCTAGGCCAAAAAAAATAAGATGTCAATGGGCTGAAGCTTGTGTTTACAACATGATCAATAGCTATAGCTACATTGTTTTCAAGCCATAATATTTTAAATGTGAATTTAGACAAAATGTTTTCTCCTGGATAATATTTTTGAATAATTAGTTATTGATTGTTTTTGCTAGAATATTTTTTACTGTTTTAGTCATTTGTGCACCTTCATTGATTCTTTTTTGTATTTGTAAGGTCTTTAATTTTGTTTGATTATTAATAGGATTGTAGAAACCTACTTCTTCTAAAGCTTTTCCATCTCTTCTTTTTCTGCTATCAATTACAATTATACGATAGCTAGGTTGCTTTTTTCGACCAAGTCTTTTTAATCTGATTTTTAGCATAAATTGTTTTGATAATTTGATATATAGTATATGTTGTAAATAATGATAGGAACTGATTGTTATTATTTTAGTTCTATGTAATAGATTCTATTCTAATATTATTAAAAATAACAGTTAAGCATTGTAAAAAAATAATACCTAGCATAGGTGACATATCCATTCCAAATATCATAGGAATAGTGCCTCTAAATAGTCTTAAGTATGGATCTGTTAAACGGTTTAAGGAGCAAAAAGGTTCATTATACCAATTTACAGTTGGAAACCATGCTAAGGATAACTTTAAAAGAATCAATATTAGGTATATTTCAGAAAAATTTGCAATTGATGTGAATACTAAGTTAAACGAATTAGTAATTATATTCATTATTAATTAATTGTTTTATTATAAATTTATCACTAATATTAACTAAATTAATATTTATACATTTTGGTTGTGTATATTTCTAAAGATTGATATTTGTTCCCTAAATACTCACAGATATTATTAGAGCATGTTATACACATTATTTTTATTTGACTAATTTGGACTTTTTTTTCTATTAGTAAATAGTCAAGTAGTCTAATAATAGAGTAGTTGTTTAAGAATTTTTCAATAATTATAATTTTTTCTTTTTTAATAATATTTATATCTTTATAACTATTTTGGTTATGATTATTAGAGTTGACATGTTCTAAATACATTTGTGGTAGTATAGTGTTGATATCTGATACTATATCAGCGCATTCGACTAAGTTAGCTAGTATTCTATAAGATTCTTTACGGTCAAATTTATATAACTCTTTTTTTGAATCTATATTTTTGATAGAAATATAGTGAATAGTCATCCATTTTCGTACTGTTTCATATATTAATAAGCGACCTAGTAATTTTGCATTATCTTGATATACGTGTTTATTGTTTAAGTTGGTATTGATTATAGCTAGTGATAATTGTTTGATTATGGGATGTGATATAAGATATATATTTAATCTCATATATATTATGCTTTATAATTGTATTTATTATTATTTTATGTATTGTATCAGTTTATCCTTTATAAATGAATTTTATTGATTCTAAATTCAGTATCGTCCGCAACCAATGGATTTGGGGATTTTCAGTAGGAGCAGAAAGTTGGAATGGTAGACTTGCTATGTTATCTTTTACTATTATTTTTTTATGTGAATTAATCTTTTCAGTTTCTACTTTAAAAATCCTTGGTTTGATCTAATTAGTGACTATCTATTTGTTCAATTTAATATAATTAAATATAAAAAAGCTATTCTTGAATATAATTATTAAGAATAGCTTTTTTATTTAAGAATAAACATCTGTTTAGACTGTTTAATCTAGAGGTCTCATAGATAATACAGCTTCATTTTCTCTATTAATCCCTTTTTCAAATCCAGCTGCTGCAGCACGAGCTCTGCCAGCATGCCATAGATGTCCAATGAATAAGAAAAAGCCCAAGAAAAAATGAGATGTTGTTAGCCAACTTCTTGGAGATCCATAGTTTACAGAATTAATTTCTGTGGCTACTCCACCTACTGAATTTAATGATCCAAGTGGAGCATGTGTCATATATTCAGCAGCTCTTCTTTCTTGCCAAGGTTGTATATCATTTTTTACTTTATTTAGATCTAAACCATTAGGACCTCTTAATGGTTCTACCCAAGGAGCTCTTAAATCCCAAAATCTCATAGTTTCTCCACCAAATATGATTTCTCCACTAGGTGATCTCATTAAGTATTTTCCTAAACCAGTTGGTCCTTGTGCAGAGGCTACGTTTGAACCTAATCTTTGGTCTCTTACTAAGAATGTAAAAGCTTGTGCTTGTGATGCTTCAGGACCAGTAGGACCATAAAATTCACTAGGATAAGCAGTATTGTTGTACCAAACAAAGTTTGATGCTGTTAGACCCATAATTGATAAAGCACCTAAGCTATAAGATAAATATGCTTCACCTGACCATACAAATGCACGTCTTGCCCATGCGAATGGTTTAGTTAATATATGCCATATGCCTCCAGCTATACAGATAACACCAATCCATACATGTCCACCTATTAGATCTTCCATATTATCTACACTTACTACCCAGCCATCTCCACCAAATGGAGATTTTAAAACGTATCCAAAAATTACTGAAGGGTTTAAAGTTGGGTTATTAATTAATCTTACATCTCCACCTCCTGGTGCCCATGTATCATAAACACCACCAAAGAAAAGAGCTTTGATAACTAATAGAAAAGATCCTATGCCGAGAAGTAATAAATGAATGCCCAGTATAGTTGTCATCTTATTTTTATCTCTCCAATCATATCCGAAAAAAGGGAAAGATTCTTCTAAAGTATCTGGACCGATTAAAGAATGATATAATCCACCAAAACCTAGAACAGCAGAAGATATTAAATGTACTACACCTACAACGAAATATGGGTAAATACTAATTATTTCCCCTCCAGGTCCAACACCCCATCCTAGTGTTGCTAAGTGAGGAATCAAGATAAATCCTTGCTCATATAGTGGTTTTTCTGGTACAAAATGTGCAACTTCGAATAATGTCATAGCACCAGTCCAAAATACCATTACACCTGCATGGGCAACATGTGCACCTAATAGTTTACCAGATACATTAATTAGTCTAGCATTACCTGACCACCATGCAAAGCCTGTAGATTCGATATCTCTGCCGCCTATACCAATGCTATTATTAAAGGGCGTTTCCACGTGGCAATACCTCCTCCGGGAATATGAAGTTTTCGTGAGGTTGGTCTTGAGCTGCCATCCATGCACGAATACCTTCGTTTAATAAGATATTTTTTGTATAAAATGTTTCAAATTCAGGATCTTCAGCAGCCCTTAATTCTTGTGATACAAAATCATAAGCTCTCAAATTTAAAGCTAATCCTACAATACCAAATGCGCTAGTCCATAATCCTGTTACAGGTACGAAAAGCATGAAAAAATGTAACCAGCGTTTATTAGAAAAAGCAACGCCAAAAATTTGTGACCAGAAACGATTAGCTGTTACCATTGAGTACGTTTCTTCTGACTGAGTTGGAGTAAATGCTCTAAAAGTATCGGCAGCATCACCATCTTCAAATAATGTATTTTGTACAGTTGCACCATGAATAGCGCACAAAAGAGCTCCTCCTAGGATACCAGCTACACCCATCATATGAAATGGATTTAGTGTCCAGTTATGGAATCCTTGTAGAAATAAAAGGAATCTAAAGATAGCAGCAACTCCAAAACTAGGAGCAAAGAACCAACTAGATTGTCCTAATGGGTACATCAGAAAGACAGATACAAATACTGCAATTGGTCCTGAAAATGCAATTGCGTTATAGGGTCTGATTCCTACAAGTCGAGCAATTTCAAATTGTCGTAAACAAAAGCCAATTAAGCCAAAAGATCCATGTAGAGCTATAAATGCCCATAGTCCACCTATTTGGCACCAGCGTGTGAAATCTCCTTGAGCTTCAGGACCCCAAAGCAATAGTAAAGAATGTCCCATACTATTCGCAGGTGTTGATACGGCAGCTGTTAAGAAATTACATCCTTCTAAATATGAGCTTGCTAATCCATGTGTATACCATGAAGTAACAAAAGTAGTACCTGTTAGCCATCCTCCTAATGCTAAGTATGCGCATGGAAAAAGTAGTAATCCAGACCAACCAACAAATACAAAACGGTCTCTTTTAACCCAGTCATCAATTAGATCAAACCTACCACGGTTCTTTTCTTGTCCGATTGCGATGGTCATAAATAAAATCTCCAAAGCAAATTAATTAAGTAAATATATTATGATTACTATGTTGATAGTAATTATATAGTTTAATTTTACTTTTCTCTACGATTAATTCTAATTATAAATGTAATTAATTAAATATTTATTAACTAATGAAACTATTTTAATAAATAGTTCGCTAAGTTTGATTTTCTATATATAATTATTAGGAGCTAAATATAGCATTTTATATATTAATGATTTAGATGTTTTTAGTTCATTATTATATATACTGTATTTAGTAATTGATTAATTTGGTAAAATATAAATGCAATCCATTTAAGAATCAATCTTGTTACAATCTTTGAAATTAATTATCGAGTTCATA